GCTAATAAAGGGGGATTCCAATAGATTGTTGGAAAACCTGGGGCCCGTTTCACAAAGCTTACTTAGGACTAAGTTATATCTTAGGAAAGAACTTTTTCCTAAGTTCATTACTTATCCGTTTCACTAACCTCGTCTTATCTTAGGATATTCTTAAGTTATGTCGTAACTTTAGGACAGGTAAATCGATGACTTAGGAAGAAACTAAATATTGCGACTGCATATCCAAGATTTCTTATAGAGAGAGAGACTGTGTTCGGGGAGAGAAAATCCAATGGACTACTAGTAAATGAATGATTGTGTTCTCTCAAGGTTAAAACTGCTTTACTTTGCATGGAATTACTAGGATTTCAATAATAATTTTTCATGGCAAACATGTGTCAAAATGTGTCCAAGGTATATAAAAATGTCCGTTCATTTGGGCCACTGGAGCTAGCGAAGTAGATGGTACACATGCTGTAATAATTCCCCATCATTTGAAGATCACGCCTTTATAAACAAAAAAAGCGCATGTTTTGATCCAATATTATACATGCATGCATACATTATGTTTTTATCTACATGTACATGTATATTTATTATACTCCCGCTTGAAAAGCGGGAGGGTATATAGTAATCGGTACGTCCGTCCGTCTGTTACGCTTTGGGGTGCCCATCTCTTATCCGCAACTCCTCTCATACAACTGAATGAATTTTTTTATATATCTATTACTAGTATTTTAATCGATATTAAATTAGAATTTGAAAAATGATATTTTAGATATATGGAAACACTTGTTCACTTTCGAGAAGTACGTGATTCTTGATGAACCTCCAACCAAGCTCCGGATATATATCAGTAGATGTTTCTCCCAAAATGGTTCGGTTGCATCTGATCTTTAGGACGTTTATTATTGAGGGGACCCAAGCATAACGCAGTTTTGTTTTCTTCTATAGTATTCTATACATCGGTAAAATTATTATTACCCCCTTCCCGTGCTCCTCCAGTTCCTACGTCCATAAGATTACAACCAGTTTTCCTCAGGTTTTTAATTTTGTGAATTTTTTAACTGGCATGGCATCCTTATTATATAATATATTGATATATGATATATTATGTGTGAGGAAGCTTTATATCCAGTACAAACAACTAACGTAGAGTAGTCATTGGCAAACAATTTTTTTTAACAAATGCCCTCCTATATGTTCGCTATGCGAAGCAATCATTTTTGAATTTCATTTAATAATTGACAAGTAGAAAAGTATAGTAAAAAACAATACCTTGGATCGATACCTTATAAAGATCAAATTTTAAAAAAAGTAAACGTATAATACGTAGGACCATGTTTAAAAAAATAAAAATATGTGCCCGGAAGGGAAGAGAGCTTGAAAGGGTTTGTAAGTGAATCCTTAGTTCTAGCAGCAAACTTAGCTAAGTTAAAACTTCTGTCCAAGTCCTTTGAAAGTACGCGCAATTCCCCATCCTCCCGCCCCTCCCTTTTTGAAGCTAAAAATATTTATAACCATACTGACATACTAAGAGTTGTAGATAGAGCGGCGAAATTATTTCATTAGTCAATATAGAGGCACAACTTAAGAACTGACTTAGGAAAATTTTAAGATAAGATTGTTTCGTGAAACAGCTGTGACAAATCTTAGGAACTTCCTAAGTTATAACTTAGGCATATCTTAAGTTATGTCTTACGACATATCTTAGGAAACGTTTGTGAAACAGGCCCCTGGTCTCCAAAAAAACTACATAGATATTGTCAATCAGAAACTCAAGCATGTTTTAATATCAACTTCAGAGTACATGTACATATGTGCGTACAATCAGAAAGTTTTTAACAAAATAATTTTGCAAATGTGCAATGACCAGGTAAGTAAATTTACGAGTTCCATTTTTATTGAAAAGCAGCTGTCAATAATATAGAAAATCCTGGACTTTAAGAACTACCAACGATAGTATTGTTCTCCCGCCTACCTCTAAGTCAATTCTCAAAAGTTAACATATTCGAATGATTTTCAAAAATTTTATAGATATTTATATGAATTTTCATAAAATGTTACTTATTTGGGATACCAAAGAGAGATAACTCTATAATTTTGGTAAAACTTGTGTTTTTCACTATAGAAATCAACGGAAAATATTTTAAAAACATCTTTCTCCACCGTGAAACAAAATTCCTTTTTACAGGTAATATGGACTGTCATTTTACAAATTTATGCCAAAGTTTTTTGTGTTTCACGGGGGGGAACATATGTTTATAGACAAAAAACGGAAAAAAAAATGCTGATTTTTCACAAATTTTAACGCTATTAAATACTAAACTAACTAAATAATTGTATTTTATTAATTAATATATGTTTTATTTATTTGTTTCATTGGAACGAAATTTTTAAAACAACTCGTGATTCAGAAAAGATATGACATATATTTTATGTTTTATTTATTTGCGTAAAACATAAGACTATTTCAAAATATATGGTGATTCTAGAAAGTTCGATTTCACTAGAAAATATCGTCTAACCCCCTTTTTCAAGAGCTGGAATTAATGAAAATTTACTATCTAGCGCTGGAATTAAGATGATTAATCAATTACCATAGAACTGTTCTTTGTATTAAACAAAGATTTAATGGCCAAATTGCCATAAATTATGGCAAGTCAAACGTTGCATTATTCGATTTTTTCCATTTGTATTGTAAAAGTTTCCATTTGTATTGTATAATTTTTATTTGTATTTTATAATTTTCAATTTGTATTGTATAATTTTTCATTTGCATTATATATTTTTAATTTGCATTATATATTTGTCATTTGCATTGTATCGTTTTTCATTTGCATTGTATATTTTTTATTTATATTTAAAAAAATCATTTATATTCTATATTTTCCATTTGCATTGTATAATTTTTCATTTGCATTGTATAATTTTTCATTTGCATTGTATGATTTTTCATTTATATTGTAAAAGAAATCATTTGTCTTGTATAATTTTTTTTATTTGTATTCTATATTTTCCATTTGTATTGTAAAATTTTTCATTTGCATTGTATTCGAGGGATTGTTTATTTTGGTTTGTTACGAAGGATTTCATTGGTTTAATCTAATCATATATCGGATTTGGTAATACCCAAGATGTTCGGGAAGTTAACATGTGTTACTAGTATCTAGTCTTATTGATTGATTGTATGTCTGTAGTTTATGTCCCTCTCGAAAATTTTTCACTCATATGTTTAGCTTAGACAAGCTTAGACAGAGCGTTGTTAATGTGATGTCCTACGCACAGGCACCTGAGGTATGGATAATACCCCCCTTTTTTAATGAAAAAAAAATGTAAGAGTGTATAATATCTCAAAAATATAAAATTTCCCCGTCAAACACATCTATATGTCGTTATATGCAAGCAGATTGTATTTTTTCGCACGTTTAAAGAATGGCCCTATTCGGTATAATAAAAATACACAAGGTAAGAAACCAAAGTTGTAAACAAACGGGGGACCCCTGCTTCGAGACAGATGACTAAGGTAATAATTAGTGTTACCTATCATAATTTTGCAAGCTTTCTGTCTTGGAAATGTACTTTTACTCTTTAACCTAAACCCCGCTTTTAGCGTTTGATATGCCGTAATCGGACGATTTATTAATCGGATACATAAAATTTGCTCCATTGGCAGCTTTGGAGGAGGTTTTGGAGTCGCACTTCTGTTTCGCCTTATCTGATTGGTTAATTGTAATACAGTTTAAATATCTAACCAATCAGATAAGGCGAAACATTTTTCATTAAAAAAAGGGGGTATTATCCATACTTCAGGTGCCTGTGGACCCGGTTTGCAGTGAGAAGCTATGAGCATAACTTGGCAAAACTAAATGCATTTTCTTTGTTTTAATATCTCTACAGACCAGTAATTCAACTAACTTTTTTCTGTGAAAAAAATGCTCCTTGCACTGAATGCTCAATGATCCTTGTGTCGCGGGTTCGAATCCCATTGTGGGACGTAGAGACCGGTCCTTCGGATGAGACCGTATAAACAGAGGTCCCGTGTCGCAGTAGGTGCTGGCACGAAAATGATCCCTCCCTGCTCATTGGCCCTAAGTGCCGAGTATAGGACAAAATTTGCAGCTCTCCACCGGCAAGTGGTGGCGTCATGAAAAATTATACAATGCAAATGAAAAGTTATACAATGCAAATGGAAAATATAGAATACAAATGAAAAATTATACAATACAAATGATTTTTTAACAATATAAATGAAAAATATACAATGCAAATGAAAAATTATACAATAAAAATGGCAAATATATAATGCAAATGAAAAAATTATACAATACAAATGAAAATTATAGAATACAAATGGAAAATTATACAATACAAATGGAAAATTATACAATACAAGTAAAATTATACAATACAAATGAAAAATTATACAATACAAAAGGAAAATTATAGAATTCAAATAAAAACTATACAATACAAATGGAAAATTTTACAATACAAATGAAAAAGATCGAATATTGCAACGTTTGACTTGCCATACATGAATATTGAATTTAATGGGTGCAAAATGTAGGCAGGAATCAAGAGTTAGAGTTCGTAGTTCTTTGCCGTGGGGAGAAGTTGTAAATAAAGTTGAATAGTCTAAGTTTTTATGGTGTTAACTTTGGTAAAATTTTGTGATTTCAAATGTTCCAAAAGTTCCTTGGAATTTTTAAGTATCCACATTTGATTTAAACCACTTCTTTTATTTTGTTGAACAGTACTCTTGAAGTTTTTCTTATACTATTGTTAATATATTTGTGCGGAGTAAAGAAAGATGCTTGGTAGTACAATTAACCTATCAGGACAGCCGTATTTTGTTATTCTAATAAAATACTGTATTCTGACATCCATCCAGAATTTAATAACTAAATATAGTAAAAATTAAGATATCACATTACAGAAGTCGTATACATTGTGTAAGGACATAAAGCAATTATATAAATGTAAGTTTTTAATATGTATTAAAGTTATACATTAAAAATATTATAAATAATTTCAAAGCATCATTAATATTATTGAAATATAGATAATATCTTATATTTCTTTTTATACTCTTTTTCTTTTTTAATCCTATGTCTTCCTGATAAAATGTAGAGATTATATATAATCATTATTTTCAATTTAAGCTCATGTTTTGGAGACCTGAATCAATGACACATTTTTCTTTGTGTCATGCTTTGCCTTATTTGAAGCCTGGCTACTGTTTGGTCCTGTTGTAGTTTGTTCTGGACGTTCACCAGAGGTCACAGATTGAGACGGTCTTTTGACGTTTATCACAGACTTGTGAGGCGGAGATTCATGTAAAGGTTTATCTGATTCACTATTTTGATTCTTTGATTCTAGTTTTTTATTTGAATTGTCTATATTTACACCGTCTGTAACAACGGCTTGTTCCCGAGTCCTTCCTCCATTTTGTATCACGTTTGTAATGCTTACACTATTTATAAGCTCCCCTTGCTTTTCTGTCGGCTGCACTCTAGTCACAAGTTTGATATTCTCGGATTCATCTTCTGTTTGCACATCCTGGTAATATGCTCCAACTTCTTTGATGTCCTCTGCATTATCATTTTCCAAATCAAAATTCAGCAAGTCCATTTCCGGCAGAACAACATCATCGTAAATTGAACTTATACCGCTATTGAAATGTCGGTAAGTAATTCCAACGGGATTTCTTTGTTTTCTTCTGAATGGAATCTTTTTCCTCCTAACAAAGAAAAATAAACTGAAATATGGATACATTTTACTATTACTTCACTATAATAATAATATAATTGACGTCATAACCCACCGTTTAAAGACGATTCCTAATATCGCCATGAGGATTCCCACGATGGTAACAGACACGACTACTATAATGGCTCGTTCTGTCTTGGCATCTACAATCATAAGACGTTCAAATCTTGTCAGTCAATGTAATTTAAGTTTGATTGTCCTAGACATAGAGACAGAAAGACGAATTAGCAAAACTAATAAGAATCTTTATATGATCTTAACTCAAAGTGTGAATCACATGACATAAGATATATGATAAAGCATACAAATGTACGTATTTGATTATAACCTGTTTTGGTCTGTAATATAGGTGCTGTTTTGGTCTGTAATATAAGTGCTGTTTTGGTCTGTGATATAGGTGCAATAAGTATTTGATTATAACCTGTTTTGGTCTGTGATACAGGTGGTATATGTGTTTGATTATAACCTGTTTTGGTCTGTGATATAGGTGCTGTTTTGGTCTGTGATATAGGTGATCTATGTGTTTGATTATAACCTGTTTGCTCTTTAAAATAGTGCTATATATGTTTGATTATTACCTGTTTTGGTCTGTGATATAGGTGCTATATGTGTTTGATTATAACCTGTTTGCTCTTTAAAATAGTGCTATATATGTTTGATTATTACCTGTTTTGGTCTGTGATATAGGTGCTATATGTATTTGATTATAACCTGTTTGCTCTTTAAAATAGTGCTATATATGTTTGATTATTACCTGTTTTGGTCTGTGATATAGGTGCTGTATGAGTTTGATTATAATCTATTTCGGTCTGTGATACAGGTCTATATATGTGTTTGATTATAACATGTTTTGGTCTGTGATATAGGTGCTATATGTGTTTGATTATTACCTGTTTTGGTCTATGATATAGGTGGTATATGTGTTGATTATAACCTGTTTTGGTCTGTGATATAGGTGCTATATGTGTTTGATTATAACCTGTTTAGGTCTCTGATACAGGTGCTATATATGTGTTTGATTATAACCTGTTTTGGTCTGTGATATAGGTACTATATGTGTTGATTATAACCTGTTTAGGTCTCTGATACAGGTGCTATATGTGTTTGATTATAGCCTGTTTTGGTCTGTGATATAGGTGCTATAAGTGTTTGATTATAATCTGTTTTGGTCTATGATATAGGTGCTATATGTGTTTGATTATTACCTGTTTTGGTCTATGATATAGGTGGTATATGTGTTGATTATAACCTGTTTTGGTCTTTGATATAGGTAATATATGTGTTTGGTTATTACCTGTTTTGGTCTATGATACAGGTGCTATATGTATTTGATTATTACCTGTTTTGGTCTATGATACAGGTGCTATATGTATTTGAATATAACCTGTTTTGGTCTATGATATAGGTGCTATATGTGTTTGATTATTACCTGTTTTGGTCTATGATATAGGTGGTATATGTGTTGATTATAACCTGTTTTGGTCTGTGATATAGGTGCTATATGTGTTTGATTATTACCTGTTTTGGTCTATGATACAGGTGCTATATGTATTTGATTATTACCTGTTTTGGTCTATGATACAGGTGCTATATGTATTTGATTATTACCTGTTTTGGTCTGTGATATAGGTACTATATGTGTTTGATTATTACCTGTTTTGGTCTGTGATATAGGTACTATATGTGTTTGATTATTACCTGTTTTGGTCTATGATACAGGTGCTATATGTATTTGATTATTACCTGTTTTGGTCTATGATACAGGTGCTATATGTATTTGATTATTACCTGTTTTGGTCTATGATATAGGTGCTATATGTATTTGATTATTACCTGTTTTGGTCTATGATATAGGTGGTATATTTGTTGATTATAACCTGTTTTGGTCTGTGATATAGGTGCTGTTTTGGGCTGTGATATAGGTGCTATATGTGTTTGATTATAGCCTGTTTTGGTCTGTGATATAGGTGCTATAAGTGTTTGATTATAATCTGTTTTGGTCTATGATATAGGTGCTATATGTGTTTGATTATTACCTGTTTTGGTCTATGATATAGGTGGTATATGTGTTGATTATAACCTGTTTTGGTCTGTGATATAGGTAATATATGTGTTTGGTTATTACCTGTTTTGGTCTATGATACAGGTGCTATATGTATTTGATTATTACCTGTTTTGGTCTGTGATACAGGTGCTATATGTATTTGATTATTACCTGTTTTGGTCTATGATACAGGTGCTATATGTATTTGAATATAACCTGTTTTGGTCTATGATATAGGTGCTATATGTGTTTGATTATTACCTGTTTTGGTCTATGATATAGGTGGTATATGTGTTGATTATAACCTGTTTTGGTCTGTGATATAGGTGCTATATGTGTTTGATTATTACCTGTTTTGGTCTATGATACAGGTGCTATATGTATTTGATTATTACCTGTTTTGGTATATGATACAGGTGCTATATGTATTTGATTATTACCTGTTTTGGTCTATGATATAGGTGCTATATGTATTTGATTATTACCTGTTTTGGTCTATGATATAGGTGGTATATTTGTTGATTATTACCTGTTTTGGTCTGTGATATAGGTGCTATAAGTGTTTGAATATAACCTGTTTTGGTCTGTGATATAGGTGCTATATGTGTTTAATTATTACCTGTTTTGGTCTGTGATACAGGCGCTATCGGTCCCTGTGATACCGGATCTGCTGTTGTGGACTTTACTGTCGATTGAGTGCTTGTTGCTGTAATAGATCTTTTTGTTGATATCACTGTTGTTGACCTTTTTTGTATAGATGTTGAAAGACTCAAAGTTGTAAAACTTGTTGCTTCCTCTGTCACATTCGTTGTGGGACTTTCTACAGATGTCGTAGAAACGTCTGTTGTGGTACTTTCTGTTGGTATTTTAGCTGTTTGTCTACTTGATATTTCAGGATATTCTGTTGATGTAAAATTTTCTTCTATTATTTCACTACTCTCCATTGTTGTTGTAGGACTTTCAGTTGCAGGATTTTCTTTAGTTGTTGTGGAACTTTCTGTTGTTGTTGTTGTTGTTGTTGTTGGACTTTCTGTTTTTGTTGTTGTTGCTGGACTTTCTGTTATTGTTTGACTTCCTGTAGTTGTGGGACTTTCTGTGGTTGTAGTTGTTTTGAAACTTTCTGTTGTTGTTGTTGGACTTTCTGTAGTTGTTGTTGTTGTGAAACTTTCTGCTGTTGTTATTGTTGTGAAACTTTCTGTTGTTGTTGTTGGTGGTAAACTTTCTGTAGTTGTTGTGAAACTTTCTATTGTTGTTGGACTTTCGGTAGTTTCTAGACTTTTGGTTGTTGTTGTTGGACTTTCTGATGTTGTTAATGTTGTTGCTGGACTTTCTGTTGCTACTGTTGTTTGACTTGTTATTATAGGGCTTTCCTTTGTTGTTATGGGACTCTCTGTTGTTGAATGACTTTCAATTGTGGTGGGACTTTCTGACGTTGTTGTCGGATTTTCCGTTGTTTCTGTCGTGCTACTTTCTATTGTTGTCATGACTGTGGTAGTGTCCAATAAATCATTAGCCTACAGTAAAATTATTTTTGTGATTATTTCTCAAAATTATATACCTGTTTATAAATGATTAATACAAACAAGGTATGTTCTAGTGCCGTTTATACATACATTTCCACAGACTGCATAGGCTTTATAAGAAATGTCATTACATTTTTCAACAAAAGAGCAACCCGTCTGACCAAAGCAGGTTTGACAATTTATCACAACACCGGTCGTCTCTCCTGAAAAATAGAATCAATGCATCGATCAAAAATTAAAAAAAAACTCCATGGAACAGAAGAGCTAAAAATCTTCAAACTTGTGTGAAAATGTTCTCATGTACACAAGTGTCTTTGCTACCGAGAAAAAATGGAGATTTGTTACTTAGGGTTGGAAATTGGAAGTTGAAGAGAAAGGGGAATCAGTGACTTGTCTTTGTATATCAGATTACCGTTAGGGCTGGTGACCGCTTGTTTATATAAGATGTTATCTGAAATGAATGGAACAACTAAAAAATTCATAAAAGATAAATTTGAGTTTGGATGAAGAAATCATACCCCTGTCTTTGGTTAGATAGACCTGTCTGGCCACTCCTAGCCAGGTTTCCGGGGTGTTGCTTTTAAAGTTTCTAAGTTTGTTACACAGCACCCTTGGATCTTCGTTCAGACTAACTTCACCGTATAAATAGCTCCCCTCCACCCTGCACTCCTTGTAGGTCTGGCTCCAAGACTTGAAGTCTTCATCATCTGGGGCCAGGGTTTTATTGGTACTCTCTGGAACAAATAATCAAAGACTCAGAGCAATTATTACTCTACTTAAATTAGTGTTATTATTCGCTGCATGTTACTATATACCTAACATTCATAATAGTCTGTCTCTGATTTTACAATTTAAGGGAAGTTGCTTTTTAAAATATTTGATGAAAACCTGATGAGCTGATTTATATTCCTACCCTCTGATTCGCAGACTCGACCCAAGTCCTCCGTACAGTTGTTGGTGTGGATCTGTGCATACTGCTCATAACATCCTAACACAACACAGTTTACTGTTCTCTCTAAATAATGCAATAATTGGTATAATTGTATATTACAATCTAGTAAAATTGTTACTAGTAAACGATGTACGTAATTCAATGCTGTTAAAAAGAAGGAAAAATTATATACATTGTAAAACCTACCGCTAGGAAGTGTTTGGCTTGGTGTAGCTCTGTAGACGTTGTAGGTGGCGCTTCCTCCGCAGTCGTTCACGTGACTATCATCGTCAGAGGGACAATTATAATCACATTGTGAGGGAGGGAGACTGCTATTATGGGGAACGTTTTCCAGGCAAAGACACGTGGTGCTCTGAAGGGGTAAAAAAACTTTTGTAAGAAAACATATACTTTTCACCAGCATATACTTGTTTTTAATATCTAAATATCAAAATAATTTCTTCCTAAATTATATATGTTTTATCAATTATTTTATATGTATCATCACGCTGTATGCCCAATCATAACATACTATGTTTTATGCATAAATAAACCTCAGAATGGACTCTTACTTTCAGGGGATGCTCATAACTACATAGCACCTTATCGCACATTTGATGTTTTAGAGTTCCGTATTTGCTCTGCTCCAAAATGTGTATTGTTTGATGTTTTTTTTTTTTGTTTTTTTTTAGCTTGAATACTGTTCGTTATCTCCTTTTATTTTATTTTATCGATATACAAAAGATAAACATCGATTTTCTGTAAAACCTATATAAAGCAATTGTCAAGCTGAATACTTCTACACAATATACAGCACACCTTGAGAGCGAAGTGATAAGAGGGGCACCTCTCCTGACAGAGACCTACTGATCCCCGGACTAGGGTGTGGTTCGATTGTACCCCCAGGCTCTCCACATTCTGGTCACCATAGCATCCTGAAACACAATGAAATATACATCACATGTGCTTGTTGACTTTTCTTTTGTCGTTTTAATAGAACGTTTACATTTGTCATATTTTTATGTATTTTTTGTTTGTAACATTATAAGTTTTCAATTTTAAAATGCCTTTTTAGATAAGAAAAAAAAAGTAATAAAGCATATATTTATTTTTATTATTAACAACTTTATTTTAATATCCACTACATAAGTTAATCACATGTGCATGGTATTTTATAATTCAAATTTTGAACCTGAAAAGATTAAGTAATCAGTAAATATGTAAAAACTCTATCTATTTATATAATTTTAAAGGTAAAGCACAACAAAGGAGCTAGGCCCTCTGCATTGTTTAACTATCCACGCCTAATGGGTGTGTCTATGGTTTGTTGATATGATCAACCTTCAGTGAATTAATATCTTATCAGTGTTTACAAAGTACCCAGAACGTGTATCCAGTCAGAGAGTCTGTGATAATATCCTATCCAGTGTGGGGAGGGAAAATCCTCCTTTGTCCCCGGGATCAGAGATTCCTGCCGGTCACTACAGAATTTCTGGGCGGCGATCCATGTTAAATTATTTGTAGACACTACCAAACTATCTCCTTGAAATAAATACAGATTTTTTTTGTCATATGATAATTAAACTGTGAGGTTTGAATTGAAAATTTAAATCAGTAATAATAACTTGGAGATATGATCTCAAGAAAAACAGCTTAAATAAACAATAATAAAACTTGTGAATAATAACAGTTTCTGTATATATATTTAAAGTATAGCGTTTTAAATATATATACTGAAAAGCATCAAACCTGTGTATGCACAAAAGGAAATATTCAAAAGGATTGTACATAATTTTCTGACACTTGATATCCACCAATATGATATAACGGTTTACAATCACAGTAAAAACATATTTACGTACAGTGATATTTTCAAGACGTTATCAAATGACATAATAAATTTATCCTTGTTTATCTACAATGGACGGGAATGTATGCCTTGCGAATTATGATAATCTTCTTGTTTCAGTCCTATCTCAATCCATCTTTCTATGCGTCACTGGTTATTCGCAAAATAAAGCATCGAAGGAATTTTACTTTTTAAATAATTTTTAAATCTAAAATCACTGATAATAGTAAACAAAGTAATAATTATTTAATGCAACATTTCAAAGTCCTCAAATTTCGTTCCTTATTTCTTTTTAAAAGTCTAAAATATTTACATGGGACCCTGAATGTTTTTGCTAAAACTGCATTGTGCACGCTATAATTCTTACTAGTATGGTTGACTGGTTTGCGTTTTACGGCGTAAAGTACATATGGATATTTTAACATAGATAAGATTTGAAAAAAAAACTAGAAAAGGAAACAAATTGAATTATTTTCTTACCTTGATAAATTAGTAGAGACAAGATAAGTAATTTCCAGGTGTTCATGGTCCCTTCTCTTTGGCGGGGTGTACACTGTTATAACTTCCGCGTGCCGACACCCTACAATCCTTCACGGACATTTTAAATTCAAAGGGTTACCACGACGATAGACGTACACAATACATCGAAACCGGACTCCTCTCGTTCCAGTCATTGTTAACATGATAAATGAATGCTTCAAAGAAACCCAGACGACTGACTTCTAAGACTATAGGGTTAAGTAGTTAACGGTACTATAGAATTAAAATCGTGGAATTATGATAAGGTGTTGGCTGAATGGATACAAATAAAGGAAAAATTAACCAAGCCTTCTAAAAGTGATTTTAAAAAAGAGAGTCGTCAGATATAGAAGGTATTTTCCCTTTTATTAATAGTACATGACACTATTTTGTCGACTACTCTATCGATTTAAAAAAAAATGTTTAAATGTAACATGAGAAAAAGGAAAAAAATATAGAAATTTAGATTCGTGTGTCGTTTATATTTCAAATGGTTTAAGGAACAGAACTTACTCCAAAGTCCTAACATACTGTGTAAAACTATAAGTTATATAAAAACATTAGCTAAATATTGAAATATTTCAGTTAAAATAAAATAGAAAATATACTTTTTAAATGGAAACATTCACACGTTTGTCAGATTGGATTAACAACTAAGCTCTATGATAAACGTAATGACTTTAACTTTTCTATCATCAACTTCCCTTGCAGCAATATACCTTCATAACCTGCTTACGGCGTTTATATCTCTCATTTGATTCGATACGCAAGTATATGTTCTACGTATGAATAATTTCTAAAACGAGGTAAATTATTGACAAACAATTTGATGAATCAAGAATATCAGCAGTCTCGTTTAAAGTCATCATTTCGTAAGTTCTTTGGTCGATACAATGACCTTGTCAGCAATTACAAGTTTTCATTGGGTCAAATTCTGACTGACATTTTTCATACTAATTGTTAGTTCATATTTATACACTAAATTGACGACGGGTTTTCCCGTTATTTCCCGATCATGACAAGGAGCACAAGGCGGGTTCGACTGGTCGACAGCGGGTGCTCGCGCCTCTGATGTCTTAGAGGTCCGTGTTTGCTCTGCTCCTGTTTCGTATTGTTTTATGGAGCTTTGATCTTGAATAATATTCGTTATCTGCATATTCTTCATTAAAAGTATCAGGTGAATGTTAAGATCTTGCATTAAGCGAATGAAGGACAATATAAAAAAAGACACATCCTTCTGTGTTCAAAAATTCAGAAGTGAAAAAGGAATTAGATAGATTACACAATCAGCATGTCCTGGTCCCAGCTGAGAAAGGGGGTAACAATATTGCCTTTGTTTGTAAGGCTCGTTATTTCAATTGTATTTTAGATTCATTCTGCAAGCAGTAATCAACTTATACACATAGCTGCCTTTCTAGGGAGAAAATTCTATCAAAATCATAAGTCCGTTATAAATACCTTCAATAATCTTCAATAATCTCAAAAAATAAAAACGAATTTGAATTACAATACCTATACTGGATTCCTAAACTACATAAAAATCCTTACAAGGAAAGATATAGAGCGGGTTCTATGACAAGGAGCACATAGAGGGTGTGACCGAACGTTAGGGGAGGCTCACTCCCTTATCGCACCTGATCCGAGGATTTAGAGGTCCTTGTCTGCCGTGCTCTTGATTTGTATTGTTTAAATGGGCTTATGATCTTGAATAATGCTCGTTATCTCCGTACTAGTATTTCATACCAGTAAATGTTCTACCAAGCCTCTTTCTATGCTCCTCACAAATTACCATTAACAACAGTCAAGTATCCACATCTGATTTATATTACTTCTCGAATATATTGTATTGTTTTAACTGATGTAAATCAGATGTAGATACTCCAATATATCAAAGAACTTTTAGAAATTTAAAACAAAAATCCAATAACATTCAAACATACGAATTTTCAACACTTTATACAACCATGAAATCCATGCTTTTTTTGCATTATAGAAAGCCGCTTTTTCAATGAATATTGAACTGATAAATTGACTTACCTTGTCGTTGATATTTGTTAGATAAAAGAAAACTTTGTACACAAAAGATATTAAAAAGCTGCTTGAGTTTCTGATTGACAATATGTAGTTTCTGGAGACCAGGTCCTTCAACAACCTGTCAAAATTGCCGTAGGTAATAATGCCCCACGTTATTAGCAGACCATTTTTTTTAAATTCATATGAAGCATAATTTAATAAAAACCTGACAAGATAAGAATATAACACTTCCTCTGGCCACCGTCAACTCTAAACTTAGATTCCTCAACGACGTATTTTAAATCAACAATACTACTTCAATTCATAGGTTGACTCGATATAACCCGGTGAACTTCAACAAAAAGATAACACAGAGTCTGACACAGCTATTTTTACATTTGGATATTTAACTAGAAAGAGATATAAATAGTAATGTAACAACAAAGTTATATAATAAACGCCATGAACGTGATAACTTCAGCATAACGATTGTCCTCTTCTCCCTTAGTTATGTAGCAATATATCCTCAACACCTGCGTACGGGGTTTGTATCTCTCGGTTCACAAGAGTATGCCTTACATAAGAAAAGGTTCTAAAACGATGTAAGCTATTTACGGATGGCACCTGATCCCACCTCTGATGTTTTGGAGGTCAGTGTTTGCTCTCCTCTTAGTATTTTGTATTGTTTCATGGATTTTTGAGCTTGAATAATGTCCGTTATCTCCACATGTTTGACAAAGAAGTTGACGAAACAAGAATATCAACAGACTCGTTAGTCTCATTTCGTAATTTATATGTTCAATACAATGACCTTGTCAGTAAAAACAATCTTTCATTAAGTCAGATGCCGACTTACATTGTTATGCTCATTGTTTAGTCCTTATTTACACACTGAATTGTCTAAGAAAATTCAGCTTTTTTCTGATCATGTCGAGGGGCAATCGGTGTGTAAGTGGTCGGCGGAGGATGCTCACTCATCCATGAAACCTGATCCAACCTCCGATGTTTTAGATGTCGTTGTTTGATCTACTCCTGATTTGTTTTGATTGAATGGACTTATGAGCTATAAAACTGTTTGTTATCTCTGGTTCATTTGTTGTTTTTTTTAATATTAACCCCCACCTTTTAAATCTCCTTTTGATCACCCAAAGGGCAATTTAAGCTTCTTGGATCTTGATTTTTGATATTATAAATCTAGGTAAAGTTTCATATATACTGTTATTAAATGTAGAATTTGCCTTCTTGGTTGATCAATACAGAAAATGAGGACTGGAAAAATGGTTATTGCCATATTTCTAAAAATGGGTAATGTTAAGGGTTATTTGACAATTTGACAAATGTCACTTTTTAAAATACCATACACACGCAAGCACACTTCTGGGTTAAACTCATATTTGCAGATTTCACACAGATATTTCCTCCTAAATATATAATTGAAGGATTTAAATGATTAAGAAATCAATTCTTTATATAAAGTACTTGAAACTTGTATAAAGTTCTGTATTTTTCTCTTTTACACGAAATAAATCTTTCAAAATTTGGAAACTTGAATAATGGAGACATTTTTCTTGTTCACTGAATTCCCACTAATTGTAGTTGGCACTGGTATGTTGTTTGCCGTTGCGTTAGCAACCGGCAGTTTGACCTCACCATCTTTTGATTGGCTTGTCTTTGACTTATCAACGTGTGGCACATTTATTTCCATTTCTTTTGTACTTTCAGGTGCTGTTTTTGAAGCCTCTTTAGTTTCGGTCGACTTGATATCTGTTGTTGGAATCTCTTCAGAATCTTTGGCCTTATTTTCTGGGAGGATATCTGTATAATAAGGTGCATTTTCCACTTTCATAATTTTACTCTTGTCCTCTGGACTTTCTTTATTGTTTGGATTATTGTCTAGTTTATTTTCTGTATTTATTTGCAAGTAATTATCGTACAGTTTCTTTTCTTTATCTATCTCAGTGGTAGGCTTTTGGAGGAGACCATCGGTCTGTACTGGTTCTGCTTCGTCTGTATTACCAATGGAGGAAGTTCCAGCCACTACTTCTGATTCCTTCAACTGCTTCTTGTCTTTCCATTTGCTTGTTTCGTTTCCTGTGTCTCTCTGTTTCGATACAGGTGGATTTTCTCTTTGTGTGTCATTCTGTGTCGACACACGTGGTTTTTCACTAGGTGTGTCTTTCTGTGTCGATATAGGAGTTGGAGATTCGGGGACACTTGTTTTACTCTTTATGTTTTCTTTCTTGTACGAGTCTACTGATACATGCACTTTGTCCCGTTCACTGCCGATTGCAATGTTCTTTTCGAACTTCTCCCCGGGGACTTCATCTGGTTTACCAGACTTTTGTCTTCGTTTTCTGAATGGAAATATGTTTATACCGATTATATTAAGAAATCTCAATTAATGCAAACTTTACAATGATTTCCTTACAATTGCAGAGACTACAGAGACGACACCTACCGGATGCAGACAACTCCTATAATTACCAATACCGTCACCACAACCACGAGAGATACTGTAATAGCAATGGCTTGCTTTGCATCGTCACCTATAAATATATTGTATACATGTACCACGTTAGACTCTGAATCACCATTTGAATGTTTCTATGTGTAGTAATTATAGTTTCACTTCTTGGTCTAAACACGTGTTTTGATAAAACAGTGACTCAAGGAGTGCACAAAATTGAAAGTCAAAAATATTATTTATATTTGAGGTCTGGAATTTGAGTTGTAGAAAAGTTTTGGGGCATTTTTATATTATTGTTTAGGTAAATCAATGTTGATATCCTTTTTAAAAAACAAAGACAATACCGATCCCAGTTTTGGGTGCAGGTGCAGCAGTAATTGCTCTTGAAGTGCTGGTTATCGTGGATGTTTCTCCTGTGCCTTGTGTGGGTGGTAGCAGGTCGTCCTCCTTTAAATTCAATTTTTTATTTAGTTTAGATCTTTTAAAACTGTTAAATGTGGCAATGATTTGGCAGTATGTTGAATTGATTGATACCTACATTGCCACAAATTGCAGTTGCTTTCACTGAATCGCTATTACAGTTCTCTACATAGGAACAACCCGCCGATCCTTGACAAATGCTGCAGTCTATCACAACTTGCTCACTCAGCTGTTGTCCTGAAAGTTTCTCACAGAACTAACAATAATTATATACGCTACATACTAGTACATCAATATATCCAATTTACCAATATTCCAATGGACAAGAACTCATAATAATAATAAATCATAATAATTATATTATTTTTAAATTGATAATTGCACTTCAAACTTAAATTGGAAAATGTATCAATATATCAGTTGTACGCTATGGCAACAACAATATATCAGTTGTATGCTATGGCATGACTGTCAACAAACCTCTATCTTTGGTCTGGAAGACCTGTCTAGCCACTCCTAGCCAGGTTTCCGGGGTGTTGCTTTTGATGTTGTATAACTTATTGCACATTGCCCTGGGGTTTTCATTGAGGCTGATGTTTCCGTAAAGGTAGCTTTCCTTCTCCCTACATTCAGTGTAGGTCTGATTCCATGATTTAAAATTTTCTTCGTCTGGGGCAATCGTCTTATTGGTACTTGCTAAAAAATATTGAGGACCCCATGTTGAACTGTTACAATCTTGAAGTTAACTCACTCAAAAACTATTACGCCTATAAAATTTAAAGCAGAGAATATATAATAAAACAACTAGAATATCCTACGATCATGCCTACCCTCAGATTCGCAGACTCGACCCAAGTCCTCGGTACAGTTGTTGGTGTGGATCTGTGCATACTGCTCATAACATCCAAGCACAACACAGTTTACTGTTCTCTCTGAAATATTGATTTTTAACTAATAAACTAATTCTTCATTTATTATGCTTTATATATTGATATAATCATACTTTATTATCGTATTGTAAAAAGGGTATATACATCACTGTTGTAGCCATACGAAAATACTTGAATTAACTGTATCGAACCCACCACTAGAAAGTGTTTGACTTGGGGTAGCGCTGTAGACGTTGTAGGTGTTACTTCCTCCGCAGTCATTCACGTGACTATCATCGTCAGATGAACAATTATAATCACATTGTGAGGGAGAGAGACTATTAATCTGGGGAGTTTCCCTTAGGCAAAGACACGTGGTATTCTTAAATTAGAATCGAAGAGTTGCATCATGCAGTGCTATTATAAACAAAACTTATCAAATTTTAGATAATCTATTTATTTAATCTGTTGTCTAGATCTATATCGGAAAGAAATTATTGTCACTATTTTATAATAAATTAAAATCAATTGATTACCTGAAGAGCGAAGCTGCTGGATCCACACCTTTCTTGACAGAGCCCCACTGAACCTCTGTCCAGGGTGTAGTTTGACAGGATCCCAAAATCTTCCACGGTCTGGGCACCATAACAGCCTGAAGAACCATTTACACAATTCTAGATAGCTCTGTTGTCCCTACTCCACTCTCTTGTTTATCACGACATCCCTCTTGTATTCAGATCACTTATTCACAATTATTTTGTGTGATTTCAGTTAGATGGAGAGTATTATTTAATAGCTGTTTTTTTAAATTTTTTATATTTTTATTTTTTTTTATTCTAGTGAGTTAGTTGATGAAAAATTAAATTTGTAGGAAATAGACGTTTAATTACGATTTCGCTTACCCAGAACGTGTATCCAGTCAGAGAGTCGGTGATAATATCCTGTCCAGTGTGGGGAGGGGAAATCCTCCTTTGTCCCCGGGATCAGAGATTCCTGCCGGTCACTACAGAATTTCTGGGCGGCGATCCATGTTAACGGTTCTGGTGATTCCAAAAAACTCTCTCCTTGAAAAGAACAAAAACAATATCCCGTGTATTGTAGATAAATTATGAATTCTAGAAGAACCAACTTCATTATTTTGTCCAGTCTGATAGGATTATGTAACTTAAAAATTACAGACAAAGGCTCCGCTGAAATCAATACATTTACACTTGATGTGTAAACAGTTTGTGTAAGTAGAATACCAATTTGGCTGAGAGTTTGTGTAAAGAGATTTAAGGCAATCCCTTTGTTTTCGACTTTATCATAAACCATCTCGCCTTGCACCACTGCCTATTCAAACAAATTGACTACTCATCAAATGATATGGTAAACGGCAACCTGACAGGACGATGGCCATTTTCAAAAATTCAAAGTTTTCCTAAATATTTTATAACTTTTTCCAGAACTCACGGCGGAAACACTGAATTGGCAAACGTGATTGGTGAAACATACCAATAACGTTAACGTTCTCAAAACACACAACACACCGTACTGAAAATCAATTTGATAAAAATTATTATAAAATATACTGCTTTACCTTGCTCTATTACCAGTAAGAGGAGGAGGATCTGTTTACCTCCCTCCAACATCCCTCCTGGACATCAACAGATGGGCGGATCCCTCCTGAACATCAACAAATGGGCTGGACAAGCAGAACCAGTCTTTCTACTTCCGCGTACTACTTTACCTCAATCCTCTATAGAAATTTAAATTTCAAATGCTCTGACGAGAACTCCATGTGATTTTTTTGTTACAGCCTAATAAATGCAGGGATTTAAAGGCAAGTTTTTTGTGTTATAATACAATTAACTCCGTATTTTTGAATAGAAAATATGCAACTAATACCCAAGGAAGTGTAAAACCCGGCCTTGTCTGTTTTTTGTTACTGATCAATAATTAATGATTCACACATGTTACCAGGTAAAATTTCATTAATTATTTGTGTGTTCCTCATTCCATCTTGAACTTCAGGAAAGGCAGTTTATTTATGTGTAAAATACCATTCCTGTCATTAAATGCGACCAAACAATCGCAAATCTCTTTACAGAAGACCTTCTGAAGCATCTCCTTATACACATTCTCTTCAAATTGAATTTCATTCCCACTGAGCAATATATCTAAATTAATTTCATTATTTTGGGAAAAAAGAACTCCGTATGTCCATTTGAATATCCTTTATCTTTTTTAAGAGCTGCATTGAAAAGCAAACAATTTGAGAATAAATATGCATGCCTCATAAATGTATGTGAAAATTAGCAAAATGAAAATGATGGAGATAACTCTACATTAATTCTATTATTTGTAAGGTTTTTTTATCCTTGTTAAGTTTTATGCTAAATGAAATATATGGATGCTATGGAGATAACGAACATGCAGTATTCATTAATAATAATAATAATACTTTATTTATAGAAGGTAATCCGATTAGTGCGAGCACTAGTCTTCCTCGGGGCCTTCTTAAAAACACATATACAATGTTTTATACAATAATAAAGACAATAATCACAAACATGGAACAATAAGATATAAACACACATTATGTTACACTAGAGTAAAACAAACACTTTCATTATAAGTTCAGAGGAATGAAAACTTTTTTTTTTCATGAAGAACGTTTCATAACACCCTACTTTTAAATATTGAAAGGGATTGGGAATTCCTTATACTAATAGGCAACTCATTCCATATAATAACAATATTGCAAAGAATTTTTAAATAAATTAGTTTTAAATTTTGGTAAACGATTCTGAATTTGTCTGTGAGCCGTGTATGATCCACAACTTTGAAATTCAAAAAAATTGTGCATATAATCAGGAGACATACCATGAAATGTTTTGAACATCAGAATGCTTTTCTGTAAATATAGAAGTTCATGAACTGTTAACCAGGCTAATATGTTAAACAAGGGCATTGAAGGTGCATCGTATTTTTCATTTAAAATAATCCTAGCTGCTCGTTTTTGAAGTTTGTATATTCTATGATGTGAGTTTGAGGAGAGTTACCCCAAATAGATAGACAATATAAAATTGATGGTAAAATAAATGCGTTATAAAATAGCTTTCTAGTATGCAATGGAAGGAACTTCGTGTAAATAATTTATATGCATTTTGCAAACTGCACTTACAAAATTGAAGATTATGATCGAAAAACTCTGTTGTAACATTTTCAAGGGGTTGGCAGTTTTCTAATTTTGATTTCTTTTGATGTGTTCCCAATATAGTTTTGTCCGTATTCAAAATCATCTGATTTTGTTGACACCAGTTTTGTATTTGAAAAGATTCAGAGCTTTCAATATATGAAATATTGTTAATAAAATGCATTGTAGTGTCATCAGCAAACATATCAATATTACAATGTTCAACAGATAATGGTAAATCAATATATAACAGGAATAACAAAGGACCTAAAGAAATTAAAACATTACAAAATAAGAGAAAGGAATTGTCATGATCAGGAAATAACTTCTTCAATCTAGTGTATAAATAATGGACTAACAATAAGTATGAAAAAACGTCACTTTGACTCAATGATAAATTGTATTTGTTGACAAGGTCATTCTTTTGAAATGAAGTTTTTTGTTTCATCAACTTGCTAGTCAATAATTAACCTTTTTAAAAATTGTTCAAAGCAAATCAAATCAACTTATATACACTTCGATGCAGAAGAAAAGTATATTGCTGCATAAGTAAGGGAAGTTGACGATAGAAAAGTTGAAGTCATCACGTTTATCATATAGCTTGGTAGTTAGATTACCATCAAGTAAAAAATCCAATAATGAAGCAGATGTGTCAGACTCTGTGGTATCTTTAATTTCAAGCTCACCAGGATATATCGTATCGACGTAGGAATGGAAATCACGATTGTTAATTGACAAAGACTTATATCTAAATGTCGAGTTGAAGGCCACAGCGAATACACAAATTCTGCTTCATATGAATATGAAAAAGGTCTGCTAATAACGGAGCGCAATTGGTACCCATGGGAATTCGATTGTTCATAAAAACCACATTGTTAGGTGAAGCATTTTTTGTCAACTTCAGAGTACTTGTGTGGGAAATCAGAATATGTTTCAACAAAATAATTTTGCAAATGACCAATGACCAGGTAAGTAAATTTACGAGTTCCATTTTTATAAAAAAAAAAAAAAAAAAAAAGCAGCTGTCAATGATATCAAAACGCCTTAACTTTAATTCATCGTGAGGAATGGTGTGTATAAAGTTAAAAATCGTAAGGTTTTAAACTGTTGATTTTTGTAAAATCTTGCGATTTCAAATTGTCCAAAAGTACTTTGGAATTTTTGAGTATCCACATCTGATTCACACCACTTCTTGAATATATTGTTGCACAGTACTCCTGAAGTTTTCCCTTCTGTATCTTAGTGAGGCACTTGAAGGTTGAACGTTTACTGGAACCCTCAATGTATCTTTGTTTGTAAGGATTTTTATGAAGTTTCGGAATCCAATATATATATAGGGTAGATCAAATTTCTTTTGCCTCTGTGGAATATTAAAAATATTTAAAACTGACTTTTGATTTTGAAGAATTTCTTTCTTAGAAAGAGAAGTATGAGTATAAATAGGATTATCACTTGTAGAATTAAATCTAAGTTCTTCTAAAATACAATTTATACCGGGTATAATGTTACAAACGTGTTGTTACCTGCTTTGTTATCTTTGTAAATTTGGATTATTCAACACAGAAGGACAGATGGTTCACCCCTTTTTTTAAATTTATCTAATACTTTTAATCCATCAAATTACCCGATATCTTATTTTTTAAAATATACAATACAGGTAGATATTTGTTTTAATTATTTATAGGGCGAAGAAGAACATGTACACAATGGAGAAAAAACATTTTATTCAAAGTATCAAAAAATCAGAGTTAGGATCAGATGCCTTTTTTTTTAAAAGTCTCCTTGTCATGATCATGTTTCCTTCAGTGTATAAATAATGGACTTACAATTAGTATGAAAAACGTCAGTAATTTCAAAACTAAAAGATGAATTTAAACGAGAATGTTAATATTCTTGGTTCATCAACTTGTTTGTCAATAATTTACATCGTTAAAGAAATTTTAAGGAAAGGAATAAAAACTTCTTCCGGTTTGAGCACTTTGTAAGAGGCATATACTTTTGAAATGAAGTGTACGTACTTTTAAAAAGCCAATTTTTAATCAAATTAAAGTTTCCGATATTTAATTATTTTTTCTTAATTGATACGAATGCAAACTGACGTTTTCATACACATTGTTAGGTCATTTTTAACATACGTAATTGTCTCCGGATTTTTCCGTCTGTCTAATCATGATAAACGGGTGTAACCAGTCCACATGGAATGCTTAGTCCTCTGTGGCACTTTCAGGTTTTTAAGAGGTTCATGATTGGTTTGCTCCCAAATTGTTTTGTTACGATAGATCTTTGAGATTCATTATTGTGAGTTATCTCTATATTTCATTTCATTTCATTTCACTTTAAATGTATCTCTTTAAATCAAATTACCCGATATTTTATTATTTTTCTTTTCAATATACAATACAGGCAGATATTTTTGCAATATTAGAAAAGAGAATAAAATATTCTATTCTCTAAAATTTTTTTTTTTTTTAAAAAAAAGTCGCAATCTACAATGAAGAAAAAAATGTTTCTACTTATCCTTTGGCTTAAATCAAAGAAGGTAATTACAAAACATTGTATAATGTATACAAATTTCAAAAATGTATAAAAACTTAATATAAGTTTTGAAAATAAAATGTGTTTCTTTCTTTGAAATTTTTCAAACTCGCTTGAGTGCTTGATAAAAGTGATTTATGAAAAGAAAAAAAAAATATGGGTGATATCATGTTTATTTAAAAAAAAAATAGTCGTTCTACTGTCAAAGCTTATCATTGTTTTAAGACTCTCGTTTCTTTATTTGAACTTCTTGGCTATGGTTATAATTCTGCAAGGCCTGTTCTGTCTCTATATCTATTGTGTGACAATACTCATCATCTAAAGCCCCAGAATGTACGTCCACTTTTCCATACGCGTGTTCAGTCTGTAAATCTTGTGTATGGCTATACTCTCCGTCTAGATCTTGTGGCACTGTACTCATCTTTGTTTCGTCGTACGTGTTTTCTGTCAGAATAAGTCCAGTATGATGGTACTCATCGCCTTCAAGGCCAGACTCGGTCCCTTTTTCTCTATATACATCCGCAGAGGATTGATCGTAGATATGGTCACTGTTTCCATGATCTGAGGCCGCCGCTTTCTTAATAGAAGCACGGTCATACGTGTCTTCGCCTTGTTCCCTTCCTTCTTCACTATCCTTAAGGTGATTGTAAACGGCTAAATCTTCGGTTAGGTTCCTTCTTTCTTCATTCTCTCTGAGATGGCTGTAAACACCTATTTCACTGTATTCCGCTTTAGGGCCTGTATCATTGGTTTCAACATAAGTGTAGTGGTCTGTCTGCATTCCTTGTGCTGTGTCATCCTCGGTTCCAGAAGCTTCATCGTCACCCTGCTGCTGATAGATTTTGTTATTAAATCTTGTCGGCTTTAAGGCTTCATGTGTCTTTTTCCGATCTTTTTTCCTAAAATAATAACTGTAGTGTTTCATCAAATGTGTGTTGTATATTTGAGGTGTGACATGAACATAGAATTTTGGAAGTCGTTGCAAATTACAAAACTGAAACTTTTTTGATTATTGTACTGTACTGGAAACTTGCTAAAGAAATTTTAAATTAAATACATTTTATATATCTTAAAAATATATAATAGGTATTTAGATCTACAGGGTTTTAAACCAAATAATCTTACAGCACGTCGATTTACCACATCTTCATACATTGATCCAATAAAATTAGATAAAATTCATAATTATGGCAGAGTATTTTTAAACCATAAAGCCTATGCTTTGAAAAGAGTCGTCATTTTCCTGACTAATATGATTTTGGAAGGAGAAAATGGGTTTCAATAAAATTGACTTTTTAGATATTTTTTTATGATCTAAAGTCAGAAGCGCAGAAGGATAATAATTTTCTTCTTCCCTGCTTCATAGATAGTCCTCGCTCCCAAGTCAATAACTTTAAATTTTCAATTGCATGTTGTTAAGGTAGAGATTGATAGGTTGTCAACAAAAAACTACCCATTATTGTTTTTTGAATTTTTTATATGTTTGTGTTGAGTCCTTGTTCTAAATCATATCAAAAATTCAAGGCAGGTCATCGGGCTAGTTTAAGAGATATTTGACAATTTTAATATAGCCTTCATCAACCACCGAAGAGCTGAAAAAGCAGGGGGGTAAAATAATATAAGAATATTATAACAAAGATTCTGTGAAAGTCTCATAAATTTATTTTTCAGTGATATGAGAGGATTTGCGGATAAGAAAGCTCATTGCTCACTGCACCTCTACTTTGTTTGTTGTCGAACGTCCCTCTCGAAAAAAAAATCAATCATACAGAGACGTCAGCACTTGCCTGTGGAGAGCTACATATCTATACCTTTACTCGGCACTCATGGATCATTGAGCAGTGTTGCAACCACTATTGAAATAACGACCACTATTGAAATGATTATTTCAATAGTGGTTGAGAGTGTATTTCAATAACAAACGGATCTTTCTCGTGCAAAGACCTTAAGCGACACGGGACTTTGGTTCATACGGAACACCCGATCTCCGTATAGTGGATTCCCACAGTTCCACAATGGATTCGAAGTCGCGACGTAAAGATCAGTTCCTTAATTACAACGACTCTATCGAGCATATTCGAGCAAAGAGACTTGTGACATATCCTTTTATTATATAAACTTTTTATTACAGCATTACAACTTAGGATCTAAAAGTTGTTTTATACCGGTATAAAAAGGGAATCCGCAGACTCCGCATATACGTCCATCCGTTTCGCATATACCCTACTTTTATTACCAATTCCTTCTATACCACCGAATAAAATTTAACTTTCTCAGAATCTTTATAGAAACACAAAGTACTTCTATACACCTCCTACCTAACTTCTTGAAAAGATCCATACCAGTGTTTGGAATTCCCTGCAGGAAAAATGAACACTACGATTCTTTTTATAATATTTGGGGTTTACATAGCTTATCCGCAACTCCTCCTATAACAACGAAATAAGTTACACTTTCCCAGAATCTTTATAACATGATGTACATAAAGTGCCAATGTTCGCCTCTTATATATTTAACGTTTATTTGTCCCGTAAGAAAACATTGACCCTTTTATACTCATAGGTGTGGAGCTATTATTTTTAGAGCTCATTGCCTAAGATTTAACAATACGTTTTTAATTATCAAATCAATCCAGAGACAATAAACTCCATAGGTAGGTGATGATGGTACAATTCTTTTTACATTCAGGGGAGTTGACAATAGAAAAGATGAAGTCATCTCATTTATCAATGAGAGTTTGACAGTACAAATGGAATATAATGATTGATTTGATCTTGATTGTACGAGAATTTTCACTCATATGGACTCGCCACCACTTGCCAGTGGAGAGTTGCAAAGTTTGTCCTATACTCAGCACTTAGGGCCACTGAATAGCGATGGATACTTTATCGTGCCATCACCTACTGCGACAGTCCCAAGTGGGACCTCGGTTTATACAGTCTCATCCGAAGGACGGTGTCCACGTTCCACAGTGGGATTCAAACCCTTGGATTATAATGATTACAAACCACAATAACTCTGTAAAAACATATTAAAATACAAGCAAAAGTAAATAGTTGACACGTTCAATTTTCAAAGAATCGTATTTCTTGTGTCATTCTGGTCCTTACCTTACAAAGCAGAATGCAGAAAGAAAGAGAATCAAAAGAAGGATGGTAATTGTAGACACAGTGATAATTATTTCTCTTTTGTCCGCCCCTAAAATAAAGAATAAAAAAATTAGTAAATAAAGTTGATATACATGTATGGCAGAAAAATATTATGCCCACGCGCCACGTCGCTTACCTGAGTAGTTATGACCTTTCTATTCTTTTTCAGCAGATACTTTTTTCTACATTCACTTATGTAATATTTTGAGTACCTTTTTTTTGTTCAACCCGAAGTCGTCACGACTTAAACAAACTTCATTCTATATTATCTTCCAAATACCCCCCTTTTTTAGCTCACATGAGCCGAAGACTAAAGTGAGCTTTTCTGATCACATTTTGTCCGTCGTCCGTCCGTCTGTCTGTCTGTCCGTCTGTAAACTTTTCACATTTCCGACTTCTTCTCAAGAACCACTGGGCCAATTTTGACCAATCTTGGTACAATGCATCCTTGGGTGAAGGGAAATATAAATTGTTAAAATGAAGGGCCAAGTCCCCTCACAAGTAGAGATAATCAAGAAGAGACAAAAATAGGGTGTGGTCATTGAAAAATATTCTTCTCAAGAACCACTGGGCCAGAAAAGCTGAAACTTATGTGGAAGCATCCTGGGGTAGTGTAGATTCTAAATTGTAAAAATCATGACCCCCGGGGGTAGGGCGGGGCCACAATGGGAAATCAAAGTTTTACATAGAAATATAAAGGAAAAATTTTTGAAAATCTTCTCCTCAAGAACCACTGGGCCAGAAAAGCTGAAACTTATGTGGAAGCATCCTGGGGTAGTGTAGATTCTAAATTGTTCAAATCTTGACCCCCGGGGATTGGGCGGGGCCACAATGGGGAATCAAAGTTTTACATAGAAATGTATAGGAAAATCTTTGAATATCTTCTTCTCAAGAACCACTGGGCCAGAAAAGCTTAAACTTATGTGGAATCATCCTGGAGTATGAGTGTAGATTCTAAATTGTTCAAATTCTGACCCCTTGGGGTATGGCGGGGCCACAATGGGGAATCAAAGTTTAACATAGAAATATATAGGAAAAATCATTGAAAATCTTCTCAAGAACCACTGGGCCAGAAAAGCTGAAACTTATGTGGAAGCATCCTGGGGTAGTGTAGATTCTAAATTGTTCAAATCATGACCCCCGGGGGTAGGGCGGGGCCACAATGGGGAATCAAAGTTTCATAAAGAAATATATAGGAAAAATATTTGAAAATCTTCTTCTCAAGAACCACTGGGCCAGAAAAGCTGAAACTTATGTGGAAGCATCCTGTGGTAGTGAAGAATTCAAATTGTCTAAATTATGATCAATGGGATAGGGTGGGTTCACAGTATGTATTAAAAGGGGGAAATCTGGTAAAGAACAGAATGGCCAAAGCTTCTCAGGTGAGCGATGTGGCCCATGGGCCTCTTGTTTAAATTCGAATCCGGTGCCTATGAATTAACAGCGTCCTTCTTTCATTTTAATAAAAGGTAAGTCTTCAATTTTTAAGCAGATTTCAAGTAGGAAAATATAAGGCACTAATGATTCTGTAGCACTATTAGAAGAGTTAAGTCAATACTTCCAAAGCGTTTAAAAAAGCGCTTCATTAAACGTAATTCACATCACAAATATAGCAAATACAGTGTGCTTCAAATAGGCGTAATGTTTGTACTTTCTACCTGATTGGTTAGATGTGATGTTTGTACTGTTCAAATCCGACCTTTCAGACTCTGTGTAACTATCAGTTGCTGTTTGTGTACTATCCTCGGTCATGGATACTTCTTCTGAATTCTTTGATGTGATGTTTGTACTGTTCAAATCCGACCTCTCGGACTCCGTGTAACCTTCTGTTGCTGTTTGTGTACTAAACTCGGTCGTGGATACTTCTTCTGGATTCTTTGCAAAGAAAGATAAAGAAATATTCCGTCTGAAACGTATAAATACTTATGTTGTATTTTAGGAATTAAAACCGTACTAAAGCAATTATAGATCAACGTATAAAACTGAAGGCCGCATCGCTTTCCCCATGATTATATATTTTTTTTAATGTGAAGGAGACATAATATTTGAGCCACGGGAAGCCATGGGTTGAATCAGGTGCCGCCGTAAAATCTTTGTATTGATTAGATAGATGGAACATTTCATTGTCAAATTCAGCGTAAAACAAAGGCGTAAAATTTGGTATGAAACAAGTTAACCTAATATTGACCCAATGATTGGATATGTTGACAAACGAATTCATTATAAAGAATACAGTATTTACGAAATGACTACTTTAAACGAGCTTGTTGAAATCCCTGTAAACATTAACTTGTCAGTTAATACATAGCCTCGCTTTATAAATTGATCGTACTCAACGCAAGCTCTTGAGTAGAGATAAAGTCGGGAGACATAAACACCATAAGCAGGTGATAGTGAATATTTCTATATGAATAAGAAAAGTTAATGGAGGAAAATCTGAAGGCACCGTTTGTCATATAATTTAATTGTCTTCATTTATCGTCTAAGGTCAGTATAAAGCAAATAAATATGAAACAGACGGGTCTTATTTCAAGTCACACTGGGATACATCGAGTCGACATATAAATAAAAATATAATTCAATAATCATTTCATGCAAATCAAACATTTCTGTACCTGTTTACATACAGCAAAAGCCTTTTTGTTGCAGTCTTTAGTAAACTCACATCGTCCATTCGAACAGATCCGACACTGAAGAACATTTTCCTCTAAAATACCTTCAAATTCAGCTTCATTGGTAAAAGTATAAAGATATTAATGATTTTATGAATACATATCGATTCACATATAAATATGGTATTTTTGTAGCTTATTTTGAAATAACACAGTGCATATTCATTAATAGATTGAGCAAAGACATAATTTTTTATTTCAACATACCTTCACCGCTAACAAGCACTGGTTGTCTAAGAATCCCGACCCAGGTGGAATCAAGCCGCGTATTATTGATGATCTTACATGCGGCTGATGCATCGTTGATACTTATGTTTCCCAGTAAATACTCCCCTTTTTCTTTACAGGATTGTAAAGAATACTTCCATCCTGTTTCTGTTAAAGTTCCACTATACGATGCAGCTATATATAAAATGGCAGAATTAATATCACCTTCAAAAAATACCATTTATTCATAATTGCATACGATGGTTGTCCCAAAGTTCCGTGGACTTTTAAAGAAATAATCATCTTACTTTTGTTTGTTTCTGTGTGTATATATTCATCCTCACAACGTCAGGGGTCCTGAGTCCAACGGCAACGTGTTGACTCAGGACCCCTGACGTTGTGAGGATGGTATATATTATGTGTTGTTGGTTTATAATTTACAAAGTTTAAATATGTTGACTTGAAATTAATAAGTCAAACACATTCTCGGTTCATAAACAGTCTGCATACAAAGTACGACCTTTCAATGATTCCCCATAACAAAGTCGTAGCCCAGGCAAATTTGTCGTACCTTTTTATTAATGACCTTGAAAAGTCAAAATGTCATGGTTTAATCTCAAGGCTCACTCTCAGGTCATAAGCAATCTATGTATCCAGCATTACCTTTAAGTGATCCTCCATTACAAAGTTATAGCCTGGACAAGATTGCACATACAGACAGACAAACTGACTGACAAGTTGATTCCTTGTTTCCCACCCACCCCCCTCCATCATTTGCAGGGGTACCAATATACGATTATAATAGAAATTTAACACATTCTTAGAAACTTTGACATTTATACCCCACGAAGGAAAAAAATAAATGCATTTTTTTATAGAAATAAAATTTCCTTTAATTTTATTAGCATGAAATGAAATTAGAAGTGATCTGTGATATCTTCCAACGATATTACAAATATTTTACACTATGTGTTTTATAACAAATAAAATAAATAAAACAAGAGGCCTATGCGCCACATCGCTCACCTGAATAATTTTGACCATCTCGTTCTTTGCAAGATTTCCCCCTTTTTATACCTTTTGTGACCCCACCCTATAACCAATGGGTCATAATTTGGACAATTTAAACTCTACACTACCCCACGATGCTTTCGCAAAAGTCTCAGCTTCTCTAGTAGTTCCTGGGAAAGATATTTTAAAAGATTTTTCCTATATATTTTAATGTAAAATTTGGGTTCCCTATTGTGGCCCCACCCTACACTGGGGGATGGGGGGGGGGGGTCATGATTTGAACAATTTAGAATCTACACTACCCCATGATGCTTTCTAATAGGTTTCAGCTTTTCTGACCAAGTGGTTCTTGAGAAGAAGATTTTAAAAGTTTTTTCCTATATATTTCTATGTAAAAATTTGATTCCCTATTGTGACCACGCCCTATCCCCGGAGGTCATGATTTGAACAATTTAGAATCTACACTACCCCATAATGCTTTCACATAAGATTCAGCTTTCCTTGCCCAGAGACTGTTGAGAGGAAGATTTTTAAAGTTTTTTTTCTATATATTTCTATGTAAAAATTCCCTATTGTGGCCACGCCCAGCCCCCGGGGTCACGATTTGAAAAATTTTAAATCTACACTACCCCAGGATGCTATCACACGAGTTTCAGTTTTTCTTGCCCATTGTTTCTTGAGAAGAAGATTTTTAAAAAATTTTCCTATATACAAGTATTTCTATGTAAAACTTTGATTCCATTGCATCCCCGCCCAACTCCCGGGTGTCATGATTTGAACAATTTAGAATTTACACTATCCCAGGATGCTTCCACATAAGTTTTAGCTTTTCTGGCTCACGCAGTAGTTCTTAAGAAGATCTTTAAAGTTTTTTTCCTTTATATTTCTATGTAAAACTTTGATTCCCTTATCTGGCCCCGCCCAACCCCCAGGGGTCATGATTTGAACAATTTTAAATCTATACTTCCACGTGAGTTTCAGCTTTGCTAGCCCAGTGGTTCTTAAATTGAGATGAATTTTTTAATGACCCCAACTTATTTTTTGTATTTTCTTGGTATCCCCCCTCTTGAGGGACTTAGCATTCATTTTACCAATTTAAACCCCCCTTTACCCAAAGATGCTTTGTACCAAGTTTGGTTAAAATTGGACCAGTGGTTCTTGAGAAGAAGTCGAAAATATGAAAAGTTTACAGACTGACGAATAGGCGGAAGGACGGACGACAGACAAAATCAGAAAAGTCAGAAATCAGAAAAGCTCACTTGAGCCTACGGCTCAGGTGAGCTGTAAAAATAAAGTATCGAATAAGTATGAAAGCATGCAATTTTCTTTAAATGCCTGGATAGTGGGAACCTATATATTTTTTTAAAATCATATAATATATATTTGTTAATCAATTTTCAATCAGCAATGGCACTATGATTCGCATTTGCTGAAAAATATTAAAGATTTATAATTCTTTCCTGCATAATATGATTAATTATGATTATACCTCCGCTTGAAAAGTGGGAGGTATAGTGATCGGGATGCTCGTCCGTCTGTTACGCTTTTGGGTACCCAACCGCAAGTCCTCTTATACCACGGAATAAAATTTAATGAGACTTTCACCAAATCTTTGGTTTTCCATAGGAAAACATGAACACGACCATTCTTTCTACAATATTGAAGGGTGCCCATCTCTTATCCCCAATTCCTCCTATACTACCGAATAAAATTTAATGATACTTTTACAGATTCTTTATTACATAATGCCTTTGTTACCTCCTATTTTACTTTTTTATCTGACACTTATTTCGGGTCTCCCAGAGCAAAACATTAACTTTGCCGTTTATAATCAAATGAGAGACAGGGGGTATCATTTTGTAAGCTCAATGCTCGCAGTACCTCTATTTTAAATGATGATCTTTGAAGAAATAGCATGGGTAAATAAACATTATCTTAAGAATTCAGAGATATTATTGTAAGCATATTCTCCTTTACCCAAACAATGTTTAAAATTTATATTGCTATCATTTCATGTGATTACTCCATTTTGGTATATAAATATTTCTGTTATTGATGATTGAATACATTTATGATTATTTGTGACACCGGGTTTCGTGTGTTGTTGTCCAGGGAATTCAGGGACAACGCTTACAAGTACATATGTATATAAGTGTGTGTGTGTGTGCATATTCTAATAAAAGTATTAATTAATCTAGAATTCTTAAGAGTAGTCTTGAAATTTTATAACAAATTCTGCTGTTATAATTTACGTTAAGATGAAGATTTTAAGATTTAAGTTCCTTCTAATTATTACTTTCTACTTACTCGTCTCCGTACAAGTCTTTTTGAAGTCTCTTTCGCATACAGCAGGTTTAATTTTTTCATCTTTGTTTTGGGCACACTTTATCGCCTGACATTTGCTTTTGTCTATAAAAAAATGAAACTAATCGCAACTTCTCAAAATCAGGCCTCTCCGAAAATTAGAAATGCTCTAAAACATGCGATTTATACTAAATCAAACTCTGTGCGGAGACAATTAAAATAAAAACAAGATGTTTTTGAAACACTGATGCCCCTGTATGGCAACTTGAGGCAAAGGTTAATGTTTCTCAAATTCGAGTCAAATTCCATGCAATGTCAAGAGAACAAAAATGTTACATACAAAAAGGACATACGGAAAGGACTTGTGTCAAAAGATATACCAGAAAAGCTTAAACATAAACCATCCAAAATTTAAGATTTTTATCAAAGTTAATGTTTTCTAAAAGTTTGTCAACATCCATTTCAATGTAAAAGGGTCACAATTAATGGTACACAAGAAATGACCTTGTCATGGCAAATGTTATGGCAAAAGTTTTTTAAACCCAATGCTGTATGTACAAATTGTTGGTATCCAAAGGAAGTTCTTCTCACAGGAAATATACCCGTGAAATATGAAAGCCCTAGTTTTAATTGTTCAAAAGTTATAGCCAAGGTAAAAGTTAGTGAAACTCTAAAGACAGGGTCAAAATATCAAAAATTTACATACACTGTACTTAAGGGAAAATCTTGATGCGATGTATATACACGTGAAATAGGAAAGCCCTAGCACCAACTTTTCAAAAGTTATGACCAGGGTTAAAGTTGAGTAAATTGTGTAAAAGTGTGTCAGATTCTCAAATTTCCAGGTCAGGGTAAACAACTCAAATATGTTGATACCCAAAGGAAGGTCTTGTCACAAGGAATACACATTTAAAAGCTATAGCCCCACTCAATTAAAGTTACGAGTAACAAGGTAAAAGTATTTGCGGACAAACAAACGGCTAGACAAACGGACGATCAGGGCAAAAACTATATACCCTCGAATCTTCGATAACAGTTTAGAATTTTCTGAATACAATATTTATCATAAGTAATCCATAATTTCTTCTCCAGAGGTCAATTGAATCTCCTAATTCGTGTAAGCATACGTTGTAAACGTCTGCATTACTATACATACATTTTTCTGTCGTTCTTGTTGTCTTGTAGACGTTGTAATGTGAAACACCTCCACAGTCTCGTAGGTACACGTCTTTATTCGTGTCATTGCATTGAAATGTGCAATTTTTAGATGAGCTAGAATCTTCCTTTGGAGGTAAATCATTCAAACAAACACATCTATTGGACTGAAATAAAGAAGTGAAAAAGTTGAAGAACATCGATTAGTCTCGAGAAATTCTATATCCAAACAATACATATCTGCGAACAGTGCATACAACACGGACCCCTGGGACTTCCAGAGGTGGGATTAGGTAAATAGGAGGAGTAAGCATCCCCTGTTAATCCGAAACACCCGCCGTGAGTCAAGTGTTTTGATCAGGAGGTAGTCGAATGCAGTGTGAAAAACTAGATGTACTGTGAGCAGTGAGTTCACTAAATGGTACCCCCGCCTCCCGTATGATTACTGTTAATCACGTTTTATTTGCGTGAACTTTATTTTCGAGTTATTAAGCGAGGCATTCTCGTGAGCATATTACTATTCCTTTGGGCTTTACAGAATAATTAACACAGTTCGTGAAAATTTTGTCTCGTTTGTAAAGAGTTAATGACTATCTCACGAAAATAAGTTGTCACGAAAATTAAGTGATCTACAATATAATCCATGTTTTGCTCTGGGCGACCCAAATAAGTGTCTGATCTAAAATTAAATGTAGGCGCAAAATGACATTATGTAATAAAGTAGGGTCAACCAGATATCAAAAGGGAAAAAAGCGATATGTTCCTCTACTTTATCTTACCAAACATTCGGGTATGCTGTGATAAATTTGAAAAAATGTGAATTCATTATATACCTTCACTGCAAATGCCTCCAACGGGTAACATTTCAACTGACAAAGCCCAATGTTCGGATTGTTCTTCATTACAGAACTACGATTAGTTACGGTTTTTACAGAGCTATCCTCAAAACAGCCTGAAGTAGAAAATAAAATTTTTGATTTTATGCACTTAAGTATTCTTTGTATCATGTTCAAGTTCTCAGGAATGCTTTTTCTTCTCGATTTCAATTCTTCTGTTTCAAATTTTCAACATAACAAGTAAAAAGGACCAACAAGTTCCATTTCTTTTTCAGATTACCAATGATATGGATCCAGTGAGATGGGGCGTAATAAGCTCCTGTCCAGTATTCCTCAGTGCTGGTTGTGACTTCAGGATCGGTTAACATTGAATTCTGTTTTGCGCAGAAATTCTTGGCAACTTTCCATTTCAGTTTCTTAGAAGAAATGCTCTCGAATGCAAACAGTTCTCTACCTTCAAAGATGTTCAAAAGATCATTAATAAGTAAATATTTCCATTTCCAATTGTTTTCCCTATGATAAACACTACAAAAGTAAATCTTGTTTATTCTCCGTGATTCCTATGGCATGTAAATTTCACTATTGAAATAATACTGAAGGGTCAAAGTTCAACCTGCATGTATACGTGTGGTACATGACTGGCGTATAAATACACTGAAGAAAAAATAGATGTTTTGTTTAATTGTTTACTCTGTAAGTATATATGATATACATTTTTACAAACAAAATAAATAATGAATTGTCTCCGGATCAAAAGCAAGTCACCAAGTCCACTACCACCGAGGACTCGCGAGACCGAGATCTCCACTTCCGTAAACATGGTAAACAGCCCATCAGAACCACGTGGAGAAATCGGCATCGCCACATAGATCTATACTCCATCACCCGATACAGACATCGTCCCTCAGTCATTACCATCCAACTTCTAACGCAATTCAACGTCCTCTGTTATTATAGCACACACAGTTCTGTTTCCTGACCATGCTGACCAACTCCCGTTTCATCAACTGCAACATTGCATTCAATATGGCGGCGGAGAAGTGACCTAGAGTCTATACACGTGTTCGTGCTTCCGACGACCTAAATCTAGGTCACATATATGATTAAAGTTAGCATGATTACTTTGATCATAATATAAAATTCTTTTGTTGTTTATTTTATAAATGTTGATATTTGACTGGAGTATAACTAAATAATCATTAAATTCGTTTCGAGTTTGTATGGGAGTATTTTTTATAGTAAAATTTGACGTCATGGGGCGGGGCAATGGAAAATAACATGGAATGCCTCGTGCATTTCAAATCTACTAAATCAGACGGCATTTCGATTTATTTTTAGATTGTTATTTCAAGTAAAAATGGAAATATAAGGAATCACTGTGTAGTTAGGAGGATATGCCAGGGACATCAGCAATAGTGGGAAACATGGGATAATTTTAGCACAACGGGCTTCGCCCGTTATGCAAATTATCCCATGTTTCCCACTATTGTTGATGCCCTGGCATACTCTCCTAACTAGACAGTGATTCCTTAAATAATGTGTCCTTGTTCAGTATATAATTTTTAAATCGATTTTGTGTTTTAACATTTCTGATACGATTTCAGAATGAAATATTTTAAATCGTTTCAGCTCAAAGATTCATTGAAACCATACAAATCAGGGACAAACTATAAAACGGGTCTCGATCAGACCATAAAACTTAAACAAGCTCAGTCTCACTTTTTCACTTTTATCTTAATTAATGATAGATTTTATTTCCTGACATGGTAATTGTATCGTCTATGGAATTAGGGAATTGATGACTTCAAACGAGAAAGTAGATATTCTTCTTTCACCTTGTTTCATCAACTTATTTGTCGACCCCTTGCCCATTTTAGAAATTGTTCAGATGAAGAACATCTTCTTGTGTTTCGAATCAACTGGGAGACATAAACACCATACGCAGGTGATAGGGGTGTACTATTACATATAAGTAAGAGAAGTTGGCGATAGAAAAGTTTTGGCATGACGTTTATTATAATAATTTTCAATAACAATGATGCTCATTGAGCAAGTTGAAAATGTCAGGATTGAAAATTAGTCAAAATTAAAATTATGTTTATTATTTTCTTCAAATGATACAAAGTGTCTAAATTGTCATTATTGCGCTTCTCGGATATTTTATCTCTGAAATAGGTAAATTTGCATCTAGTAAAAGATTCAAAATACACATTGGTTACTTCATCATCAAAAATTAAAGACGAAAAACTTTTTTTTCTGGACATCTTTCGTGAATGGTCAGTTTGAAATCTATCTATGACTTAAGAAAATTGCACTTGTCTGCTACGTATGTTTTTTCTGACTTCAAGCAATAATTGTCAACTGACAACAGAACTACGAAAAATGATGACTTTGGGCTTTCCGTCGTTAACTTCCTTATTTATGTAGTAAATTATCCAGTGTCATGTCTTCTTTAAAACTCACATGCACGATTTTAAAACCGATGCAGACTACTGACAGGAAAAGATTATGTTAGAGGGATGTTTTAACAACTTCGTTTAAAGACAATTCGTGAATTCTATGTATGGACGATAATATACTACTTGCTAACTTTGGTCGTATTTTAATTGATATATTTTATATTAATTTTGGGCTTTTGTTTTCATACAAATATTGACTACGAATTATTTTGTCTACTTGAGCATTCTGTGTGGCTTACAGCGGTGTGACGATCGACAGGGATGTTTTATCCTTATAGGGACCTGATCATGCCCCTGATACTCTTCATAGGGACCTGATCATACCCCTGATACTCCTCATAGGGACCTGATCATACCCCTGATACTCCTCATAGGGACCTGATCATGCCCCTGATACTCCTCATAGGGACCTGGTCATACCCCTGATACTCCTCATAGGGACCTGATCATGCCCCTGATACTCTTCATAGGGACCTGATCATGCCCCTGATACTCCTCATAGGGACCTGATCATACCCCTGATACTCCTCATAGGGACCTGATCATGCCCCTGATACTCCTCATAGGGACCTGATCATGCCCCTGATATTCCTCATAGGGACCTGATCATGCCCCTGATACTCCTCATAGGGACCTGATCATGCCCCTGATACTCCTCATAGGGACATCATACCCCTGATACTCCTCATAGGGACCTGATCATACCCCTGATACTCCTCATAGGGACCTGATCATACCCCTGATACTCCTCATAGGGACCTGATCTTGCCCCTGATACTCCTCATAGGGACCTGATCATGCCCCTGATATTCCTCATAGGGACCTGATCATGCCCCTGATACTCCTCATAGGGACCTGATCATACCCCTGATACTCCTCATAGGGACCTGATCATGCCCCTGATACTCCTCATAGGGACCTGATCATGCCCCTGAAATTTTCAAAGTTTTTATGTCTTTCTTTTTTGCGATCGACCATTGTTCGTTATCTTCCCTTTTTATGCACCGGATCGATAGATCCGAGGCGTATATTGTTTTTGTCCTGTCTGTTTATCTGTTTGTCTGTCTGTCTGTTGTCAACTTTACCTTCGCCATAACTTTTGAACCTTGAGAGGTAGAGACTTGATATTTGGTATGCATACTTCACTAAAAAAGTTCTTTCAAAGACCTTGTGACCTACAAGCTAAAAATAGCTTTTTCGGACTTTTAGCTCACCTGAGCAGAAGGCTCAAGTGAGCTTTTCTGATCATATTTTGTCCGGCGTCCGTCTGTCTGTCTGTCTGTCTGTAAACTTTTCAAATTTTCAACTTCTTCTCAAGAACCGCTGGGCCATTTTCAACCAAACTTGCCACAAAGCATCCTTGTGTAAGGGGGATACAAAGGGCTACGCCCTCATTCAAGGGGAGATAATTGGGAATTAATGAAAATTTGGTGGCATATTTTAAAAATCTTCTTCTCAAGAACCACTGTGTCAGGAAAGATGAAACTTATGGGGAAGCATGCTCATGTAGTGTAGATTCAAATTTGTTCAAATCATGACCCCCGGGGGTAGGGCGGGGCCAAAATGGCCGACCAAAGTTTTACATAGAAATATATAGAAAAATTCTTTAGAAATCTTCTTCTCAAGAATGACAAAGCCATAATTCATCATATTTATATGGAAGCATGCTCAGGTAGTGTAGATTCAAGTTTGTTCAAATCATGACCCCCGGGGGTAGGGCGGGGCCAAAATGGCCGACCAAAGTTTTACATAGAAATATATAGGAAAATTCTTTAAACATCTTCTTCTCAAGAATGACAAAGCCATGATTCCTCATATTTATATGGAAGCATGCTCAGGTATTGTAGATTCAAGTTTATTCAAATCATGACCCCCGGGGGTAGAGCGGGGCCAAAATAGCCGACCAAACTTTTACATAGAAATATATAGGAAATTCCTTTAAAAATCTTCTTCTCAAGAATGACAAAGCCATAATTCATCATATTTATATGGAAGCATGCTCAGGTAGTGTAGATTCAAATTTGTTCAAATCATGACCCCCGGGGGTAGGGCGGGGCCAAACTGGCCGACCTAAGTTATACATAGAAATATATAGAAAAATTCTTTAGAAATCTTCTTCTCAAGAATGACAAAGCCATAATTCATCATATTTATATGGAAGCATGCTCAGGTAGTGTAGATTCAAGTTTATTCAAATCATGACCCCCGGGGGTAGGGCGGGGTCAAAATGGCCAACCAAAGTTTTACATAGAAATATATAGGAAATTCCTTTAAAAATCTTCTTCTCAAGAATGACAAAGCCATAATTCATCATATTTATATGGAAGCATGCTCAGGTAGTGTAGATTCAAGTTTGTTCAAGTCATGACCCCCGGGGGTAGGGCGGGGCCAAAATGGCCGACCAAAGTTTTACATAGAAATATATAGGAAAATTCTTTAAACATCTTCTTCTCAAGAATGTCAAAGCCATAATTCGTCATATTTATATGGAAGCATGCTCAGGTAGTGTAGATTCAAGTTTATTCAAATCATGACCCCCGGGGGTAGAGCGGGGTCAAAATGGCCGACCAAAGTTTTACATAGAAATATATAGGAAAATTCTTTAAAAATCTTCTTCTCAAGAATGACAAAGCCATAATTCATCATATTTATATGGAAGCATGCTCAGGTAGTGTAGATTCAAATTTGTTCAAATCACGACCCCCGGGGGTAGAGCGGGGCCAAAATGGCCGACCAAAGTTTTACATAGAAATATATAGGAAATTCCTTTAAAAATCTTCTTCTCAAGAATGACAAAGCCATAATTCATCATATTTATATGGAAGCATGCTCAGGTAGTGTAGATTCAAATTTGTTCAAATCATGACCCCCGGGGGTAGGGCGGGGCCAAAATGGCCGACCTAAGTTTTACATAGAAATATATAGAAAAATTCTTTAGAAATCTTCTTCTCAAGAATGACAAAGCCATAATTCATCATATTTATACGGAAGCATGCTCAGGTAGTGTAGATTCAAGTTTATTCAAATCATGACCCCCGGGAGTAGGGCGGGGTCAAAATGGCCGACCAAAGTTTTACATAGAAATATATAGGAAATTCCTTTAAAAATCTTCTTCTCAAGAATGACAAAGCCATAATTCATCATATTTATATGGAAGCATGCTCAGGTAGTGTAGATTCAAGTTTGTTCAAATCATGACCCCCGGGGGTAGGGCGGGGCCAAAATGGCCGACCAAAGTTTTACATAGAAATATATAGGAAAATTCTTTAAACATCTTCTTCTCAAGACTGATAAAGCCATAATTCATCATATTTATATGGAAGCATGCTCAGGTAGTGTAGATTCAAGTTTGTTCAAATCATGACCCCCGGGGGAAGGAGGGGGGGGGGGTAAAATGGCCGACCAAAGTTTTACATAGAAATGTATAGGAAAATTCTTTAAACATCTTCTTCTCAAGAATGACAAGGCCATAATTCATCATATTTATATGAAAGTATGCTCAACGTAGTGTAGATTCAAGTTTGTTCAAATCATGACCCCCGGGGGTAGGGCGGGGCCAAAATGGCCGACCAAAGTTTTACATAGAAATATGTAGAAAAATTCTTTAAAAATCTTCTTAATAATCTTCTTAATAAACCAAATTCTACTTTTTCCTAGCCTTAGTGTTCAGGTGAGCGATGTAGCCCATGGGCCTCTTGTTCCATAATTTTCGAACCATAAGAGATGGAGACTTTATATTTTGTATGCAAGTTTCACTAATTAAATTCAAACAAATGACACCAAGGTCAATGATCTTTTGACCTTGACTGGGACCTTTATGCTAAAAATAGCTTTTTTCGAACTTTCGCCATAACTTTTGAACCATAGGAGATAGAGACTTTATATTTGGTATGCATACTTCACAAAAAAAGTTCTTTCAAATGACATTAAGATCAATGACCTTGTGACATTGACTGTGATCTATGTGCTAAAAATAGTTTTTTTGAACTTTGTTGCCGCCGGGCGCATAGTGTTTCACAAACACATCTTGTTTCTTATGAAAACATTCTACACAATATAATATATGTTAACATCGCGAAATATTCTTGAGTTAATAAATTGGTCACATCGAGAAATATCATTGAGTTAATTAAATATTCACATCGAGAAATTTTCGTGAGTTCACAAAGATTGTGATATTCTTACGAGAATGAAAGTACTGTAAATATAATTTATGGACATACTTTGGATATTCTTTTTATATACAGTGACTGCAAAACCAATTCGATTTTTTTAAATGTGGAACTTATCGTAAAGAAATTAAATACTGATATATAAACTTACTACCAATCAATAGATGTAAAACGACAAATGAGACTATAGTTGTCATTTTTCCGTTCCTGGTTGCAATATCCCTGTATCCCTGCAGTTTTCTCTGTTGACTTTGCTGTATCCCTGTATTTTCTCTGTTGTCTAAACTTGAAATATTCTGGATAAATCAAGCAAGTCATAATAAGTACATTATATAAATCGACAAGATCAACACTCACAAATAAAACACTCCTGTGTTAAACATTTAACTATAGAAAAAAACTTCAATACCATTTCCTTCCTGAATGAATACACTCAAAATGATCTTAAAGTTAGTGCAGTAGATTCTCATTCAGCAGTACATTCTCATTATACTTTTCAGAACATTTTTTGCATACATTACATGTACATGTATCATGAACCAGATATGCTTTACAAAAACCAAAGAAAAAATGTAGATATACAAGGGCTGTTCATTAGATAGTGTCCTGAACTCTATGAAATACAACATAGATATCATATGACATTAAATTTGACTTTTTCTCATGACTGAATCTTTAAAGAATTCATATTAGTTTATGTGACCATTTTCATCTCATTTTCATTGTGAGAAGTTGGAAAACAAGGGCTACTCGAGACACTGCATTAAAAATAAATGGTAAAGAATCAGGAAACTAGAATGAAATTAAACGCTTCATTAAAGATGCTGTAAAACTTGGTAAGAAACCCAAAGAAATATTTACTGAAATTTGTGTAATTTACAGCAACCAATGTCTGTTTTACAGACAAATGGGCAGGTGGATTTCAAAGACCAATAATAATATAAAAGTCATCGAAAATGGATACCTTCCTTGGCGACAAAAACTTACAACAACCAATGTAATTTTTGCCAAAATTCAACAAATTATTACTGATGATGTTTGATTATCATTAAGACATATAGAAAATTTGATGGACATCATATTTAGGGGTAGTTCACACTATTTTAAAGAAACATTTGCCTGTAAAAAAAAAAAAGCTTAGTAATCAATGGTCACCCTACGTTTTGAAAATGAGCGAAAACGACAGCGTGTAAGAATATCAAAATAATTACCGTATTTTTATAATATCAGAAATTGTAGTTATCCATGTTTGTCTGAAATTCAAACAGATAATGAAACTTGAATCCATCATCTAAAAATAAAATAAAGTTCAGTTGACAAAAACAGCAAGGATCTGAAAAAAAGCAAAAAATTGCTAGAAGACAAAGACAGTTTTATATGCCATTTTCTTACATATTAATGATCTTGTTGTTCGAATTCTTATTCGGGGAGGCAGTTTAATTTCTGGACGAGTCTAGAATGCAATTCTTTTGCAAAAAAGGTCTGAAAGGTTTTACTGTATGTAAGGAAGGAACCAGAATCAGGAATCCATTACATTAAATTTCTCAAAGGCAGGCTTCAAACTCACACTCCCTGATGAGTAATGGTGTTTTGGGCATAAACAGAAAGTTAATGTTTTCCCACCAACAATATTCGCCATATTTTTCACCCTTTAACTTGGGTAATATTCCAAAACTGGAAAAAAAAAACACCTTCCGGAAAGAAGAAACAAGTCCAGGAAATCATAGGATCTGCCATGTATTAAAGATATACTAGGGGTACATAGAGAGGCATCAAATCTTGCTGTTTTATGTGAGTTGGGTCGTTTTCCTTATATATATATATATATATATATATATATATATATATAAAGCACATTTTACAACAACTCTTAAACTAACATAACTGCCCTAAGTGAAGAAATATTAATATAGAAAGCACAAAGAAATTCACTTTTACATAGATACCCACTTCCGCCCCAGCCCGGGGTTGAACTCTCGACCTTCGGAATCTGTCTCCTAGCAGTGCAGGAACAGCGCGCTAGACCGCTCGGCTATCTAGGCAAGTCAAAAAACTTGCTTTCGATGCCGATGGAATTCTCGCGGCGCTGCCCTACACTACACGGTCATTGAGAATAGAAGTGAGATACAGTTATTTGGACATTAGTTTTAACAGAGGATTGTTACCAATACATGTTGTAATGAAATTAATTATTATTTATAAAGCACATTTTACAACAACTCTTAAACTAACATAACTGCCCTAAGTGAAGAAATATTAATATAGAAAGCACAAAGAAATTTACTTTTACATGGATACCCACTTCCGCCCCAGCCCGGGGTTGAACTCTCGACCTTCGGAATCTGTCTCCTAGCAGTGCAGGATTGTTACCAATACATGTTGTAATGAAATTAATTATTATTTATAAAGCACATTTTACAACAACTCTTAAACTAACATAACTGCCCTAAGTGAATTGTATTGGTAACAATCCTCTGTTAAAACTAATGTCCAAATAACTGTATCTCACTTCTATTCTCAATGACCGTGTAGTGTAGGGCAGCGCCGCGAGAATTCCATCGGCATCGAAAGCAAGTTTTTTGACTTGCCTAGACAGCCGAGCGGTCTAGCGCGCTGTTCCTGCACTGCTAGGAGACAGATTCCGAAGGTCGAGAGTTCAACCCCGGGCTGGGGCGGAAGTGGGTATCCATGTAAAAGTGAATTTCTTTGTGCTTTCTATATATATATATATATATATATATATATATATATATATATATATATATATATATATATATATATATATATATGTAAGACTCCAAAGTCCGATGGTGACGCCGAAGTCCGATGGTCACGCCAAACCCCGATGGTCTGCGCAAAACTCCGATGGCTCGCTGTCTTTACGGACGCCAAAGTCCGATGGTCACGCGAAAGTCCGATGGCTCGTTTCCTATGAGACGCGCGACGCTAAAGTGCGATGGTCTGACACGCCAAAGTCCGATGGTGCGGAGGAACAATCAACGTTTATGACGTCACAATAGTCCGACGTCATGACGTTGTCCTGCATTCAAAATCCATTGATTCAGTATTCGTCTCACATACATTTTTACTGATATTGCTTATTGTTTTCGCCTACCAGAGCTATTAGGGCTAGTCCTTGTAGACTATGCGACTGATAAGGGCCGGTTAGTTCTTGAACACCAATGTGTTTCACCGAGATATTTTATGGTTAGTCCTCGCACACTATTGGACTGATTTGGGTTAGTCCTGCACCCATCCAAGATATCTAGCTTATAGTTTTAACACATTTTTCGACTGATAAGTGTTAGTCTCGCAACTATATCTAAAAGATTAGGGTTAATCTTTGCATTTAATATTTATTTGTATTCTATTTTAAACAAATCGGGCTTGGCATGGCGCGGTATCGCATTTTTGCGTAGCAGTGCTATGACGTCATAAACGTTAATTGTTTTCTGCACCATCGGACTTTGGCGTGTCAAACATCGGGGTTTGGCGCAGACCATCGGACTTTGGCGTGCCCATCGGACTTTGGAGTCCCATCGCACTTTGGAGTCCTACATATATATATATATATATATATATATATATATATATATATATATATATATATATATATATATATATATATATATATATATATATATATATATACTATATCCTTCCTTTCGCTGATGGTAAACTCTTGATATGCTATGTTTTGTCTTGCGGGTTTTGGGAACTTGTTATATTATTGTCATTAGGTGGCTGGGATGATTTTAAGTGTGGTGGTTCATTCTGGACGTTGTTTGTATCATCAGGTGCAGGTTGAGTTTGGTTGTTTGGTGCTTCTTGATCATCACTTCCTGTGGGTTGAGTATTGTCATCTAGCTGATCAGTTGCTTGAATGTTTTCAGAGAGAAGGTGTGCTCTAAGTTTATCTGGGTCTTGGTAGTGTTTCAGGTTAACAGTGTTGACCAGTGATTGATGTGGTTTGATATCCTGCACAACTATTATAATTTTGACCTTGACAAGTAATCTGATAGCGACCTCTTGCTTTGTCATACAGTTTGGCAGAAAGTTCTTTTGGGTATCTGATGTATTGACATGAGAAGATGGTCACCTAGTCTGAAATCTGGAACTTTGGCTGTTCTGATATACCAGGTACTTTTCTTTGTTCTTTTGTTGATGTTAGAGTTCATTTTCCTTTGTTGTTTTATGGTAGATCTTAAGATTTGAGCATACTGTGAACTGTTGCATTAACTGCTTTCCATGTAAACCAATGTTTTCTTTTGGTTGGAGTTCTACATCAAATGGAAGTCTCATTTCATAACCAACCATCATGACGAAAGGGGTATTCTGCTGAGACTGACTTTCTTAAAGACATAATGATTCCTGATATAAAGGTTGGCCACAGTTGTTGATCTTTTTCACATTAAGCACGCAGTGACTTTGGAATTACACTGTTTTGTCTTTCGACCAAGCCATTCGTATTTGGATGATAAGCACAAGCATGGTATTTTAAGATGTCAAATATTTTATATGGAGAATTGATGATTTTAGAATTGAAGTTCCTACCACGATCAGAGAAAAGAGCAGAGAGAGCATCTTAGCTAGCTATTATGTTATTGAAGAGGACTGTAGCTACTTCCTTTGCATTTTTAGTACGGAAAGGGAAAGCTTCTGGACATCTAGTTCCAGCATCAATACAAAGTAATATGTACTCATTTCCTTCTGGGCTCTTATGGAGTGGACCTAAAATGTCAATTTGCCAACATTCAAAACTCTCTTTGGACGGCATGCGATTCAAGGGTGACTCTGTTGGTTTAAAGTTTCTCTTTGCCATTTCACATCAAGTGCGTTACTTGACGTAATCAACAATGTCCTTATGCATGCGTGGACAAAACTATTTCTGTATGATGGAAGCACGTACTTTTTCTATACCAAGGTGATCTCTACCTGCTAGGCTGTCATGATATTGTCTGAGTAGATCAAGGCGCAAAAGCTTTGGTAGAGCAATCTGCGTGATGTAGCGATCTTCCTCAATTTGTCTTCTGCAGTGTAAAAGTTTTATTTATTTGGTATCATGTCATCATACATAAAACAAATAACATGATTTTACATGATCATATGAAAGACAAAATTTGGCGATCCAGATTTCATATAGATTTATACACAAATAAATAATTTTAAAAAGTAACATATTTTTAGAAATACAATTCCAATGTGACTAGATTGATACCAGGATAACCCATTAAAGCTCGAGAGATTATTTCCAATGGGGTCCGATCTTAAATAACATTAAAGAATAAATACGTTCAATACAATGTAATGAATTTTCCATCAGCGTCACTGAAATAAATAGACTAGAATATTATTTGATAAACAATAATGTTTTGACTCTGCTATAATGACATCTTGTTTCTTTTTATCGTCAGGAAGGGTGCTGTTTTCCATGTAATTTACTAATTCGAAATCATCAAAATTATATTTGCATAGTGAAGTTTTATGTTGTTATCAGTTATTGGCTGTAATTCTTCTTGTTGACTTACAGTGACTATGACTGCTGTTTCATCTGGGTCATTAAATACGTTGATTTGAAAACTGGACATATTTTGAATGTATTATTTTCTGTGTATAAGGCACTTATAATACCTATGTAGGTGTGATTGAGTCAGTGCGTCGTTCCATTTCTTTGGGTTTTTCTGCATGTCGATATGGACATCTTCTACAGTTATTTTTACTTGTTTTACCAGCTGTAAGCACTATCTCGAAATCATATTCTTGCAGCTTGAGCGCCCCTTGTTCCAGTGTTCCAGTGTGTTTGGCTGATTTTGTCCATACAAGAGCTGTATGGTCGGTGTAGATGGTAAACTTTGCACCCATAGATAAGGAATTTAAGCTTGAACTCCTTTGAGAACGGCTAGCGGCTCTTTGACCGAGGTGTTGTATTTCTTTTTGTTGCTGGTCAATGATTTTTCCATAATTCGTAATGACTGGACTCGTTCTTTGCCTTCTGGTTAAACTTGACTTAGACAGTACCCAATGGCTCTGTCAGAGGCACCACAAGTAAGGACAATAATTTTTCAGCATCAGGATAGGAAATAATGGGAGCATTTTTAGCATGTTAAAGCATTTTGACAATTTTCAGTCCAGTTGAAGAAAGAGTCCTTTTTAGAGCATTTAAGGGAGTAGCTATATTGGTATGACTGTGAAAAAGTTCCTGCAGTAATTTGATCTCTCTGATTGATCAAAAGTTTAATGAATATCTATATTAAAAAGTTCCCCCAGGAGATGATCCTGAATGGGATTTCTTCAGATCCTTGTGTAGCGATCTATGTGAGTATTTTTGATATCATACTTACCAGCATATATTGTTTCAACATAAGAATGAAAATTACTATTGCTAATTGACAATACGTTTTTGATATATCTAAATCTCGAGTTGAATTCACGGCATGTGTTTTCTTCTTTTCACGCATAAGATTTTGCACAAAGTCTGCTTCATATGAATACAAAATTAGGTCTGCTAATAACGGGGCGCAATTGGTTCCCAGGGAAATTCCAAAAGGTTGATGGAAGAATTGGTCTCCAAAAAAATTTCATAAATTTTGTCAATCTATTCTGGGTTAACAGTACATATGGAATATAATGATTACAAACCACGAAAATTGTAAAAATATATATACAAATACAGGCAAAAGTAAATAGTCGACACCATTTTATTTCATATTTCTTGTGTAGCTCTGGTCTTTATCTTACATAGCAGAGTGCAGAGAGAGGATCAAATGAAGGATGGTAATTGTAGACACAGTAATAATTATTTCTCTTCTATCCGGCCTTTTCAGCGATAAATGAAGCACCACTTGAATTACGTCGCCTTCTCGCCATTTGACTGCTTTGACTGCACGTGAAAATATTATGTGTGGTGTTAATTAATGCTTTTTTTAAATTTCATATTAGCATAAAAGCGTTTTTGACAGTTGCTTTCCTTATCAATAAATAAATGAAACATCAAAATGTTGTTTTATGCATTTTTTCACATTTAAGAGCTACTTCATTTGTCGTTAATAGGGCTTTTTAAATGGCGGTAGCATCCTTTTAATGACGAATAAGTTGTAGAAGAATCATCTCTTTTCTGATTTCTCGCACCTCGGGAGATAGCTCCGCGAAATAAAGTTGTAAAAGGTAGGCAGAGTGTCGGTAAATTCCCACTTTTCAATATGACCTCCGCTCTGACTCTCCCCTGCACAAGTCACAATGTAAAAGCAGGAGTTACAGTCAGAGGAATCTCGGATTATTAGGTCCTCTGCTCATGTCACATCTATCAGGCCTATTTGCCCATGTTTTATTACTACGCAAAATGACGAACTATTTGCGGGGGACCCGAGGTCCTAGTTGTGCGTACGTTTTATCCTTCTGCTGAGTCAATCGGCTCGATTGTACCCGAGCCGTGTAAGTGACGAAAGTATGACATCAAATAAAAATTCCTGTAACAGTTGACTTAGGACGCAAACAATAGTTTTGTTGCATGGAGATTGCATTGAATTGCTGTTTGTAATGTGTTCAAGTAATTTAAGTTGTTGCTATGTTTAAGCCAACATGCTGCTATGCACTGCAAAAGATTATTGGAAATTAGGATTTTTTCATGTGGACTGATTAAAATTTCTTGGAACAATGTGCAGATTTTAACCTCCGCTTGTACACGTTGTCTATGGAGCTCGCTACGCGAGCAGCGCTTCGCACCTCGCTCACTATGTAGCATTATGTATATATTTTTTTTTCATACTTTTAATTCATAAAAGTGTTAAATCCAATGTAGAGGTTGATCATTTTGAAAATGAATATAGAAATACATTTTGAAGTTAATACCCTTGGTATGATTTACGGTGTAACGGTTGAGGCGAACACAGTCCTATACACCTGTCAAACTGCACGAGATAGTCTAGACGCACATTACTCAATTTGTTTGCGCACACCGCTGCAGTTATGACACTATATCTTTTAAAAAATAATGATTTATTGCTTAAATAACGCCCTGCGAGCGTTATAGAATTTGATCAGTTGACCGACTTCATATCATATCCCAATGAAATTCTAAAAATGATATCTTATTTCTAATAAATGAAAACGTTGTAGAGTAAATGAAAATATTTTTTGTTCTTTTTAAGCTTTGTGAAAATAAAATAAGGAAACGTATCGTGATAAAGAACAATTATTCATGGTAGATTGTATGTTTTAAAATAAATTACACGTTAGTCTAGTCGTACGGACCGAAAGGGAGTGCCCCCCCCAATGTATAGATTACTATTGAATACACAGCTACTTTATGCTTGTGACCCGTCAATGATAACAAATGATAAACTTTATTTTTTAATAATAATGTTAGCGTTGAACAATACTCTTCATATCTATTTGGAATAGATCAAGAAAAAATGCACTCTTATTGTCAAGTAGCATTTGTAGGCAACTTGTCCAATGAACAAGTGGATATTTTGGTATATAATATTCATTGTTTAGTCCTGAAATTATTCCTATATCATAATATATATTGTTTTACATTTACTTTATGACCCAAGGGATTTAAAAATTTACAATCATGTTTACGACAGTTTACCTGTTGGCTGTCTTCTTCTTTGTGTGGCTCTGTATGTCCTGCCATTCTTTTTCATGTCTTTGACATTCCTGATACAGTAGGAGCAAGAATATTGGACTCTGAGTGAAAACATCACACATTCATAAATTCGTATGAATTTTAATAGAAATAGGCAATTGTTTTGAAAATGTATTCAGCTTCTTTGTTATTGACCATTAAACTATATTCATGTTCTGTAGCCTTAGTATATATTTATATGGAAAATGAGAGCAACAGTTTTCGATATTGACAGCTCACAGCTTCCTCCTGGTATCCCAAGAAAGATCATAATTACTACATGTATACCTTTCTGTAATTTCCAGCCACGCTCTCTGTTTAGAATGAATGGTGAGAGACAGGCAGAATTTCTCTCGAATAATGGCCCTTCGCTCGGTCAGCAGATCCACCAATAGATTAATACTGTCCTCTATACCACGATTATTCTACGTTCCTTTGCTTTGTTTCGAATTTACCTCCATCTGTTCCTAACGCTTGAATCGTAAGTGCTGTGTCTACGACATGTTTTGTGAAAAGCTCGTATACGGTATACGTTAGATAAAGGTAATACTACGTTTACGATTATCTGCAGATCTGTAGCATTATGGTTTTATATATTTGTCTTTAACCATAACGCTACAGATCCCGTAATGCAAAAAGGTGCAATTTACGGAGCAATATTTTTTGCGCACTTTTTGGGAGAATATCTCCAATTTCCAGCATCGGTTAATTAAATACCTTTCTCTCTCTAATTCTAGGCACATTATTAAACTAATATATATTTTTTATCCATCTCCCAAACCTTTATAATCGTCTCTACAAGTGATAAACTCGCTTGATTAAAATTATTTGTTAGATTGCTGAAAATTCACTTCAAGTGCTATACCAATATATAAATCCATAACGTTACAGATCTGCAGCTAGTTTACGATTTGCGAATAGTAAGTGAAACGGTCGCAAGGCGCCACGTTGCTTACCAGCATGGCTATGACCCTTCTCTTCGTCATCACCTATCAAATACTTTTTTCTACCTTTTTTTTCTTTCTACCATCGGCTGATACATGTCTAAGAGAGGAACGAACGACATGAACTCTGCATGGGAGATTGTATATTCTTTTAGAATATTTTGAGAACTTTCTATTATCCAACCCGAAGAGGTAAAAATTTTTACACTACCTGAAGATTCTTCCATATTAATTTTTTGATTTGCAATTTCTGGGGAAAAGGTTTTTAAAGACTTCTCCTTTATATGACTATATTAAACTTTGACCCAAAATTCTGTCCCGGCCAATCCCTCCCCCCTTTTCAATTACATCCGGCGCCTATGAATTTAAAGCGTTCATCTTTCATTTGTTTAATATAAATAGGGAGTCTTCGATTTTTTTACGCACATTTATGTAGGATATAATAAATAACGATAAGGCACCAATTATTCTGCAGTCAGAAGAGATATATTAATACTTCCGAAGCGTTAATAAGCGCTTCATTAAACGTAATTCAAATCACAAATAAGAAATAGGCGTAACGTTTGTACTTTCTACCTGATTGGTTAGATGTGATGTTTGTACTGTTCAAATCCGACCTATCAGACTCCTCGTAACTTTCAGTTGCTGTTTGTATACTATCCTTGGTCATGGGTACTTCATCTGAATTCTTTATGAAAGATAAAAGAATGTTCCATCTAAAACGTATTTACATTTATAATACATGTAGTGTATTTTAGGAATTATGATTGATTGTATACTGTTTAACGTCCCTCTCCAGAATATTTCACTGATATGGAGAAGTCACCATTGCCGGTGAAGGGCTGCAAATTTAGGCCTATGCTCGGCACTTACGGCCTTTGAGCAGGGAGGGATCTTTATCGTGCCACACCTGCTGTGATCCGGGGCCTCGGTTTATACGGTCTCATCCGAAGGACCGCCCCATTTAGTCGCCTTTTACGACAAGCAAGGGGTACTGAGGACCTATTCTAACCCGGATCCCCACGGGACATTTTAGGAATGAAAACCAGGTACTAAAGCAATTATAGATCAATGTTTAAACCTGAAGGCCGCATCTCTTACCCCACGCATGATTATATATTTTTTAAAAATGTGAAGGAGACATAATGTATCAGCCACGGGATCCCATGAATCAGGTACATACGAGGAGTAAGCATCCCCTGTTGACACCGGCCACACCCGCCGTAAAATCTTTGTATTGATTAGATAGATGGAACATTTTATTGTCAAATTCAGCATAAAACAAAGGCGTAAAAATTGGTATGAAACAAGTTTGCCAAATATTGATCCAATGATCGGATATATTAACTAACAAAGGCAATATAAAGAAGATAGAATTTACGAAATGACGGCTTTAAACAAGGTGTTGAAATACTGTAACATAAAATTATATGTCTTTCTCTTGATCTTACTCAACGCAAGCTCTTGGGTCGAGATAAAGTTGAAAACACCAAAATCAGGTGATTGTGGAATATTACTGTATAAATGAGGAAATCTGACGGAGGAAAAGTAGTATATACGGTAGTAGTTGTCAGTTTTCCTTTATCGTCTTAGTCACTAAAACAAATGATATGAAACAGACTATATGGGTCTTGTTTTAAGTTCACTGGGATACATCGAGTAGACATATCAATGAAAATATGATCCAGTTTAATCATTTTATGCAATTCAAACATTTCTGTACCTGTTTACATACAGCAAAAGCCCCGCCTTTGCAGTCTGTAGCAAACTCACATGATCCATTCGAACACTTTTCACACTTTAGAAAATTTTCTTCTGTAAAACCTTTATATTCATCTTCAAAAAGGATAAGTCATTAATGATTTTACATGAATACATATCGATTCACATATAAAAATGTTTTTATCCTATTTTGAAATAGCAGAGTGCACATGCATAAAATAATTTGATCAAGGACATATACGTCTCAATTTCAGAACATACCTTCACCGCTAACAAGAACTGGTTGTCTAAGAATCCCGATCTAGGTAAAATTAAGAAAAAAATTAATATTATTGATGATCTTACACGCGGCTGATGCATCGTTGATACTTATGTTTCCCAGTAAATAAGCCCCTTTTTCTTTACAGAGTTGTAAAGACTTCTTCCATCCTGTTGTTTCTGAATTTCCAGTATACCAGTACGATGCAGCTATATATAAAATGGCACTATCAAAATCACCTTAAAAAAATACCATTAATTCACAATTGCATACGATGGTTGTCCCAAAGTTTCATGGACTAAGTCCTCATCTTTTAAAGAAATATCAATCTTTTGTATGTTTCTGTGTGTAAATATTATATGTGTTGGTTTATAATTCACTTTAAACATGATCACATGAAAATAATAAATCGGACACATTCTCGGTTCGAAAACAGTCTGTGTAATTAGCACGAGCTTCTAAGTGAGCTGTGATATCTAACAACGATATTACAAATATTTTTTCAATAATTATTTGTTTTATAACAAATAAACTAAATAAAACAAGAGGCCCATGGGCCACATCGCTCACCTGAATAGCTTTGACCACTATTGACTACACTATCCCACGATGCTTTCGCATAAGTCTCAGCTTTTCTGGACCAGTAGTTCCTGAGAATATTTCCTTTTAATTCCTATATATATTTCAATGTAAAACCTGGGTTCCCTATTGTGACCCTACCCCCATGATTTGAACAATTTACAAGTCCAAAATGTAAAAAGATTACAGACGAACGAAGAGACGACGAACAAAATGTGATCGAAAAGCTCATTTTAGCCTTCGGCTCAGGTTAGCTACAAAAATAAAGTGTTGAATATGTATGGAAAACATGCAATTTTCTCTAAATGCCTGGATAGTGGATTCCTATTACTTTTTTATCATAAAATATATTTGTTCATCAATTTTCAATCAGTAGTGGCTCTTTGATTTGCATTCCTGAAAAATATTAAAGATTTAATTATTTTCCCTGCATAATATGATTAATTATGATTATATCCCCGCTTGAAAAGTTGGAGGGTATACTAGTATAGTGATCGGGATGTCCGTCCGTCTCTTAGGTTTTTGGGGTACTCAACCGTAACTTCTCTTATACCAAGGAATAAAATTTAATGAGACTTAAAGTTTCACAAAATCTTAAAATTTAATTTGCCATTATATTCAAATGGAAGATTGGGTGTCATTTAGTCAGCTCAGTGCTCACAGTATCTCTATTTTATGATTGATGATCTTTGAAGAAACACCGTGGGTAAATACACATTATCTTAAGAATTCAGATACATTTTTGTAAGCATATTCTCCATTACCCAAACATTGTTTAAAATTTATATTGCTTTCATTTCATGTAATTTCTCCGTTTTGGTAAATAAATATTTCCGTTATTGATGATTGAATACATTTATGAGTTTCATTAATTTGTGACACCGGGTTTCATGTGTTGTTGTCCAGGCAATTCAGGGACAACGCTTGCACATATATTAGATAGATTAGAAAATTCATTTAAAATTTATATAGAAATTTGTAAGAGTAGTCTGTTATAATTAACGTTAAGATGACGATATAAGAATTAAGTTCTCTCTACTTACTCGTCTCCGTACAAGTCTTTTTAAATCCTCTTTCGCAGATATTAATGGCAATATTAATGTTTTAAGTAGGTTAAACTCTGTGGTCTAGGTAAAAATTGTTGATATCCAAAGGAAGGTCTTCTCTTAAGAAATATTCCTGTGAAATATGAAAACCCTAGTTTCAATTTTTCAAAACTTATAGCCAAGGAAAAAGTGGGTCAAACTCTAACGACAAGGTCAGAATGTCAAAAAGTTACATTCATGGAAAAATCTTGACACAATGAATATACAGGTGAGATAAGAAAGCCCTAGCACCACAGTTCAGATGTTATAACCAAGATTCACAAAAGTGTGTCAATACCTCCAGTGTAACATATCAACTGATAAAGCCCAATGTTCGGGTTTTTCTTCATCACAGAACTACGATTAGTTACGGCTTCTAAAGAGCTATCCTCAAAACAGCCTGAAGAAAAATTAAATTACTGATTTTATGCAGTTACATATTCTTTGTATCATGTTCATAATCTCAGGAATGTTTTTCTTCTCAATGTCAATTCTTTTTCAAATTTTCAACATAAGAAGTAAAAAGGACCAACAATTTCCAATTTTTATTTTTTGCATTGAATTGACCAATTGTTATATGAATCCAGTCTTTTGGAGGTAAACCATTCAAACAAAGACATCTATTGAACTGAAATAAAGAAGTGGAAATGGTGAAGAACAGCGATTAGTCTCGAGAAAATCTACTAACAATACATATCTGCGAACACTGCAAATCCTTAGCATTTTTCCAGTTCAGTTTCTTAGGAGAAATGTTCTCGAATGCAAACAGTTCTCTACCTTCAAAGGTGTTCAAATGATCATTAAAGAGTTGATAACGAAAGGTTGTTTAAATATCTATTTGTCCATGTTCAGTAAAAAAAAAAATTGAATTATTACATATCCGAAACGATTTCAGTTGGATGAACTTTATTTTCAGCATTTATTAAAACTTTCTAGGAGCATATTATTAAACTAACTAGAAGTTTTATGAAATAATTAACACAGTTCGTGAGAATTTTATTTTAATTATATCATAAAAAGTGGACTACGGAATAACTAATAAAAATCAAATGGAACTCACAGTAACCATCCCTTACTTATGCAGCTATATCCCTTCATCACCTGCATATAGGTTGTCGCCAAAATTAAGTGATTCTACGATAAAGCATGATTTACATATGAACAATTTCTAAAAAAAGTTTAATTAAATGGAGGCGCACAAAAATGTTAAAGATAGTAAACAAGAATTTCAGCAATCTTGTTAAAGTCATCATTTCGGGTATACTGTGATTTTGAAAAATGTGAATTAATTATACCTTCACCGCAAATGCCTCCAAAGGGTAACATTTCAACTGACAAAGCCCAATGTTCGGATTGCTCTTCATCACATATCTACCATTAGTTACGGCTTCCACAGATCTATCCTTAAAACAGCCTTAAGAAAAAAAAATTAAATTACTGATTCTATGCACTTATATATTCATTGTATCATATTCAAATTCTCAAGAATGTTTTTTTCTTCTCAATTTCAATTATTCTATATTCCAGTTTTCAACATAAGTTAAAAAAGACCAACAAGTACCAAGTTTAATTTTATTTCTTTTTATTACCAATGATATGGATCCAATGAGATGGGGTGTAATAAGCTCTGCTGTCCTATTTTGTACTGTTTTATGGACTTTTGATCTTGAAACTGTTCTGTTTTCTGCAGAAGTGTTTCATGATCAGTTTCTTAGTGGAAATTTTCTCGAATGCAAACAGTTCTCTACCTTCGAAGGTGGTTAAATGATCATTATTAAGTAATACATGGGTATTGTCAGAATGAAACTTTGTTTAAGTTAGTATCTGTTTGTCCAAGTTCAGTAAACACTGATTTGTGTGTTTTAACATTTCTGATACGATTTCAGAATGAAACATTTTCAGCATAATTAAAACTTGTTACGTGAAGTACAGACTAAATAATAGTTATGTAAAAGAAAGATATAGTGGCATCAGTAATTATATTATAAAAAGTGGACTAAAGTACATGTATAATCAATAACATTCAAATGGATATAACGCACAGTAATCACTTTAAGCTTAAAGGTCTTTTGAAACAATACAAATCAGGACAAACTGAAAATCAGTCAAAAGTAAAATTATTATGTTCATTATTTTCTTCAAATCATACAAAAGTGTATAAATTGTCATTATTGCGCTAATTTCTCGGATATTTTATGAAATCTGAAATAATAAAATTTGCGTCTTATAAAAGGTTCAAAATACACATTGGTTACTTCATTATCAAAAATTAAAGACAATTCTTTGGTATAAGATAATGTAAGACAACTTTTTCTGGATATCTTTCGTGAATGGTCAGTTTGAAATTTATCTATGACTAAAAATATTTGCACTTGTGTACTACGTCTGTTTTTCTGACTTCAAGCAATAATTGTCAATTGACAACAAAACTATACGAAAAATAATGACTTTGTGCTTTCCTTCGTTAACTTCCTTATTTATGTAGAAAATTATCCAGTATCATGTGTTCACTAAAGCACACATGCACGATCAATTTTTAAACGGATGCAGACTACTGACAGGAAAAGATTATGTTAGATGGATCTTTTAACAACCTCGTTTAAAGACAACAATTCGTGAATTCTATAATATGTACTACAATTTTAATTGAAATATTTCAGTTTAATTTTGGGCTTTTGTTTTCATACCAAAATTGACTAAGAATCATTTTGTCTTCTTGATCATTCCATAGTGGTTTAAGGCGGTGTGACCGATCGACAGGATATGTTTACTCCTCATAGGGACCTGATCATAACCCTGAAATTTTCAAAAAATTTCTTTCTTTTTTTTTTGCTACCATTGTTCGTTGTTATCTTCCCTTTTTTTCTTATGAAAACATTCTATATCGTATATACACAATAAAAATATATGTTCACATAGAGAAATATTCTTTAGTTAATTAAATATTCACATCGAGAAATTTTCGTGAGTTTACGAAGATTGTGATATTTTTACGAGAATGAAAGTACTGTAAATATAACTTATGGACATACTTTGGTTATTCTTTTTATATACAGTGACTGCAAAACCAATTCGCTTTTTTAAATGTGGAACTTATCATAAAGAAAGTAAATACTGATATATTAACTTACTACCAATCAATAGATGTAAAACGACCATTGAGACTATAGTTGTCATTTTTCCGTTTCTGGTTGCAATATCCCTGTATTTTCTCTGTTGTATAAACTTGAAATGTCCTGGATAAATCAAGCCAGTCATAATAAGTACATTATGTAAATCGACAAGATCAACACTCACAAATAAAACACTCCTGTGTTAAATATAAGCTAGGAAACATTTAACTTTTAAAAAAAACTTCAATACCATTTCCTTCCTGAATGAATACACTGACAATGAGCTTAAAGTTAGCGCAGTAGTTTCTCATTCACTGTTATACTTTTCAAAACATGTATTTGCATATATTACATGTACATCTATCATGAACCAGATATGCTTTACAAAAACCAAAGAAAAAATGTAGATACGAGGGCTATTCATTAAATAATGTTCTGAACTCCATGAAGAACAACACGGAAATCATATGACATTAAATTTGACTTTTTCTCATGATTGATCTTTAAAGAATTCATATCAGTTGATGTGACCATTTTTCATCTCATATTTTCATTGTGAGAAGCTGGAAAACAAGGGCTATTCGAGACAATGCATTAAAAATGAATGGTAAAGAAACAGGAAAGTAGAATGAAATTAAACGCTACATTAAAGCTGCTGTAAAACTTGGTAAGCCACCCAAAGAAATATTCACTGAAATTTGTGTAATTTACAGCAACCAATGTCTGTTATACAGACACTTAAGCAGGTGGATTTCAATGAACAATAATATTATAATAGTCATCGAAAATGGGTATCGTCCTTGGCGACAAGGACTTGCAACAACCAATGTTATTTTTGCCAAAATTCAACACATCATTACTGATGATGTTTGATTAACATTAAGACATATAGCAAATTTGATAGACATCAATTTTGGGGTATTTTACACTATTTTAAAGAAACATTTGCCAGTAAAAAAAATGCTTAGTAATCAATGGTCACCCTACGTTTTGAAAATGAGCGGAAACGACAGCGTGCAAGAATATCAAAATAATTACTGTATTTTTTTTTAATCAGAAATTGTAGTTATCCATGTTTGTCTGAAATTCAAACAGATAAGGAAACTTGAATCCATTGTCTCAAAACAAAATAAAGTTTACTTGACAAAAACAGCAAGGATCTTTAAAAAAAGGCAAAAAATTGCTAGAAGACAAAGACAGTTTTATATGCCATTTTCTTAATCATTAGTGGTCTTGTTGTTTGAATTCTTATTCGGAAAGGTAGTTTAATTAGTTTAATATCTGGACACTCTAGAATGCAATTCTTTTACAAAAAAGTCTAAAAGGTTTACTCTATGTAAGGAAGGAACCAGAATCAGGAATCCACTACATTAAATTTTTCTATGCTAGCCTTCAAACCCACACTCCTTAATGAGTAAAGGCGTTTTTGGGGATAAACAGGAAGTTAATGTTTTTCACACCAACAATATTCGCCACATTTTTCACCCTTTAACTTGGGTTATTTTCCAAACTTGAAAAAAAAAGCCTTCCAGAGAGAAGAAACAAGTCTAGGAAATCACAGGATCTGCCATATTCCATTATACAAAGGGTCATACAAAAAATGAGTTTTAAAAACAATCAGTAATTGGATAAAAATATAAGGGACATGTGTTTTTTTTAACATCATAATATGTTGAATTTTAATATATATTTCAATGATCATATAGCAAAAAACCTTTTTGAAACGTTTTATATGCCATTTTCTTGAAAAGTGGTCTTGTAGTTCTCAAAACTAACAATCTAGCACTATTCACCACAGAATAATCTATTGATTAATTGAAAAGCATCTTTTGCTAAAATTTTAGCTACTACAGTGATAATCACCATGAAAATATCAGATAATGTGATTTTGTTTAACAATCTAGCACTATTCACCACAGAATAATCTATACAAAGTGTGACACCACCATGTCAAATTACTAAAAATTTTGTTTTACAATGTAAAACTTGATTGACTGAATTTAACTATTGCAAGTTTAAAAATATAAGCGATATTTGGGCGTCAAAAAAGTGAGAGGGCTCAGCAAGCCTTGCCCTCTATCACGTTTTCTTACCCTCGCCCAAATATCGCTTATATTTCAAGACAGTAACCAGATATTTTATTATTTTATATATATAACAATGATTATGAAATTGAAATTCAATTTTCAGTGACATGCAGTTGGTCACCTGATCCAAATTTTCTTGCAGATGGAAAGCAAATAAAGAGCGTTATAGAATTTGATCAGTTGACCGACTTCATGTCATATCTCAATGAAATTCTAAAAATGATATCTTATTTCTTAAATGAAAACGTTGTAGAGTATAAATGAAAATATTTTTTGTTCCTTTTAAGCTTCGTGAAAATAAAAAATAGAAACGTATCGTGATAAAGAACAATTATTCTTGGTAAATTGTATGTTTTAAAATGAATTACACGTTAGTCTATTAAGCTCGCTTTGTGAGTGTTGCTTGTCTTCGCTGTCGCAGCGCTCACTATAATAAAACTAAAAATGCACTCTTACTGTCAAGTAGCATTTGTAGCCAACTTGTCCAATGAACAAGTGGATATTTTGGTATAATATTCATTTTTTAGCCCTGAAATTATTCCTATATCTTAATATAAATTGTTTTACATTTACGTTATGACCCGAGGGTTTTAAAATTTACAATAGTATTTTACGACAGTATACCAATTAGCTGCCTTTTTCTTTGTGTGGCTCTGTATGTCCTGCCTTTTCTTTTTCATGTCTTTGACATTCCTGATACAAGAGGAGCAGAAATATTGGACTCTGAGTGAAAACATCACACATTAATAAATTCGTATGAATTTTAATAGAATCAAGCAATTGGTTTGAAAATGTGTTCAGCTTCTTTGATATTGACCATTAAACTATATTCATGTTCTGTAGCCTTAGTATATATTTATATGGAAAATGAGAGCAACAGTTTTCGATATTGACAGCTCACAGCTTCCTCCTGGTATCCCAAGAAAGATCATAATTACTACATGTATACCTTTCTGTAATTTCCAGCCACTCTCTCTGTTTAGAATGAATGGTGAGAGACGGGCCGAATTTCTCTTGAATAATGGTACTTCGCTCGATCAGCAGATCCACCAACAGATTGATACTGTCCTCTATACCATGGTTTGTCTACGTTCGTCTGCTTTGTGTCGAATTTACCTTCACCTGTTCCTAACGCGGGAATCGTAAGTGCTGTGTCTAAAACTTGTTTTGTGAAAAGCTCGTATACGGTATACGTTATTAGATATAGGTAATAGTACGTTTATGATTTGCGAATAGTTAGTGAAACGGTCGCAAGGCGCCACGATGCTTACCTGAGTAGCTATGACCCTTCCATTCGTCATCACCTATCAGATACTTTTTTCTACATTTTTTTTTGCTTTCTACCATCGGCTGATACATGTCTGAGAGAGGAACGAACGACATGAACTCTGCATGGGAGATTGTATTCTTTTAGAATGTTTTGAGCACTTTCTATTATTCAACGGGAAGATGTAAAATTTAATTTAGACTACCTGAAGATTCTTCCATATTAATTTTTTGATTTGCTGTTTCTGGGGACAAGGTTTTTAAAAACTTCTCCTTTATATGACTATACTAAACTTTGACATAAAATTCTGTCCCGACCAATAGCCCCCCCCCCCCTTTCAATTACATCCGGCGTCTATGAATTTAAAGCGTTCATCTTTCATTTGTTTAATATAAATAGGGAGTCTTCGATTTTTTTACGCACATTTCATGTAGGATATAATAAATACCGATAAGTCAATAATTATTCTGCAGTCAGTGGAGTTTTGTTTTACTTCCGAAGCGTTAATAAGCGCTACATTAAACGTAATTCAAATAAGAAATAGGTGTAATGTTTGTACTTTTTACCTGACTGGTTGGACGTGATGATTTTACTGTTCAAATCCGACCTCTCAGACTCGGCGTAACTTTCTGTTGCTGTTTGTGTACTAAACTTGGTCATGGATACTTCTTCTGAATTCTTTATAAAAGATAAAAGAATATTCAATCTAAAACGTATACACAGTGTATCTGAGGAATTAAAACCCGGTATTAAAGCAATTAAAACTGAAGGACGCGTCGCTTACCCAACGATTGTAATATAAAACAAAGATAATACAAACAGTGGCCTATCTCAACATATATAATTTTTAATGTGAAGGAAACATGATATACGAGCCCTGGGAATCCAGAGGTGGGATCAGGTGCCTACAAGGATTAAGCATGCCATCTTGACCGACCACACCCGCCGTAATTTTTTTGTATTGATTAGCAAGACAACATTTCGTTATCAAATTCAGCGTAAAATAATAACGTAAAAATTGGTATGAAATAAATTCGCCAAATATTGATCTAGTCATAGGATATATTAAATAACAAAGTCATTCTAAAGAATATAGAATTTACGAAATGACAGCTTTAAACAAGCTGTTGAAATAACTGTACTATCAACTTATCAGTGGATATATAGCATGTTTCGCTCTTGATCGTGCTCAACTCACGCTACTAGGTAGAGATAAAGTTGGAGACGTAAATACCAAAATCAGGTGATAGTGGAATAATTACTGTATAAATAAGGAAAGTTGCCGAAGGAAAAGCTGAAGGCACCGTATGTCATAAAATTTAATTGTCTATTTTCCTTTATCGTTTACATGTATAGTCAGTAAAAAAAAAATAATAAAGGAACAGACGTATCAGACTCTATGGGTCTTATTTCAAGTTCACTAGGATATATCGAGATATAAATAAAAATATGATTCATTAGTCATCTTATGTAAATCAAACATTTCTGTACCTGTTTACATACAGCAAAAGCCTTGTCGTTGCAGTCTTTAGTAAAATCACATCGTCCATTCGAACATTTTTGACACTGTAGAACATTTCCCTCTATAATATCTTCAAAGTCATCTTCATTGGTAAAAGTATAAGGCCATTAAAAATTTTATGTATAAATATCGATTCAGATGTAATTACTTTTTTTTGGGGGGGGGGGGGTTGTAACCTCCTATGAAATACACATTGCATATGCATTAATAAATTGATCAAGGACATAATTTTTTTATTTTAACGTACCTTCACCGCCAACAAGGACTGGTTGTCTAAGAATCCCGATCCAGGTAAATTCAGGCCGCGGATTATTGATGATCTTACACGCAGCTGATGCATTGTTGATACTTATGTTTCCCAGTAAATATGCCCCTTTTTCTTTACACAATCGTAAAGAATTCTTCCATCCTGTTGTTTCTAAAGTCCCACTATACGATGCAGCTATGTATAAAATGGCACAATAATATCACCTTCAGAAAATACCATTAATTCAAAATATTACATAGGATGGTTGTCCCAACGCTCCATGGACTGAGCCCTTATCGTAGTTTTGTATGTTTCTAAGTGTATATATTATATTTGTTGGTATATGATTTACAAAGTTTAAACATGACTACTTGAAAATAATAAATCGAACACTTTCTCTGTTCAAAAACAGTCTGTATACTAAGCACGAGCTTCCAAAGAATCTCAATAACAAAGCCATAGCCCGGAAAATCTTTCATAGTTTTATTAATGACCTTGAATAGACAAAATGCCATTGTTTAATCCCAGAACTCATTCTTAGATCATAAACAATCTTTGTATCAGCATGACCTTCAAGTGATTCTATTACAAAGTTATAGCCTGGAAAAGATTACACATGCAGACAGACAAACGGACTGATAAGTTGATTCCTGTATAACCCAAACGCCAGCCCCCTCCCCCCCTCCCCTCCCATCATTTGCAGGGGTACCAATATACGAATAAAATAGAAAATCAACATATGTAAAAACGTCAATTGATTATTTTAAAACACTTTATATATATATATATATATATATATATATATATAAGTTCTATATACATAAAATTGATCATATATATATATATATATATATATATATATATATATATATATATATATATATATATATATATATATATATATATATAATTATTATTATTGTCGTTATGGGTATTTCCTGTGTGGACAGAGTGGTGGATCTGTGTGGTTTTTATGTCACGTGACATGGTCATATAAATTTCAGGCGCGTGCCTAAAAAGGTACTCTACCGCTCGTACAGAACGTATGATTAGGAATTAGCAATGGAAACCAGTAAATTAGACACACACATATATATGTATGTATATATCATTTAAGGTCAAGATCTTGTATATAACTTGAGACTACTTTTTGGTGCTAGATCCTTTATGACGTCATAATCAATTTCAACTTTCTCTTTCCCGTACTTTACGGCTTTAGCAGAATTATGTAGAAAAAATTGTATTTTCATGATATTCAAGTTGAAATCATATGAAAAGTAAACCAAATACCTATATTAAATTTGATATTGATTTAAAGAAGAGGCCATGAACATACTAATTACCGTTTTCTGAGAGACTGTAGGCAATCTGGATACATTTCCTTTGTCGAATATGAGAAAAACTCCTATATTCATGACTGGTTTTCTTAATTTTTCTTTGAAAATGACAGCTTAAAATACAGTTTTTCATCTTGTTTATCTACAAATCATGCCCCGAAACACCTTATTTGACCAAGCTAAAGTTGTAAAGCATCAATAAAGGTATTTATTTCTCAAGTTTGATAAATCTGTAGGCACCTTTCATTTACTAGATCTTGACCTTAATTATTACAAACAACACATGTTGAATTGGAACACGAATGTGTTGTAATAAACGTTCTGACGAGCAGCATTCCATATCTATGAGTTGGTTATTCTTTCAATATTACTTATAAGTACAGAATAAAGAGTATAATTAATTTATATTCGGACGAACAAAGTGAGGGAGAATATAATTAAAAATGCTTTGAAGTCTTAGAAATGGTCTTGTAAAATTTTGACATTTGTACCCCACGAAGCACAAAAATGAATTTTGAACAATTTAGAATCTATATATATAATGCTTTTATATATATTATATATATATATATATATATATATATATGTTTTGTATATCTCCATACCTGATGAAGATAGGAACGAAGCGTAATCAGCCCTGGGTGTCCGACGATACAGCTTCCCTGGCCCAGTGGTTCTTGAGAAGAAGATTTTTTAAGTGTTTTCATATATTATATTTCTATGTAAAGCTTGGAATCCTAGTGTGACCCCGCCCAGCCCCCCAGGGGCCATGAATGGAACAATTATAAATCTACACTACCACAGGATACTTAAGAAATGAATTTAATTTTTGAAGATTCTTGAGGTTATGAACTACGACGCTTCACACCGGTATATTTCATGAAGCGCGTTAGCGCTTCATGATAAATATGCCAGCGTGAAGCGTCGTAGTTCATTTAAGGAACGAAGCTTATTTCAACTTATGTTATCCGATATAACATAACTTGGGGCAGTTTACGCTTTATAAACCGCGAAGCGGTTTATAAAAAAGCGTAAACTGCCCCAAGTTTTGTTATATCGGATAACATAAGTTGAAATAAGCTTCATTCCTTATAATTTAATTTCAGTGCAGACAATGAGATATTTTTCCCCCCAGAATAAGGCTTCACATTGATTAAATTTTAAAAGTAACGTCAAGCGGAGTAATACGTTTTTGACTTAACTCATTGTGACGTAGGCAAGTTATGTTATACAAAATGGATAAAATCCTTTATCCAGTCAAATGACGTGTTACAAGTAAAATTAAATTATATACCTCATGAATCTTCAAAAATTAAATTCATTTCTCATATTCACATTATTTTTCTGACGAGATACCACAAGTTACGCCATTCAACTGCCATTTTTAAAGAAAAACAGAATGCACTTTGACTACCGGTATATTGTTTAACGTCAAGTACGGTATTATGAAGTATACAAACGTAACAGTGGAGATATTCATGCTTATCCATTGTAGTTCATGAGAAAATATACGACACAAAAATATTTGAAAATGTAAATATTACCACATAAGTTTCAGTTTTTCTGGCCCCTTGTTTCTTGAAAAGATGTTTAAAGTTTTTTTTTCCAATATATTTCTATGTAAAACTTGGATTCCCTATTGTATCCCCGCCCAACTCCCGGGGGTCATGATTTGAAAATATGCTTTTACTTAAGTTTCAGCTTCTCTGGCCCAGTGGTTCTTCAGAAGAAGATCTTTAAAGATTTTTTTTTCCTTTATCTTAGTATGTAAAACTTTGATTCACTGTGATTTTAGAATTTTCCTATATATTTCAATGTAAAATCTGGGCTCCCTATTGTGGCCCCGCCCAACCCCCAGAGGTCATAATTTGGACAATGTACAATTTAAACTACCCCAGGATGCTTTCTTATAGGTTTCAGCTTTTCTGACCAGTGGTTCTTGAGAAGAAGATTTTAAGTATTTTTCTATATATTTCTATGTCAAACTTTTATTCTCTATTGTGGCCACGACCTACCCCTGGAGGTTATGACTTGATCAATTTAGAATCTACACTACCCCATAATGCTTTCACATAAATTTCGGCTTTCCTGGCCCAGTGGCTCTTGAGAAGAGGATTTCAAAAGTTTTTTCCAATATATTTCTATGTAAAACGTTGAAAAGTGGGAGGGTATACTAGTATAGTGATCGGGATTTCCGTCCGTCTGTTACGCTTTGGGGTACCCAACCGCAACTTCTCTTATACCACGGAATAAAATTTAATAAACTTTCACAAAATCTTTTGATTTCCCAAAGGAAAACATGAACACGACCATTTTTTTTCTACAACATTGAAGGGGACCCATCTTTTATCCACCGAATAAAATTTAATGATAATTTTACTAATTCTTTATTACATAATGCCTTTGTGCACCACCTATTTAACTATTTGATCTGACACTTATTTCAGGTCTCCCAGAGCAAAACATTAACTTTGCCATTATAATCAAATGGGAGACAGGAGGTATCATTTAGTCAGCTCAGTGCTCACAGAGCCTCTAGTTTAAATGATGATCTTTGAAGAAACACCGTGGGTAATACACATTATCTTTAGAATTCAGTCATTTTTGTAATATTCTCCATTACCCAAACATTGTTTAAAAATTACATTGCTTCAATTACATATAATTACCCCATTTTGGTAAATAAATATGTCTGTTATTGATAACTGATTACATTTAGGAGTTTGACATCGGGTTTTATGTGTTGTTGTCCAGGGAATTCAGGGACAACGCTTGTACATATAAACGCATATTCTAGATAGATTAGAAAATTCTTAATTCACATCTAGAAATCGTAAAAATAGTCTTGAAAGTTTATAACAAATTTCTGCTGTTATAATTTACTATTAAATGATTTAAGTTCCTTCTAATTATTACTCTCTACTTACTCGGCTCCGTACAAGTCTTTTTGAATCCTCTTAAGCAGAAAACAGGTTGAATTGTTTCATCTTTGTTTTGGACACACCTTATCACCTGACATTTGTATCTGTGTGGTTTTTATGTCATTCGCTTTTGTCTTTATATATAAAAATAGAAATAAATGAAACCAATCGCAACTTCTCAAAATCAGGCCTCTCCGAAAATTGGAACTTAGAGCTTTGCCGGAAATGCTCTAAAACATGCGATCTATACTTAATCAAACTCTGTGTAGAGACAATTAAAATAAAAACAAGTTGTATGGCAACTTGAGGCAAAGGTCCATGCAAAGTCAAGAGAAAAAAATGTTGTTACATACAAAAAGGACATACAGAAAGGACTTGTGTCAATAGATATACCGGAAAAGCCTAAACACAAACCATTCGAAATTTAAGGTTATGATCAATGTTAATGTTTTCTAAAAGTTTGTTAAAATCCATTTCAATGCAAAAGGGTCACAATTAATGGTACACAAGAAAAAGGTAAAAGTTAGTGAAACTGACAGGGTCAAAATGTAAAAATTTTACATATGAAAAAGGAAAGCCATAGCACCAACTGTTCAAAAGTTATGAAAAAGGTGAGTAAATTTTGCAAAAGTGTGTCAGATTCTAAAATTTTCATGCCAGGGTCAGGAGCTCAAATATGTTAGTACCCAAAGAAAGGTCTTGTCACTAGGAATACATATGTAAAAGATATAGCCAAAAAATTTGATAAACGGACGAACATTGCAAAATCTAAATACCCTCGAATCTTCGATAACACTGTAGAATTTTCTGACTACTATATACCTGGGGCATAAAGTATTCATTTATTTCTTCTCCAGAGCTCAATTGAATTTCCCAATTCGTATAAGCGTACGTTGTAAACGTCTACATTACTATACATACATTTTTCTGCTGTTCTGGTTGTTCTATAGACATTGTAGTGTGAAACACCCCCGCAGTCTTGTAGGTATACGTCTGTATGCGTGTCATTGCATTGAATTGGGCAATTATTAGATGAGCTAGAACCTTCCTTAGGAGGTAAACCATTCAAACAAAGACATCTATTGGACTGAAATAAAGAAGTGAAAAAGTTCTATTGCGCATCTGGATTGAGTTGCCTGAGTAAAGTTTTATTCTTTGATTTCATTGGCTCTTTAATTTGATTGGTTATTTCGTATTTTTTCATCCAATAATACATTTTCATTATAAGTATAAATTTACCGCGCTTTACCAATGTATGTCAGAGCAGTATTACGTTTTCAATAAAGAAGTATACAAGAAACATATATTGACGCAAGCGTCAAAAATCGGCCGCAGACAAATTAATTGTTCCGAAGTAATTATAGAAACTGAAATTTGCGTGACCTGTTGATTCAAATTTTTTTTATATTTTTCTGTTTAAGTATCTCCGTGACATGAATCACTTCCTACGACATTGCCGATTTTCTTCATGAATATTACATGTATAAGCAAACTATATATAGATCTCGGGTGGAAGTTTGATGTCTATGTATAGTTTTTACATAAAAAGTACAAAACTAAAGTTTAAACTTAGCTCTAACTATAGATAGTTTTACTTTAATAAAAACGCAACAAATATGTGGGCTCCTCGCTCGCTTCCAGCAGAGGATGCTCACCACCACCCCCTTCCCAACTCCCTCTAGATCCACCACTACATTTCTTCTCTGTCAGTCTCCGTTTTTTGGTGATGAGATGTGGCGGGAAAATGCTTGGCACATTGTAAAACGTGCTAGTATCCTAGCCTCCTGGGCCAAAATGTTGTAAGATTCTGCGCTTTTAGGAAATCAATATCTCATCATATTTTTGAAAAATTTCCATTTGAAATGTATAAATATGCACATCATTTTAAAATAAATACAACAAATCCTGTTTAAAAAGAGAAAGTAAAATTGTTGATATCCAACGAGGTCTTTGTTTTAGATTATGCCTAACACTCGTGTTAATTTTCTCCGCACTTCTTTCATGTCACAGTTTGGCAATCAGGATTGGATGAAACATTTACTCCATTATTTCTAAAATTTTAATTTTATGATTATTGTGCTTTTTGTTAAACATTTAGACAATCTTTGTTTAATATTCTATAATATGAATGTTAAATATTTTTATTTAATAAATTGTTTCAACTCCGCAGAAACGCACGACGACTTCAAACTTTCATATCAAATAACCGACCGCCTCCTGGCGGCCGGTAATAAAATCCAGTGTCCATCATACGCATCTTAGGGTATGTAACTTTTATATTTGATTATGTGTTTCCTTACCATTTAAAGATTTGATTTACGTTATTATTTTGATTGCAAACTTTTTACTTTATTGTATTTTTGCATTCAAAGTTGTTACTGAAATTATAATGAGTCTGTAAAATTTCAATTTGATTTGTTTACAGTACACATTTTTTCTTAGAGTTCAATTTTCTTAAACGTTTACTGTAGGTAAATTATCTCATATGTTATTTTCACAATTTCTGTAATTTTGACCTATTATGTATTTTGTTTATTTTAGATCAATTCCTTTATTTCCTTAATAAATTATGAAAACAACATCTGCCTTACTGCTCGGTTACACTAGTATACAAACAATACATATCTGAAAACAGTGCATATATATATAACACGGACCCCTGGGACTTCCATAGGTGGGATCAGGTATCTACGAGGAGTAAGCATCCCCCTATTAATCCGAAACACCCTTGAGCCCAAAATTTTGATCAGGAGGTAGTCGAATGCAGTGTGAAAAACTAGAGGTACTGTGAGCAGTGAGCTCACTAAATGATACCCCCACCTCCCGTATTATTACTGTTAATCACGTTTTATTTGCATGAACTTTATTTTCGAGTTATTACGCGAGGCATTCTCGTGAGCATATAAGTATTCCTATGGGCTTTACAGAATAATAAACACAGTCCGTGAAAATTTTGTCTCGTTTGTAAAGAGCTAATGACTATCTCACGAAAATAAGTTGTCACGAAAATTAAGTGATCTACAATGTAATCCATGTTTTGCTCTGGGCGACCCAAATAAATAAAAAATTGGCTGCATTTCATTTCCGGAATTTTTGGTAATTATCAACTTTTCATTTCCGACATTTTTTTTTAATTTCAAACATTTTTTTGCTTTTGTGATGAAGTTGAATTAAGTTTTTTTTTCAAATTTTTGTATTTTTTGTTGTGTGTAAATAGAGTAATTATATCCCGAGTTTGGTTCCGTAGTTGAGAGTGTTCGAAATAAAGCTATTTTTAGTATAACCGGTTTGGTCAGGGAGATTCGTGGCTGTTTGTCAAGAGGCGGCCATGTTTTGATTTTGTCGTGTAGTCGACGTTTCATGGCGAATTCCAGAAGTTAGTCTGGAAAACGGGTAGCCAGGAAGTCGGTAATTTACTACATGTGCATTTCTTTCTCCAGCCGGTAAGCTATTTACGTTTGTAAATATTCTGTGGGTTTTGTAGTAAATTTACGGGTGTAATGTCTGCATGTTAAAGGTACTTGGACACAGATTTGAAGTTATTTTTTTCTGTATAATATCATGAATTATATATTTTAAAAGCATTTCACATAAAAATTAATTAAAAATCTTTTTTCATTTAAAAATTATTAAAACTTCAAATTTTTTGGCGGGTTTGATTGACACATCCTCGCACCTTCACAAATTTTAACTTTATTCTTAATCCTTCGGTAAAGTACCAATCTTTTTGTGTATTAATGAGAAATATTAAAACTTTAATCCAGAAAAATAATTTTTTTTTCAGAGTAGAAATGTTACAAAGCAAAATTCCCTCACAAGTATTGTCATTCCGAACTAAATCTTGTGTGCAAATCGATCACACCCGTGTTATGTTCACAGTTTTTGTAAACAGGGCAGGAGCTCTGTTATTGTTGATTGTTTACTATTCACCGGGTGCGTTCAGCCGTCAAAGTCTGCTCACCACAACTGCACGGACTGAGAATATATTGTGTGTTTGTTTTGCTTTCGAACATGTCTACTCTGATTTTTCTGGATTAGAGTAATAATATTTTTCATTTATACACAACAAGATTGCCACTTTCCCAAAGTATTAAGAGTAAACTTAAAATTTGTGAAAGTACAAGGATGTGTCAATCAAACCCCCCAAAAATTTAAAGTTTTAATAACTTTTAAATGAAATAAGATTTTTAATTAATTTTTGTGTGAAATGCTATTAAAATATATAAGTCGTAATATTATACAGAAAAAATTACCCCCAAATCTGTGTCCAAGTACCTTTAATACAGTTTGCGGTTTGAGTTGTTTATGGGTTTTAGACTAAGAAATTATTGTTTCAGTGCGGAGGGGTTATGAGTATAAACCCGGGGCTGAAGTGGGTTTTAGGACCTCAGGAAGGCATTTGAGTCATTGGTCGAGACGGGGGCCAAAACACATTGACGACGGAAGTTGTGGTGTACACGGACAGCGTGTGTAGTGGAATTGGTGACAGTTATGGCAGTATAGAGGGGAGTGAATTTTAGTGTTATCCAGTGGGAGACCTGTGAGTCCAGGACTGGAACTAGAGAGAACGCAGTGTTCGTATTATGGAGGCCCAGTGGTGTTATGGTTGATGTAACTGTTTTTCAACGAAGTTGAATAGCCAAACTTCCAATTCAGTTTTAAAGAAATAAAACATTGAAAAGTTCATTTAGTTTAAACGGAGTTCAGATTTACAATTATTATTTAACTAAAAGTTTTTTTTCCTGCGAAAAATCTACAGTGCTGAACTTTCTTTGTTTGTTTTCTCTTATAATTACAACTGATTTGTTAAACCAGCATTTGATTTATTGCCAATTGTTTTTGTTTCAAGTTAAATCCTTTATTTCATTGTCAATATTATCTGGTTTTTTATTTAGAGTTATATTTTGATTTCTTTGTGAGAGGGGGTACATGAGAGTGCGTTTGTTTTGATATTTTCTTTTTTTTTAAATAAATTTATTTTGTTTTGTTTATTCTACGGCTTATCGTTTTCTCTACTACCTGCACAAAATCCAAAAGAACTTCATGACAGCTTTCATTTCCGACATTTTTCAAATACATATTTAGTACTTTTAGTAACAGATCTGAATACTTTACTTATGAAAATTTTGAAGAAAAAAACATAAATAAATCATTGAAATCCATTATCTGAGTTTTGTAAATCTATCAATGACTTGGACATAAGTGTGGTGCTGTCACTGACATTTAATTTAGTGCTCACTAGATTTGGTGAAAAAGTTTATGCTCATTGAACTCGTTCACCTAGACATAGTGCTACATGTATGCATATATGTGTAGACGTTTTTTTTATCAAAATTTTGTAATAAATACTTTTAAAATTTCATTTTCATTTACTTAGAAAACATTGAATTGCCGCACAGGTAAATTCCGGAAATAAAAACAAAATTATGTCGGAAATGAAAACAAAAAATGTCGGAAATGGAAACAAAAAATGTCGGAAATGCTATGCATATTTCCGGAAATGAAATGCAGCGCTAAAATACAATGACATTATGTAATAAAGAAAGTAGGGTCAACCAGATATCAAAAGGGGAAGAAACGATATGTTCCTCTACTTTATCTTACCAAGCATTCGGGTATGCTGTGATAAATTTGAAAAAATGTGAATTCATTATACCATTACCTTCACTGCAAATGCCTCCAACGGGTAACATTTCAACTGACAAAGCCCAATGTTCGGATTGTTCTTCATTATAGAACTACGATTAGTTACGGCTTTTACAGAGCTATCCTCAAAGCAGCCTGCAGTAGAAAATAAAATTTTTGATTTAAGGCACTTACATATAGTTTGCATCATATTCAAATTCTTAAGAATGTTTTTTTTTACTCAATTTCAGTTCTTCTGTCTTAAAATATCCAACATAAGAACTAAAAGAGACAAACAATTTCCTTTTTTTTTTTAGATTACCGATGATATGGATCCATTGAGACGAGGCGTAATAAGCTCCTGTCCAGTATTCCTCGATGTTGGTTATGACGTCAGGATCAGTTAACATTGAATTCTGATTTGCGCAGAAAGTCTTAGCATCTTTCCATTTCAGTTTCTCAGGAGAAATTTTCTCGAATGCAAACAGTTCTCTACCTTCAAATATGTTCAAATGATCATTAATAAGTAGAAAATGTCCTTGTTCAGTAAACAATTTTTAAATTGATTATGTGTTTTAAGATTTCTGAATCTGATACAATTTCAAAATGAAATATTTTCAGTATAATCTTAAAACTTAAATTAAGTGAAATACAGACTAACTAGATGTTATGTGAAAGAAAGATATTATGACATCGTTAATTACTAGTACTCATAGGCGGATCCAGGAATTTGTAAAAGGGGGGGTCTAACATTTTGACCTATTAGGTACTGTTTGCAACATCTACCGCTCCCAATTTTCACCCCACTTTGTTTGTGTACATGTAAATGATCTAAAGAAAATGTCTACTTCATGGCTTGAGAATTAAAAAGAAAAGCCCCCCCCCCCCAGTTTTGTGTTTGAACTCAGAGCATAAAGTTTGTACTATATAGCTGCGCTCGCTACAACGGTCACACCGTCAATATATTACTGTACAGTGGCATGCCAAAAGTGAAGATAATTTTATTTTTTCTCTTTATATTTCATTGAATACAACATTTTGTAAAATCATAGTGAAATGGTCAATTTTTGTCCAATTTAATGATTTATTTCAGTACTTAAACCAGAAAATGTGTAGTTATCTTTCTTTAAAAGATCATTACACGTTTAATATGTAGTAAAATATAGTTCATCACTAAAATTCAAGATCAATGTTGACTATATAATTCATTGTGAGTACATGACTTAAAAATTCATGTCACACTTAAATTACAATATTTTTAAATTATCAATGCTTATCAGATAAAAACTATTGATTTTAAAACTACAACAATTTCTTGGATTATCAAGAAATTTTTGATAAAATCTGTCAAGAAAATCAAATGTTGTCATACCAGCGATTTTACAAAATATTGTTTTCAATGAAATATATAAAGAAAAAATAAAATTATCTTCACTTTTGGCACACAAATGTATATGTTAGCCAATGTTCATGATACATTGTAACAACCAGCCTTCCACATGTATTTGTGTTACATAGCTGACTCTCTCTGAAGATAAAACTCAATGGTAGACCCCTCCCCTACACCGTGCCGTTCACAAACTTGAGAGTTTAAGCATAGTTTGGGGTATTTGTATCAAAATTAATGAAATTGATAATCACGTACATAACCACCCCCACGTGTAGTTTTGAAACGTGATGTTTATGTGATAAATATAGTATAATAGGCCCCTATGTGTTTTATAAAAAATATGCAAAAAACTGAAATAGCTGCAGTGCTTGTTCTACTGCCTAACCCTTTCATGAACTGAATATTTGATAAACAAAGTTTGTTCAGATCACAGGGCTTCTTATAAATTTTGTACTCAATCTGTATGTTATATATCTATTCATGGCTTGAGAATTAAAAAGAAAAGCCCCCCCCCCCCCCCCCCCCGTTTTGTGTTTGAACCACAGGGGCATCTTATCCACTCTGTTCTCTACTTCACATATAAAAATACATATGTGAAGTAGAGAACAGAGTGTATTTTTATATGTGAAGTAGAGAACAGAGTGGATAAGATGCCCCTGTGGCTTACCATAATATTTATTTCTATTTCTTTTCTTTTTTTTCTTTCTTTCCTTTTTTTCTTGATTTATATTTCTGAATTTTTTTGGGGGGTGCGGGGGGGGGGGGTGTATACATGTTTTTGGTCCGCGAAAAAGGGGGGGTCCAGACCCCCTGGACCCCCCCTCTGGATCCGCCCTTGAGTACTGTATAGAAGGTTAAAATCGCGGTCGGAAAAGATCGCGATTTGTTCAATTTTCAGCAAATCGCGGTCGTTTGAATTCGCGGAAGGGAAAAATTATACATTTTTTTAAAAGTACTTGCAAGCCTTTTTCTTTGGGTATATAATATGTGAACTGATATTTTCCGTCTCTATGTTACAAAATTTGTACATGTACATGTATATCCCGTATATCAGATAGGAAAGTAAAGTCTACATACTTGGTCGATTATGAGCCCTATTGAATAATAACAACGAAACACTGGACTGATCCCGATTTGAAGTCAAAACAATGTTACAGCATTAAGGTTTTTATTTATTTCCAGGTCCAAATCAGAAAAAAAATTCTATCGTAGTCAAAATGTTGAACTTTTAATCAAATATTTGAAATCAATTAATTGTCTTTTCCCTGTTTACCAGTAATTGCCTTGATTAAAGGTAATGACTGAGTGACACGCACGGGTGTATTTAAACAAGTATGTTTTGATAAATAATTACATCAAACGTCTACTAGATGGCAAAATTAATCGTTGGCTATAGAAATTAATTTAACAATTAACAAACTTTGAAAAAAAACATCAACAACTATGTGTTTGTAATTGATCCATACACCCGCAAAATTGTAAAGACAGTCTACATCTCGGATAAATTACTGCCTTTGTGTGTACGGAAAGACAATTTGAAATAGATTTTAAGAATCTAATCACAGATAATAACAAAATTTCAATTTATCCTTATATAAATCTTTAAAGAATTATTCACTGTATGTTGAATTCGCGGAATTTCTTTTCCCGCGAATATAGCGAATATTAACTCCGCGAGTTAATTTCATGCTGTACAGTATATTATAAATAGTGGACTACGGTATATAAACAATAAAAAATTACATGGATAAAACGCATAGTAATTATTTTAAGCTAAAATGTCCATTGAAACAGAAATCAAGAACAAACCAGACTATAAAACGCATACAAGCTCAAATCTCAGTCTTACTTTTCCTTTGATAAAAGTGAGACTGAGATCAAAAGTGAGCTCGACTAAGTTTTATAGCCCCAGAGCCAGGTACCATGGAGAAGTATCCCCTGTCGACCGCGGTCACATCCGCTTTTTATATATACAGTGATTGCAAAACCAAATAGCTTTTTCAAAATGTTGAACTTATCTTAAAGAAATTAAATACTGGTATTAACTTACTACCAATCAACAGTTGTAAAATGACCATTGATACTATAGGGGCCATTTTTCCCTTTCTGGTTGAATTATCCCTGCATTTTTCTCTGTTGACTGAACTTGAAATGTTCTGTATGAATTAGGACATTCATAATAAGTACATTATGTAAATCGGCAACAAGATCCAGACTCACAAATAAAACACGCTTGTGTTAAATATAAGCTAGGAAACACATAACTTTATAAAAAGAAAATTTTAATACCATTTCCTTCCTGAATGAATACACTCACAATGAGCTTAAAGTTAGTGCAGTATAGTTTCTCTTTGACTATTATACTTTTGTTTGCATAACATTACATGCATGTAAATGTAAAATGTCCAATTTATCTGTACTGTTAAAGAACAAGAAAAAATGTAGATATAATGACTGTCATTGTTTGTGAAATTGATCAGACAATCTAGCACTATTCCCCATAGCATAATCTATAAAAAGAGTGACATCATATCAAATTACTAAAAAATTTAGAATTTAGAAAAAAGAGTCAAAATATTTTTTTTTTAATCATAGACAGTGCACTTTTTCTGATGACCTACAAATCTCATTAAGAACCTCAAAGGGAAACCCTATAAGACAAATTAAATCTCAATAAAGATGACAAAAACCGGAATATTTAGCTACTACAGTGATAATCACTATTTACTGATTATAGGGAATTCGTGTGGTGATCATAATCTAAAAGGAAAATATCAGATAATGCTACTTTGTTTGCATTATTTTGACAAGATGCAGTTTTTTCCCCATTTTTGAATTTCGCTGATGGCATACTCTTGATATTCCATGTTTTGCCTTAAGGGTATTGAGAACTTATAACATCATTATCATCAGGTGGCTGTGATGATTTTGGGTGTGGTTGCACATTCATCTTTGCAATCCAAGGGTTTCTATTACGCTACTCTCCTCATAAACCATTGGCATACGGTGTTTAAAAAAAGTTAGGATTTTATTCTCAAGTTGTGATTAGGGTGAATCGGCATTGATCAACCAATCAGCATTTGTACCTGTTCAAATTTGAGATCACGTGACGAAAACAATCCCGTCTTTTCACGGCACCGTATGACCAGGGTTTATGAGGAGTCAGTACTTAGCGTATCAGATACCTTGGCTAGCGAAGATGTGGCACATCACATTTTGAACACTGTTGAATGTTGTTTGTAGCACCAGATGTAGGCCTAGTTTAGGTGTTCGGTGCTTCTTGTACTTCATCTCCTCCAGTGGATTGAATATTGTCATCTAGTTCATCTTGGTCGTGGTAGTGATTCAGGTGAATGGCGTTGACCAGCGGTTGGGGTGGTTCGTTGTCAGATATCCTGCACAATTCACATGTATAGTTTGGACCTAGACGAGTAATTCGATAGGGACCTCCAGCTCTGTAAACAGATTGGCTGAAAGTCCTTTGGGTATCTGATGTATTGACATGAGAACTCGATCACTTAGTCTGAAATGTTCTCTCATACCTTTCTTTGTTCTTTTGCTGGTGACAGAGTTCATTTCCTTTTGCTATTTTATGGTAGATATTAAAGTTTTGACAAAAACTGTTGCATTATCCGTATGTAAACCAATGTTATCTTTTGGCTGAAGTTCCACATCAAATGGAAGTCTCATTTCCTAACCAAACATCATGACGAAGGGGGGCATTCTGTAGAACTTGCTGAGACTGATTTTCTAATTGACATCATGATTACTGATGAAAAGGTGGGCCATTAATAAGGTGTCGATCTTTGTCACAGTAAGCTCGCAGTGACTGTGGAATTACATGGTTTTGTTTTTCTACCAAGACATTCGTATTTAGATGATAAGCACACGTGCGGTATTTTGAGATGTCAAATAACTTCACAAAGAGCATTGATGACTTTAGACATGAAATTTCTACCACGATCAGAGAAAAGAACAGAGGGGCACCATAGCGAGCTATTCTGTTATCAAAGAGGACTGTAGCTACTTCCTATGCATTTGGCGTACGGAGTGGGAAATTAAGCTTCTGGACATCTAGTTCCAGCATCAATACAAATTAATATGTTTTCATGTCCTTCTGGGTGGAGTGGACCTAAAATGTCAATCTGCCAACATTCAAATCTCTCTTTGGATGGCATAAGATTCATGGGTGGCTTTGTTGGGTTAAAATTTCTCTTTGTCATTTGACATCTAGTGCATGACTTGACGTAATCAACAATGTCTTGACGCATGCGTGGCCAAAACTATTTTTGTATGATGGAAGCACGTACTTTTTTCATGACAAGGTGACCTCCACCTGCTAGGTTGTTTACAGTTATGATATTGTCTGAGTGCATCAAAGCACAAAGGCTTTGGTAGAGCAATCTGCGTGATGTAGCAATCTTCATCAAATTGTTTTCTGCAGCATCTCTGAAATAAATAGACTAGAATACTTTTGGACAAAGAATAATGTTTTGACAGTGCCACAATGACTTCTTTGTTTTTTCTCATCAGGAAGGGAGTTGTTTTCCACATAATTGATGATGTCCTTGTTCTACTCTAAATCCATTCATTACTTTCAAATGAAAGTACAATAAACAACAAACACACCATTTGGACATAGCAACGACACGCAGTAGCTTTATTTGTGCAGTGTACATAACATATGCAAAATATGAAAATCAATTTGTATATACAAGTTTATGTTGGATTGAATAAATCATGATAAAATTTAAACTTTATCGTGCTCTACGTGTCGTCCTAAACTGGTATTTAAACCACTATTCACCTCTTATATAGCCTTGCTAACGAGACCGGTTCTAAAGAACCACGTGATATACACCAGGTATTCGAATGAAAACCTTGTAATTCCGAAAAAGTAATTCATTATCACACCAAGTAGAAATTGATTTCTGTCTAATTCGTTCCTCAAACGAAAGAAATCATATAAATCATCACATTAATGTCATTATCTTTGCATAGTTTGGTGTTGTCTTCAATTATTGTAAACTTCTAAAAACTCAACATGTACGAAAGTGTTTTAATAATTTAAAAGTTGAGTTTTTAAATCAAAATTCTAAATTTCTAAAATTCTAAAGCTAGCTGAAAGTTGGAAGTTTGAAGTGAATTTTAAATAATCAAAAGACGAAAATGTTAGGGTAAACTGATCGCAAGTCGAACTTGACCGCGAGTCGAACGCATTTTTAACCTTGCTTACACCTTTCGATAAACAATAAATGGTAGGCAACTCTTGATTATCTGTCTTCTTTCTTACCCATCTAATCAATGAGAGTTGTCTTTCTTATGTCGAACTATTATATTAATAGTTCTAGATGCCGGGAAATTTGAAGGTTATTTGTCCGAATTTTCTGTCGTAAATGAATTATCGATGTTGTTTCCAAGCTCCAAACAATTACCAAATAAGCTAATCAATATTTTAAGATACAATTTCATGCATATAAATAATTTTAAAATCTGTTTTTATATAGATTTGGATGCATAATTCGCAAATTAATCAACTAAACTTCATTCAAATTAATATTAGAAATGATATGGAGTCGAACACCGAAAATGATCGCAAGTCGATCAGTGTTCAACACCAGAAACAGTAGTAAAACTCCTCAAATAAGAGGAAATACACGCTTTAAAAGATTTAAAAAAATTAATTATTGGAATATATAAATGAATTAACGTTTTTAATGAATAATAGAAGATATAAATAACTTTTATTTTACCCTAAACAGGGGCGTAGCAACAAGGGGGGGGGGCACTTTTTTCCAAACCTTAAATATACTACAGGAAATGTTAATTGAAAGCCTGGTTGCCCCCCCCCCCCCCCCACTTTTAGTTATGTACCGAAAATGTACTATTAAAATTGGTACTTAAAGTAGTTGACACTGAGAAAAAGTTTACGTACCCCCCCCCCCCCCCCCCCCCCGAAATAGGATTTTCGACTTTGGGCAACATTTAACTTTTTTTTTTATTTTTGCTTGTCAACTTTTTCAGGTACATGTAAGTAAAAAAAAATTTCTCTGGCTGCCCCCCCCCCCACTTTCAAAAACGATGCTACGCCACTGCTAAAGAAATTAAAAATACCGCGAATACTTTAATTATTCGATGATTCAGACCATATTTTACGTGATCAAAATTTAGGACATTAGGCTATTTCTTTTGGCAGTGATGCCTAAAATCAAGTTTTAAAAATTTGTGGTTCAATCCTCCACATCCGTGGGATAGATAAAATTTTTCCTTTTTATAGTAATATAAAAAATCTTGGATTCTTTTTTATTTTGTAGTGCCCCCTCTCCCGCCCTCTGGAGAAAAAATTCTGGCCTGACAATGTTTTCATTGCTCTCCAGAGCCCAAGAATGTAACAGAAATTCTTTCCCAATGCCAGTTACACGACAGTGAAAAGACATACATAGCTGAGTAACAAATCAAAAAGATCCGTAAGCACGAAGAATATTTTCAAATATAAATATTAACTGTACTTTTAGTTTGAAAATGTTTACTGACAACTTTAGCTACTACCCTACCCTAATTGTTTATGTATCATGGTAAAAACGTCCTGCTTTACGCATTTTTTAAAACTAGGAACCCCCCCCCCACCACCACCATCACCACACGCACACACACTTCTGATATTTCCAGGGTGGTGTTTGTGTAGTACTAAATATATCCTGTTCGCAGATTTGGATTGTAAGTAGATTTTATTTATTTATTTTTGAGATCGATGGCGTTTTTTATCTTCACCTTTTTAAGGCAAGTTGTCATGATCTTCCCTTAAAAAATGCAACGATGTTGCAAGTATATCTGCGACAGTTCCTAGGGAAGGGGGGGGGGGGCGAGATCTGTGAGACTGATCTCAAGAAAATCGAGGCCGTGTCAAAAGATGAACATTTCAATCATTTAAAGAAAAACAAAAACATTGTAAACTTTTATGCACTATTGTTTTTCGTTTTATATATTCTGGTTTTATAAATATATATACTTGAATTGGTTTTAATTTAAAATAGTTATTCCTTCCATAAAAAGTTGTTGAATAATGAACAAAGTGAGTCTTGACTAAGTAGTAGTGATGCTTAAATTCGTCTGAAACAAATACTTTAAACAACGGTGAACAAATCATTTTAATTTTTTTGCCGTGACTTCATATTAGATTTTCAGACATGTTTAACGGAAAATGAAAAAAAAAAGTAAAACTGTGAAAAAAATACATACAGAGAGAAATAAAGTATAACCAACAGAAAGGCGGAGGGTGATTGAAAAATTGTGCAATATAAAGTTAACCAGTCTACGATGATATAAACATATTTTACTAAATGTTTGGTATTCTGAATCAAAATCTATCTACAAGGGAAAGACTAGAGAGATTTTTTAAAAATAATTAAAATTCTCTTCAGAAATATGCCTATTTATTTTAATGTCATTAAAAGCCGTTTCCACCACTTAATATGTAGTTTGTGCGACTCAGAATAAATGGCGTTCGACTTCATATCTAGCTGTTCGACTTGCCCAGGTCCTAGTTCAGCGTACGTTCTATCCTTCTGCGTTCGACTTGTGGTCGAATGTGTTCGACTAGCGATCTCTTTAGTATCTCGGGCTTTTTCCTTTAATAACAACTGTTTCATTCGGTTGCGATAGTAAACAACATGCTTAAATGACGCTTTGGATACACATTTCGATACATCTCCGGGTTTATGACACGCATAATGCACTGCGTTGTCAACCTCGACGGCGAATATAAATATGTGTTCGACTTGCGGTCAGTTTACCCTATCGAGTTTTAGATTGTTAAGTGTAAACTTTCATAACAAACGGTAGATTAAGGTCCGTGTAACACTTAACAATTCAAATTTCTAAACTGATTTTGAGTTTTAGAATGTTAATATATTAGTTCAAATTTCTAACTTTCAAAAACTCAAACTGATTTGGTATATCGAATTTTAATATTTTAGTTCAAAATTCCAAAATTTCAAATTTCCAAACAGGTTTTAGAATTTTAATATTTTAGTTTTTTACCTTAAATATTAAAATTTCAAATTTCCAAAAAAGATTTTTGTATTTTAAACTTTTGAGTTTTTGATCTACTGTTTGTTCAGAAAATTCACGCTTAACAATCTAAAATTCAGTAACATTTTTCGTCTTTTGATTAGTTAAAATTTACTGCAAATTTCTAAAAACTCATATAGTGTTAAGTTATTAGAAATTCAAACATTTGAATCAAAATTCCAAATTTCGAAAAATCTTAAACGTTTTCAAGTTGGATTTTAGAAGTTTGAAGCTAATTTCAAATAATCAAAAGACGAAAAATATTACCGAACTTAAAACCAGTAAGTGTAAACTTTCTTCACAAACGGTAAACTAAAAACTCAAACGTTTAAATTCCAATAATCGTTTTTGGTAATTTGAATTTTGAAAATTTAAGGTAAAAATCTAAAATATTAAAATTCTAAAACCTATTAGGAAATTTGAAAATTTAGATTTTTGAACTAAAATATAAAATTTCAATATATGAAATCAGTTTGAGTTTTTGAAATTTAGAAATTTGAATTAATAGATTAACTCCAAAACGTTTTAGAAATTTGAATTGTTAAGTGTTACACGGACCAAAGGGTATATATATTATTAAACGAAGGGGTGGTATTTCGACTATTTCGGATGTCTAAGAGCAAATGTAACTAGAGGTACTGTGAGCGATGAGCTCACTTTGTAATCCCTGTGATTATACCTTTCTGTGAATTTAAATATATTTAACCTCTGAACTTTGATCTTGGATGATACCCCCCGCCTCCATATAGTTATAATGGCAAAGTCCATGTTTTGCTGTGGCCGGGAAACCCAAAATATGTGTCGGATCAAAAAGTAAAATAGGAGGTGCACAATGGCAATATGTAATAAAGATTCTGTGAAAGTTTCATCAAATTTCATTCAGTGGTATGAGAGGAGTTGCGGATAAAACATCAGAGATGGGTACCCCAAAGCGTAACAGACGGACGGACAGACGTACAGACGGACGGAATTAACGATTACTATATACCCCCCCCCCCCCCCCCCCCCCCCCTGGACGAAATAGGTTTTTGACGTTTGTGCGAGTTTAACCACCCCCACCCCCCCCCCACCCCCCACCCCCCCCACGAACTTTTTTTTTTTTTTTTTTTTTTTTTTTTTTGCTTGTCAAGAAATTTCTGGGATTGGATTTTTTTTTTGACTGGGGTGGACCCCCCCCCCTGGAAAAAATTTCTGGATCCGCGCCTGCCATAGAACTTGCGAAATGATTACTTTAAACGAAACTTACTTCTCTTTAGAAATTCATTATACATAAAGCATGAACTTACGTATCAAATCAACTGAGATATATATAAACTCCGTATGCAGGTGAGGAAGGTATATTGCTGCATAAGTAATGAAAAATGACAATTAATTGAAAAGTTTATCATAGAGCTTGGTTATTAGATCACCATTAACGTCTTTTCCATTAAATTTTCCAAGTATGAAACAGCAGTGTCAGACTCTGTGGTATCTTTTATCTCAAGCTCGCTAGGATATATCGTATTGACATAAGAATGGAAATTTTCGCTATTTATTGACAATACATCGTCGATATATCTAAATGTCGAGTTGAAGGCCACAGCAAGTGTTTTCTTCTCATGAAAAAGATCTTGGACAATTTCTGCTTCATATAAATTCAAAAATAGGCTAACAATGGGGCGCAATTGGTAACCATGGGGATTCCAATAAATTGTTGGAAGAACAACATAGATATTGTCAATCAGAAACTCAAGCATCTTTTTTATGTCAACTTCAGAGAACTTGTGTGTACAATCAGAATGTTTTTAACAAAATAATTTTGCAAATGACAATGTATGTAAATTTACGAGTTCCATTTTTATTGAAAAAGCAGATATCAAAAAGACTGGACTTGGATTTATTGTGGGGAATGATTCATATAAAATTGAAAAGTCCAAAGTTCTTAAGCTGCTGATTTTTTGTAAAATCTCATGATTTCAAATCTTCAAGCAGTTCCTTGGAATTTTCAAGTATCCACATCTGATTTACACCACTCCTTGAATATATTGTTGCACAGTATTCTTGAAGTTTCTCCATCAGTACTGTTAATATCTTAATGAGCAGTAAAGAAAGAGGCTTGGTTGAACATTTACTGGAACCCGCTACGTATCTTTGTTTGTAAGGATTTTTGTGAAGATTTGGAATCCAGTAAAGATATGGTAGTTCGAAAATTTGGTTCTTTGGGATATTAAAAATATTCAAAACTGACATATGATTTTGAAGAATTTCTTCCTTAGAAAGGGAAGTATGAGTATAAGTAGGATTACCAATAGTAGAATTAAATCCTAGTTCGTCTAAAATACAATTTATATAAAGAGCCTTACAAACAAAGTTTGTTATTACCTGTTTTTAGTTTGTCAGCAGGGACCACTACATACTGATCATGTAATTTATCTATTCTTTTTTTCACTTCTGGATTACTGAATACAGAAGAATAGATGGTTTTCATATTGCCCATCGATCTTTTTATATGCGATTGTAACATGGACCTGATACATATTTAATCCATTCTGACAAAGCATCAACATCTTTTTCATATCTGTTCTAAAATTGTTCCAAAAATGTCTCTTCATTAGTCATTTTATCAAATAAAATTGCCTTGAAACAAAACAAAATTGATGAACTTGATACTTTTAATGATCAAAACAATTTTTAATTAATTTTGCATCTGTGCCAAGATTCAACCACAACAGGTGTCAAAATTTTATGAAGATATACAAGGATATGTATACATGAACGTGAAAAGGTTACAAAGAAACACAACAATCATCTTCAGTCTTAAAGAACATAGTGTGGAATCAGTTTTATTCGTGCGGGCCAATGTTCGTGGGTAACCAAAAATTTCCTGGTTCGTGGGGACGCAATTTCGTTGATAACAAGTTATACTCAGTATTTCTTTTTCAAACTTTTAATGAATAATAAAACAAATGTTTGTATATACATTCAAGAGGATGTAAATTCGTGGGTCAAGGTGACCCACGAAAACCACGAACACTGGTCCCCCAGGAATAATGATGATTCCACAATACTTGTGTTCAGTAGGTGTCTATAATATCTACTGTCTTTTGTTAGATTCCTCAATACCGGTATCTCTGTATTAATAGTGCTTCTCGTTCAGTAGTTTGATATTTCTTATAGAGTACACTTAATGTTGGAACAAGCACCAGATTCCATGAAAAGCTCTATATTTTCTCCATCTCTCAGTATCAGAGTGGATTTTCCTCTTGCACCTTGTCCACACAGATACGAATATTTGGATTGGATGTATCATTGTGATATCAGGAGTTATGTCCCTTCCTTTAGTGTGAAGGCTTTGATTGGATTGAGTTTTAAGTTCCCATGCGTTCCTGGACCTGCTTGGCTGCCTCAATCTGTGATTTGTCACAGTAATCCTGTAATTGTACACATAAAGGAGCTCTTTTTATCAGTAAAATTCATCTACACATTGTTATAGCAATATCTTATAAAGGAGCTAACCTTCACTGGAAACTAAGAACTTCTAGACTCTTTAGCTTAAACATAATATGAGTACGGGTATCACAGACCTATACTTGTATAAATCCAGACTAATTAGCTAACTTTGCACAAAAAGAGTTTCATAAATGTACCAATATATGTAATTCCATCGATGTTCTTTTTGGAGTCTTTATTTTTGGTTATATAATTTATTTATATACTTTATTCATCCATTCCACTCTCTCTTCCTTGTTTTTCTTACCTCCAGAAAAACCTTTGCGAGGTTACTCAGCCTTGGGTTTGTAGATTCTGAGAACCTCAGCATGCATTCTACGATAGGTAGGGCTGTTATTTCTGTAAAATCAGAATAGATACAACAATCAACAATATATAAAAACAGTTTCATGATAGTCAACATACATTCTATGATGGGATTGGCTGTTAACAAGGATCAATCGTGAACAAAGTGTCAGGATAAAGCATATGCAATTTTAAACATCAAATGCATAATTTTTAAATTATGACATTATTATCCAATAGATACCTTCTTAACATGTTTTATTTCATTTTTTTAATCTGAATTTATTTATTTGACATCCTTAGAATAATGAAAATAAGATGTCCTATATTTCTAGATCTATTCCATTTTGATTTTGATTTTAATCACATGGTATCCTGAAGACTAGTTCTTGGCAATGCCTGTGTTCAGTGGAGCTCACCTGCCCTAGATACCGGAGTCGCGAGGTACATCAGGGTGGTGATGGCAGACAGAACGGTCTCCTCATTGGGGCTAGGCAAGAAACGAAAGCAGATAAGGTATAAAATGTGTGCTATTTGTTTTTCTTATCATAATTCAAAAAATTAGTTTATTTTCCATAGTGTTGTCAAAATAATATTTAGTTAGAGACAAATCTTCAAGTTGTCTGAATCACAAGATTTGACTCTACATTACAAATATTGATAGAAATCTAAACAAAAATTTCTGGATCACTTATCCAATAAATGGTCCTAAAATAGATTAAGCTGAATAGTTTTACTCAACTCCATATCACTCTATACAAGCAAATACTTACCTAGACAGACATTTCATCACAAGCTTGACTCCACTATTTTTCAAGATTTCTTCTTTGTTGATTTTGTCTGTAATCACACATATTAAAATCTTCTTCTAAATATAATTAAGATTAATAAATAATAGGGGAAAATAAATATATTTCAAGTAGTAGAGGAAATTCAAGAACAGATAACTATGCCAATTCTTCTTTAAATTTCTGGCAGTTGCTATAAATTTAAATAATTCCTTCACTACTTTTGTTGATACATAAGGTTCACCTAATATATATTACAATTGTATATACTGATGCTATTTTTACCTAAGCTAAGATTACAGAGTCCTCCAATACCAAACTCCACCAACTTCTCATCATCTTCCTCCAGGCAGTCTGAAGCATTCAAACAATAAAATTAAAACAAGACTAAAAAATAGAAGACATCAGCAATCATTTGCATTTAAAGCCATTCTGGTAATTTATGCTGAAACTGATCCATGATTTTTTTTTCAAAACAAATTGAATTCAACAAGTAAATTAACTTTGTTGTTCAAGTTTAAAATCACATAAACTACAGTATCTAAATAAGCATGATAAGCTGTCTTAATTTTTTCTATGCCTTTGAAAAAAGGATATGAGTCATATGACTACTTGAACCTGTATTTGACCCAGGGATCCATACAGTTTACTAACCTTGTGTTCTAACCACTGAGCTACCCAGGCTAATATCCAACATTTCACATAACCCAAACCACTGCACTCCCCCTCCTTTAGATTATCTTTGCCCTCAGAGACTCACAACACATATTTTTCTGAGAAAATATTTCTCACCTATCTACTGACCCAAGCTTTTTCATCTTGAAAGGGGAGAAGGCAAATTAACAAACATTATTTTAAAGTTAAATGGTTTGACAAAATAATTCTTTTCTAAACTGATTTTTATTCAATAAAAAGTGGGAGATAACTTTCAGGAGTACAATATGGACATAAATTATGGCACAGTTCTCTAGTACTCTTTCATATTGGGAATTGTAAATGGGAATACCCCCCGATATGTCTAATTATACTGAGTATCTTAATCATTGTGAAATACCTATGATTCTGATTGAGTTCTTCTCCTACATTCGTCCATGGCATTTACTCACCGAAATAGGGTTGTTTGTAATATATTGATGTGCTTGGACCCTTTAAATGGTTTTGTACATTTTAAAAGATGCCACAATATTAGCAAAATAAGAAAACTGTTAAATATATCTTCAAATTAAGTTTTCCGAGGCCTAGGGTGATGAGTAAAAGACAATGACCAAAGCTATCTGTTCTACATTTCATTTCATTGAATCTTAGTGTACAAGGGCTGGACTGGGAATTGAACCTGGAACCCCAACATTACTAGTTAAATGAAAATTACAGTAATACTGAGAGCAGCGAGCGTTGTTCGCAAAGAGAGCTCAATAGACTAACATGTTAGAACAGATGAAATTCGGAATGAAATCTGTACATACGTCAGGCAAATTTTTATGTGAAACATTCCCAGAATTCCTTTACTAATCAATGTCCTTTGTGCGAATAAAAATAAATATATAATAATGTAAAGCATAAAAGGCTTTCAATTGTAGAAATCTTTCAAAGAAACAAAAATATATTACTCTGCAATTTTTTCGACCAAAATTGCACTTATAAGAGCTATAGTTTCAACCAGACGCTTGGCTGTCTCCGTAAGCTCCGAGGAGCTCCGTGACATCATGTGATGTCAAAGCTAGTTGAGAAGTCTCCTGCGGCTTGATGTTTGAAGTGGCTGATCAATTTTTCAAGTGTTTTTGATGGTACAACTGTGCTCGCCTCAACGGTCACACAGTAAAACATATTTAAAAAATGTCAAAAAAAGAAGATTACCAAGGAAAAGGTCGATGATATTCAAGGTTCTGATGTACTCATAATTCACTGGGTCGTAAGCAAAATTTCCCAAATTTGCTAAAACTTCTTGCTTGCTCTCTAAAATGAAGGAAAACTGAGAGTTTTACAAACTGTGTGAAAATCAGAACATTATTTTCAATCGGGTTCAGCATTTGTAAAATTACAAACCAAGACTATCTGTTTCCTGAAATTCAGTTACAAGAGCTTGTAAATAGCTAAACCGTCCAATCCCATGTGGTCCAGTTCTCTTTGAAAGTTGTTCCTTTGTGCTAAACATTCCTCTGTTATTTACTAATTTAGTTAAGGTAACTACCTAGCTTATCATTGCGACCTTCAACTTGTAATCAACTTCCGGAGAAAACAAATATTGGTCAAATTTGGTCACGTGCCAGTGTTGTTGATTTACAGGTCACATGTAGGTTAGAAAACAACTTTCTAATGCCCATATTCACACCTATGTTTAAACTAGGATTAGCTGTAAGAAGGACTCACATTTTTTAAATCTGTTTCACACCTGCTTCTCAGGAGTGAGCTCTTCTCAGAAATTAAGGTAAACCTAAACCTGGTCTAGGGTAGGTTTAAATGTTAAAGATAGTATTATTCTAACTATGGAAGACCACATAGATGGTATAGAATGGCTTGAACGTATTGACCAACTGTTTGTTAGACGACCTAGAACTATCCGTGATAGATTAGATCCATTTCTTTTTTATGATGAGGAAGACTTTCTTGTGAGATTCCGTTTTTGTAAACGTGACACTCTCCTTATAATGGACATGCTTGGAAATGATCTAGAACCAAATCAGAGAAAACTGATGTCAGTTTCACCCCTCAACCAGCTTTTGATAGCGTTAAGATTTTTTGCTACAGGAGCATTTCAGCAAGTGAATGGGGATTTATTTGGGATTTCACAGTCAACAATAAGTAGGGTTGTTAACAGAGTTTCCCATGCTTTGGCATCAAGATATAGGGAAGTTATTCAGTTTCCTCAAGGTAACAACCTACTTCAGGTACAGAGGGGTTTCATGGACATTGGAAGAATTCCCGGAGTAGTTGGTGCAATCGATTGTACCCACATACCAATTCAGTCCCCTGGAGGTAGAAATTCAGAAGTTTACAGAAATAGAAAAGGATTCTTTTCTATTAATGTGCAAGCTATATGTGATCACGAGTGTAATTTCACAAACATTGTAGCTAGATGGCCAGGCAGCACCCATGATAGCAGAATTTTTGAAAATAGTAACATTTGTGCCAGGTTTGAGAGACACGAGATAGACAGAATATTATTGGGTGACAATGGATATCCGCTTCGACAATTTTTAATTACACCGTTATTACATTGTAATACTAGACCTGAAATAGCTTTTAACAATGCACATTGTCATTCTCGGGTTAAAATTGAAAATGCTTTTGGAATTTTAAAAAGAATGTTTCCCTGCCTCAGAATAAAGCTCGGCCTAAAACTTCAAACTGTACTACATGTAATAGTGTCATGTGCAATATTATATAACTTGCGTAGAAAGTGGAACGGTCGTTTGCCATTCAATGACGATGCTGATATCAATGACCCCATCGTTCCAGTTCCAGTACCACAACGTCCCAACCAGGGAGGACAGGCCATCAGAATGCTTCTAATAAGGCATTTTCAGTAATGAATAAAAATGGGAAAAGGTATCTATATATTTATTTTATTTTTGAAATCTCCATAATATAATAACCAATTCATTTTCAAAAGTTGAATGGCTGCCATATCTGTGCACATGTATTATCATTATTTTGATTGTGATTAGTGTTGTTGTTTCCATCTTTGTTGGAACTAACTTCTTCAAGTTTGCGAATTTTTGCTTCTATATATTGTTTTTTCAAATGCAGTATCTCCATTTTCAGTTGATGTTCTTCTTCTGCCATCTCCAGCATCTTCTTCTTGACGTCTTCCTGCTCCACACATTTTCTCTTGGATGCAGTTGTGGATTTGGATGTGGTCATTGTCTGGGTGCTTACTGTTACTGGTGACATGGGTGCTTGTGGTTCTGATACAGACACATCAGGATTTTTTTCTGGGGGTTGCTGATTACAAGCACTTGTTGAACCTGGCTGTATATATTGTTTTCATTATTAAAATAAAATAAGTGAAAATACTGTTCATCTCATTTTATAAAGATTAAAGAAATTACAATTACATGGATTACAAATATCTGTTTTTGTCCACAAGTAAATTTAATTTAAATGCTTACCGACTCATTGAAGTTATCTACATCCCCGTGAAGTTCTGCGTCGTCATCAAATGCATTCTCACAGCTATTAATTTGCTGAGGAATTATCTCTCTAACTGCTGAAGAGAGCTTGTCAATTGTCCCTTCTACAACACCACCACCAGTTTTTGATCTTTCTCTTCTTTCCTTCGCCACAGCTGACTTGCTTCTTGATTTCAAATTTTTCCATAATGATTTAAGCTGATTGCATGTCCTGATATTAACTCCATTTCTACTGTTGAATTCCTTTGTTAAGTTTTCCCATTCCAAATTTTTCTTGTGGATCATTTTAGAATCAGTAGCTTTGTTTTCAATTATATCCTTTTTTGACCCCACTAAATCAATAAGCGTACACTTTTCGAGTTCAGTAAAATGAGGACCTTTCTTCCCAGCCATTGTACATGCAATACCAAATGAATAAAGCAAACAAAACAGAGGTTCAGGTGAAACAAGTTTTATTTTAAGTGTGAAACACAGGTGAGTTCAAAGTGAACTCAGCTCAAATGGGATTTAAACCCAGTTTACCTGAACTAGGCTTACTATTTAAATCTACCTTACCTAAGACATAGGTGTGAATATGGGTATAAATGTTGCAAGGAAATACGGAAACATAATAAGATGCAGAAGCGTTTATCTCCAAAGAAGTAACATCTTTTCGTTAAAACTGAGTTTCTAGTTGACTACGTTCGTACATTTTGGAATTTTTTTTGCAGAGCTCGGCATTCTGAATTCTGAAAGATGGCGGAGAAATCGTCGTCTTCTCAAAATGCTGGAGTCAAAATCGGGCATTACATCTTAGGAGACACCTTAGGAATCGGAACATTTGGGAAGGTTAAAAGTAAGTTATGTGGGTTAATTATGTACCAATTTGTGTTCTTCAGTAAGATTGTACTGTTGACATACTGTGGGTCAAGTACTTAAAGTTCATTACCCTTTTAAATCCTTGTCAGTTTCAAAAGGGCCAAACTGATCAATAGGAATCATTGTACAGCTGTCGTACAAAATGAAAGTTATGTTAGCTGAATCATCTTATTGAAAAAATGTGACAAATAATCGATACTTGACTTTTAAGATAAAAATGTAAAATGGAAAGGAGAAATGAGTAAATATACATTGAAAATTCATAAAAATATAAGCCCTTTGTAATGAAAAACATATGGTTGGTCTGAGAATTGAATCTGTGACCCCCGCATTACTAGTCACTGACAGGACTAGTCAGGACTAGTAACCACTGAGTTATCCAGGATGATGTCCTCATTCCAGCCTAAATTCCTACATTAGGAAATACAAATAGTTGGGTGTATACATATTTTAATTGATTGCATGTTTACATATATTTACCGAGAGATAATTGTCAGATTAGTTTTCCCGTACATTCTGTAAACCTTGAGAAATAAACACAAGAACTTGTTTCCTATTTTGAGAGTATGAAAAGCATAAAAATAATTGAAAATTTTGATAATGAAGAATTTTATTTTTCTAGTTGCAACACATCAACTGACAAATCACAAAGTAGCTGTGAAGATTTTGAACAGACAAAAGATAAAAAGTTTGGATGTTGTCGGAAAAATAAAAAGGGAGATCCAGAATCTGAAGCTTTTTCGCCACCCTCACATCATCAAATTGTAAGTATGAATTTCACAGATCTTCAGATATGGCTGAAATATTGCTAATTCAGCATAAATAAATCAATCTTCAGGTGGAAAATTTCAATTAGTATAAAAATGTAGAATCAAAATCAAAAGGTTTTCACACTCCAACATCCCAACTGTATGTCTGTCTAACAAGCTCCTTTTAAACCTTTGAAAGTAATTACTGAAAGTTTTGACATATTATCAATATCTAAAGGATACAAAGATATTTCTGTTCTTTTGAGGGGAGTGGGGGGGATACAAACTGCTTGTTACAATCAAAACATAGGACAGGGTTTCAAACTATTTTTAAGAAAAGCTGCACATCCTTGCAAGTTATGTTAAAATACCGGACAAGTTTGTTTTAATAACACATACAATTTAAATACAAAAGAAACTTTTTTTTTTAGTATATGTATCATGCAATTAATGTTGTTTATAAGGCTCATTAAGTTTAACAATATGTTACTGTTATGATATGTCTGCTTTCTATTTATAAGTATGATGAAATGTTTGTTTTTGACAGGTATCAAGTGATAAGCACACCCACAGACATCTTCATGGTAATGGAGTATGTGTCAGGAGGCGAACTCTTTGATTACATCGTCAAACATGGCAAAGTATGATACCTCAACTGTAGTGGGAAAATTGATTTCATTTTGATCTCTTTTATTAGTCAGTGTAGTTTTTCTCAGTTGTTAATGTAAGGATTTATGTAACATTTAGAGTACCCAGTAGTTAAACTTTTTTTCTATATATATACTGCTATAAAAATAAGGTGGAGGAGCTTTAGTATTGAGTATTAATTCATTGAAAGTTATAAACAGTCAGTATGAAATTTGCTGTTCTGTTACAGCTGAAGGAGCCCGAGGCCAGGCGATTCTTCCAGCAGATTATTTCTGGAGTGGACTACTGCCATCGACACATGGTCGTCCACCGAGATCTCAAACCTGAAAATCTGCTACTGGACAGTAATCTCAATGTTAAAATTGCTGACTTTGGTACGTTCACCATGTGTTTGCTAATAATTTATATATTCTGTTTATTTTACCTGAATGTGAAAATGAAAGTTAATACATGATACAATATATTCATCATAATTGCATTTAATGTTTATGGTTGTATACCAAATTCATTATGGTTTTTAGGGCTCTCAAACATGATGCATGATGGTGAATTTTTACGTACGAGCTGTGGTTCCCCTAACTATGCTGCCCCAGAAGTCATCTCAGGAAAGTGAGTTAACATTCTAAACATATCATATCCAAGAATTGAAACTTTTTATCCTTGATTTTTGTTGATCAGTAAATTAGTTGATCTTATTTTAGACTGTATGCTGGACCAGAGGTAGACATCTGGAGTTGTGGGGTTATCCTCTATGCCCTGCTGTGTGGAACGGTGAGTTCAGTGTTTCAATATAATGAAAAGTTTACTAGATACATGCACTTGTAGTTTACAGGGTCAATTGTTTAATTCTAAAAGCACATGTACCTAAAAGCACATGGACAGTGCATGGATGCAGTTAAGAAGCATACAATTTAGTTATACATCAGAATAAAATTACATACATGTGTATATGTGTGTATTTTCAGCTCCCATTTGATGATGAACACGTGCCAACTTTATTCAGGAAGATTAAATGTGAGTATTTTTTGCCATTCCAGCAACAGAAATAATAACAAACAAAACTGTAATTTCATTGTTTGCACGCTTTCGATTGCACATTTCTTGCACTCAAAAGATAAGATTAAAATTTAGTTTTGAATTGTTCCAAATATATGGCATGGTTTTTTCATTAGCCTAAGATATAACAAACATAGCCAACTTGAATTAGATAGGGGTGAAACGATACGCCTCCTTCACGGTTCGATACGTATCGAAAAATTTGGTCTCGGTTCGGTTATTTTCGATACGATACATTTTGATTGAAGGAAACAGATTCAATGTTGTTTTATGCTACCTTTTACTTAATCTAGTAAAATAATTTACGTGCAAAATGGATAGAATGTATCAATTTAATTGATTTGACTGTTAAAAATTATTTTACAAACTTCAAGTCCACACAAACTTACGTTTCTGAACTAATTATACAGAAAAGCATGTTTATACCTTATGCCAAACTCGACTGAATGACGATCCCGACCGTAAAACGAACCGAACCGAAAGCAGAGATTTTGTACCGCGTATCGAACCGAGAAAAAATACTGCGGTGAACCGATACCGCGGTGAACCATTTCACTCCTAGAATTAGATAAGAGTAGGTTTAAAGAAATAAATTTACTCTTGTGATAACAATAGTTGATCTTGAAAATAAATATCTTGACAATAGTTGAACTTGACTTGAAAGTAGGTGAATTTGACAACAGGTTAACTTGACTTGACAATAACTTAACTTGTCTATTTATGACTGACACCAGATGAACATGACTTAACAGTAGGTGAAATTGAATATAGGTGTACTTGTTAAGACAGTTGGTTAACTTGATTTCTCAAGAGGTGTATGTTGTATTTTTAGCTGGAATATTTGCTGTCCCTGATTACCTGAACAAGGAGGTGGTCAGTCTGCTGTGTATGATGCTCCAGGTAGACCCCCTTAAACGGGCCACCATAGCTCAGATCAGGTAAATAATAGACCCCCTCAAAAGGGATACCATATCTCAGATCAGGTAAATAATAGACCCCCTCAAATGGACCACTATAGCTCAGATCAGGTCAATAATAGACCCCCTCATACGGGCCACCATATCTCAGATCAGGTAAATAATAGACCCCCTCAAATGGACCACTATAGCTCAGATCAGGTAAATAATAGACCCCCTCATACGGGCCACCATATCTCAGATCAGGTAAATAATAGACCCCCTCAAACGGGCCACCATATCTCAGAGCAGGTAATTAATAGACCCCCTCAAATGGACCACTATAGCTCAGATCAGGTAAATAATAGACCCAGGTAAATAATAGACCCCCTAAAATGGGCCACCATATCTCAGAGCAGGTAAATAATAGACCCCCTCAAACAGGCCACCATATCTCAGATCAGGTAAATAATAGACCCCCTCAAACGGACCATCATATCTCAGATCAGGTAAATAATAGACCCCCTCAAACAGGCCACCATATCTCAGATCAAATAAATAATAGACCCCCTTAAACGGGCCACCATATCTCAGATCAGGTAAATAATTGACCCCCCTCAAACGGGCCACCATATCTCAGATCAGGTAAATAATAGACCCCCTCAAACGGGCCACCATATCTCAGATCAGGTAAATAATTGACCTCCTCAAACGTGCCACCATATCTCAGATCAGGTAAATAATAGATCCCCTTAAACGGGCCTCCATAGCTCAGATCAGGTAAATAATAGAACCCTCCAAACGGGGTGATACAGATTTAGACACACACTGTGTATTGAGATATAGTATAGATTTAGACACACACTGTATATTGAGACAAAGTACAGATTTAGATACACACTGTATATTGAGACAAAGTACAGATTTAGATACACACTGTATATTGAGACATAGTACAGATTTAGATACACACTGTATATTGAGACATAGTACAGATTTAGATACACACTGTATATTGAGACATAGTACAAATTTAGATACACACTGTATATTGAGACACAGTACAGATTTAGATACACACTGTATATTGAGACATAGTACAGATTTAGATACACACTGTATATTGAGACATAGTACAGATTTAGATACACACTGTATATTGAGACATAGTACAGATTTAGATACACACTGTATATTGAGACACAGTACAGATTTAGATACACACTGTATATTGAGATCTCTTTAACAGGGAACATGACTGGTTCCAGAAGGATCTACCATCTTACCTGTTCCCATCCCCTCAAGACCAGGACGCCTCCATTGTAGAAATGGATGTCATACGAGAAATTTGTGAGGTAAGTCATACATGAAATCACTCTGTGGTTGGGGTAAGTTACATGTGTTACTTGTGAAGTAAATCATTGATAGAATCTTTGAGAATAGCAGTGTAGGGAATTTAAAACTGTAGTGGCAATGTAATGCACCCTAAAAGTTATGCTGTTCTTTATATTCATTTGTTTTAAAGGACAAATAAGTACCAATAATTAAATCACGAGATTGATGAGAAATTATATAAACAAGACAGAAAAATAATTATACATGTATTCTGATGGTTTGATTTGAACAGAAATTTGGTGTGACTGAATACGAAGTCCAGAGGGCCTTACTGAGCAATGACCCGCATGACCAGCTAAATATAGCCTATCACCTGATTGTGGACAATCGGAGACTGGCCGGAGAAGGTAAGGGATCACTGGTGACCTCAACTTTATTATCAGTAGTAGGATTCTTAGCGCTGATTGAATCGAGTGCATTTTACTTAATTTTTTGGCATTTTGCATATTAAAACACTTTTTAGAGTTTTTGAAATATAGATGCTAATGTTACAATGTTTTCTGTTTCAATGTGTTGTGCCTGACAGGTGATTATGGAGGTAAAGTTGTCTCTCTCTCATGGGTTTAACATTTACAGTACTAGTATACCACATATCATTCTCTGATTGTTTTTGTGTTTGTTATGTAGTGGATTTTTTTTCTGATTTCACTGATGAGTCCACTTATTTTTAATCTCAGTGTCCACCACTAGTACATGTATGTACTGATTTTACTGTTTTAGCTTAGCTGAATCCATCTTTACCCACTCTGTTACACCTTTACACATAACAAAGCATACACTTTTTATGTTGGGATCTATTGAAGAAAAAAGTTAAAAGTACTAAAATATTTCATTAGTTTCTAATTTCAAAGAATCATGCAGTTAAGAAAACAAATAAAATTTACATTTCATCTTCTCTAAAGTTTTCTAATTTCTTATGCACAAAAGTAAAATATCTAATTTTCACCTTGCATTAAATAATAAACATTCATAATTTATTTTAAATACATGTATGTCATTGCTTGGCATAAGAAAACTAATATCTTAAATTTTAATTTATCCACATGCTTAGAATGTTCACTTGATTCTGACTTTTTATTTTGACTGGCGATGTTGGAAATTGGTACTGATTAATGAAATTCCGAGTCTTGAGTAGCTGATGTACATTTGTACCACAGGCCTTTGGATCGCTTTAAAAAAAATTATGTGTGTAAAAAAAAAAATAAAGGTACTGAACTCTTACACTGGGTACCTAATTTCGCTAATAAAATATTTTTTATTCTAAGTAATGCTCTAAAATTCTACTTTCTATTGAAATCTGTTCATACATAAACATTCTTCAATTCTACCAAAGCTCATTCCGAAATTCCATATATTTCTTGAGATATTCTGAAATCAATTTCAAAAATGACCTACTTTCTTTTACTCGACATTAGCTTGGGCCCCTGGTCATTCACATGTAAACAGACGGTGTTTGAAGTGCGGCGAAGAGTTGCATAGTATTTGCAAGATCTTTCAACAATTTAAAGTTGATTTCTTACTCCAGATTGTAACGTAAAGTCTGTAATAATATTTCTTTCGCGAAAAATTAATTTGAAAACGTCTACATCAACAACTACCGCCATGTTGATTATGAATGTAAATGAAGCCATGGTAGAACGAATTTTTCCCGGAATGCATTAAATACCTTTCGATTTTCAAAACAATTAGACCGCTAAAATGTTGTTTGTAACTTAGTTACACCATATGATCAAATTAAAGAAAAACCTTGTAAAGCTTGAATGCAATTGAGCAAATATTCATAGACTTTAGAATAAATTCCGGGGAAAATTTGTCCCGTCGTTCCCGCTTTACAATTAGTGAAGGCCCAAGCTGATGTCGAGTAAAAAATTTAATGTCAATTTTGGAATTGATTTTAGAATATCTCGAAAAGTATAAGGAATTACGGAATGAACTTTGGCAGTAATGAAGATTGTTTATATTTGAATAGATATGGATAGAAAGTAAAATTGTAAAGCATTTGATTTAAAAGAATTTTATTGGCGAAAGTAGGTACCGCATGAAAAGAGTTCCATACCTTTATTTTTTTTCAACACCTCAATTTTTTTTCTAAGCGATCTAAAGGCCTGTGATTTGTACATGTGAACCATCATAAGCCTTGCTGCTGTGGCTGTTTTGTTCAGCTTACATGTATCTCTTGGAGTTTCATGGGCTGCGTATCAATTTGTGTACTTAAATAATGTTTTTGAGATGGGGCATTTTCTATTTAACAATGAATAGCAGCAATTAGTTACAGTGTAATTATTTATTCAGAATAATAAATGTTTATGATTTGTTGTATTACATATTTAAAATGCAGTTATCTCACGAGGAACCATATAAAAAAGAGATTAAAAATTCTGATTTTCATGCTCATATCGTAAAAGGTTTTAAACAAACTAAATTCTACTTGCGACAAGTTGCTGTTACATTAAAATGGTGGTAAAAAGTACTGTAAAAGTAAATGACCAGGAACAGATAACTCTTGCCACTGCTATACCTATCCCTATTTTTTTGTATTAATTCTGGACTTTTTTTTCAGTTACAGATGTAGAGTTACATGAGTTCTATCTGGCCTCCAGTCCTCCCCCTGACTCCTTCCTTCTGGTAATGTATGCCACTGTATATATCCCCTGTACACAATTGTACACTACTGTAACCCACTGTACACCACTGTATCACACTGTTATCTACTAATTAATCATGAAAAACACACAGAATAATGATTAACTACAGTATTTGATTACCCAGTAGCATATTTTACCTCAGAGCACTACAAACCACTTGACACAGACACATGATCAATTCTGAGGTCTCTGTTAATTTCAATAACACATGTCCATTACATAAATATGTACACGTGTGAACATGAGCTGGATTTGTCACAACTGCAAATATGTACAGTGCAATTACCATTTCAACTGCACTCTGTAGGACTGGTATAACTCAAGAAAACTATGTTCAGACTTTAAATAAAATTAGATTTATATCTGAACTTCTGGTTTTAACTGAATTTCCATCTAATAACATTGTTTACAGAACATTGTAGAATTTTATGTGAGATGATGCACAGTTATTTTGTGTAAAATAATCATATAATTTTTTCAATTTTTTAATGAAAAAAATATTATAATTTTCATGATTCTGCCACGAGTACTGTATAATTGTTTCTGTTTTTGGTAACAGGCAAAGCAGTCTCATATACTGGGCACACCAACGCCCCAGGAACATGTTAGTATCTCACTGACAACACCCCATATCTCTATAGTAAACGACACAGTTTTCTATAGTGTGTATGTCACTGTCAGAATTAGTTGTTTTGCTAGCTCAAATTGAGCCCAAGGCTTTAATAAACTTTTCTGAGCAAAGTCAGTCATCTATCTGTCATGTTTTGTTTGGACCACTATTAAGCAATTCGAATCATCCTTGGTCAAAGGATGTTTGGATTCATTGAAGTAAAAGGTTATATCTTCACAGAAGGGGAGATAAGTATAAAAGATAAAGAAAATTGAAATAGAATACAATTTTAAAAAATCTGATTCTCAAGAACTACAGGTTAAGTAAAACCAAACCTTACAGAAAAGCTTACAATATTTAAACCATTTCCCATTGGGCAAGGAAGAGGCCATGTCCATGTATTTAACAGGGTAATTTGAATCAGGTGAGCAGTGTGGCCATTGGACCTCTTGTTTCCCTAAATGTTTAATTGTAAATGTTTGAGCTTCAGAAGTATGGATATCATTCTGCATTACATTGCTCAGCAATCAATAGTCTCTCTCTGGCAAATCATTTAACAGAATTTGCTAGTGCCAACTCTAGAAATCATAGAATGTGTATATACATATTTTTGTAAAACAAAACTTGTTAGTGAAAGTCTTAGAATGCTCATTTGATTTACATTTGTGTTACCTATAATGCAAAATAAAAAATAAAAAAAACATATTAGCCCTTCTTATGCACCCCCCCCAAAAAAAACCCAGCTTTTTTTTAAGTCTGTTTTCTAAAATGCTTTTTAACTAACTGAGAAGTAAATTGACTGGCGCTGCTATAGAATTGATTTTGTTAGTAACCAGGCTCTGTAGCATAGGAAGATCCCTGATAATCATTTGAACAGAAATCACTTCCTACTTTGAATTGTAGATTTATCAATAATGTTGGATAATGGGAATTTAGTATACAATTTAAAGTTAAAGAATATACCTGCAGGCAACAATGCTGTCAATATTGAAAGTTTGATGCAGATAACTCATAAAAAAAAACTTTTAATGTGCAAAATGACCGTCTTCTTACTTGTTAACAGTCTTGTGAATTTGGTTCATTTCACTTCTATCATTATCTAGCAATGTATTTTTAACTAGTTTAAAATTATTAAAAACTTTCAAAATCCCTTCATTATACAATATTTACATCCACTGAATATTTTCTCCTTTATTTCTTAAGAAAACTCGAAAATCACTGCATGAACTACATTAGGCATGTCGCCTGTACAGATTTCTTGATCAGTGGCTGTTCCATCAATGAAACGTATAAAGACGTTCACAACATTAATACAATAATTAAACTTTTTAATCCTTCTTTAAATGATTATTTAAACAGATATAAATATAAACAATAAAATGTCTTTCTTTGTTTGTTATTACTGGAATAAACGGTTGCAGCCATTGTAGAAAAAAATTACATAACCCACTTTTTAATACGCAGGTTATGTATTTTTTCTGCAACAGTTCTTCAGTTAATTCCAGTAATAACAAACAAAGAAAACATTTTATTGTTTAATTGAATACTAGTACCTTAAATCAATGACAGAGAAGAGTTTCCACCTGTCAACCTGCTTATCTTTTTAAAAGAGCAGCAGATATGCTAAAGTAATCGGCCATCAGTGTTTCTATATTTCAAAAGTACCAAAATCATCAAACTTTCAACCCTTCAGTATAACCATATTTATATCACCTGGGTGGGATTTTTTTTTCTTTTTTAGAGTTTTGAAGTATATTCAATAAAAAGTTTTTTGCGATATGTTTTAATATGTTTTTATTATCTACTTTTTAATTAAAAAAAAAAAATTGTTATCAGCTGATTCATATTTGCCTCTTTATATAGTAAGGGAAATAATTCAGAAAATTAAAAAAAATCTGAAGATCCTGTATTTATATACTAACTTTTTAAAACAATAAACAATAGTTTTTTAAACACCTTTGCAAATTTTAAGTGGTAACGAAGCTTTGTCTTAACAAACTTAACAGTGACATTTTAGCAGTGAAAAAAGCCTGTACAAGAATTATTTTAATTTGATTAAAAGAAAGATACAGGTAATGTGTGACAAATCTTAATTATTTTAAAAAAAACATTGCCATAACCAGCTACTTTGCATACATTTTACTGGGACAAGCTACTTGTCATGATTAATGTATAATCATATTACTACAAAGTATTAAGTGTCAAGATGTACATGTATATAAATTGTCAAGACCCCACCCCCTTCCACCTCGTATGACACATTTGATAGTCTTTTTTATGTTATATAGTGGTACAAGCACTTACATTTATATATTTGAAAAACATATCACTTTCTAAGATTTGCTTTATAAAGGGTCTATTTAAGTTAGATTCACTCAAAACAAAACATTGATAGTGTCAATATTTTTATTCTTTGTCTAAAAAGATGTAAGGTTCAAGGGTATCTTGTACAATTGAAGCCTCAAATAAGGTTGCTTTTTGGGAAATGTAAATTTATTAGATAAAATTGATATAAATGGATTTAATCAGAAGGCATTCATCATTTATAGCTTCTGTACTCTGTATATTCCATTCCTTCCCAATACAATGTACTTGTATAATAGTCTGATCTCCTGTCTTTTATGGAATGACTGATGTCAATGACCAGGCTTGAGCATGCAATGTTGTATCCCAAAATCAAGTAAATGTTCCTGATCCTTTTTACAGTTCTGCATGAATTTGCTCATATTGGAGCCTTATCAAGGCTAAAGCCTGAGCCTAACCTCCAGCTTGTTGCATAATGTTACAAAGCTAAGACGATTATGTACTATACGTGACCAATAATGTGAAATAAGTCAGTAACTATCTCAGATTTAATTGTATACACCTGGTAATTTGCACTGATACCAGGTGATAATTTGTTCTTACTTACTGTTTCAGGCCACACCTGGTAGTTTAGACTAATGCTGGATGATAATTTGTTTCTCTCTTGCTCTTTCAGGCCACAAGTCCCATGCGACCTCATCCAGAAAGAATGCCAGGTAAATATAAAGTTTACTTCATCTTCATCAATAGTGAGGCAGTAATCTTAGGAAACTGAGAGTTGACACTGTGAACTGCGTTGTACTAAAGTAACATTGGAATATATCTTATTTTATTGTTGAAGTTGCTGCAGTATTTGTACTAAATGTGAGTGACTGATTTTTAATTGTGCTCACCTTGTGTCATTATAGAGATGAAGAATACTTCCCATACCTTAGAACCTATTGTTAATACAAAACAACTTGGTGCTCAGGCAAAGAAGGCCAAATGGCATCTAGGTAAGTTTTAATCTTGGTTGTTTTTTTTTTTCAAGGTTAAATACAGATAAGTTAGTTTTACTTACACTTTACATTTGTAAGCTGTACTGACTACGCATTGATAAATGAAGTGTAAAGTTGATGTTTTATTCTTGGTCAGTTTTGTAATTTGTTGACATGAACATCATTTGTTCTTGCAGGAATTCGATCACAAAGTAAACCACTAGACATTATGCATGAAGTTTACAGAGCCATGAAAACTTTAGACTATGTAAGACTCAGAAATCAGAAATTTTCCTTTGAATTGGTAAAATCTTTACATCTGTTTGCGCAGCATTAATGTTATTATAAGTGTGGGATTGATGAGAAAAGGGTACTCAATCCTTTGTTGTGCTTTTGTGTTCATTGTATCTTACAAAGTTCTTCTTTTTTTAGGAATGGAAGATTGTGAACCCATACCATGTACGAGTCAGAAGAAAGAACCCAGTGACTGGTAGACATGTGAGTACAATGTGCACTCTGTCACTTTATTGTCTGTCCCTGAATCTGACACTGTAAATGATGAAAAGATGGAAAATCTATACCATTATCAACTGTACATCTAAGTGGGGACTGAATGAACAGAAAAAATGTCAGTCATTAACAAGACAAAGCTATCATAGAGTTCCTAGTTTTTCAATTGTAATGTCAAAAGCTAGGAGTAAAATTGTTATAAAATTCACAAGCGCCTGTAACAGACATGACTCCCTTTATTTCAGTCTAAGATGAGTCTACTGCTGTACCAGGTGGATCAGAAGAGTTACCTGCTGGACTTTAAGAGTCTGTCTAACTCACTCTCTCTCTCTGTTTCAGTCTAAGATGAGTCTACAGCTGTATCAGGTGGACCAGAAGAGTTACCTACTGGACTTTAAGAGTCTATCTAACTCACTCTCTCTATTTCAGTCTAAGATGAGTCTACAGCTGTGCCAGGTGGACCAGAAGAGTTACCTACTGGACTTTAAGAGTCTGTCTAACTCTCTGTCTCTCTATTTCAGTCTAAGATGAGTCTACAGCTGTATCAGGTGGACCAGAAGAGTTATCTACTGGACTTTAAGAGTCTGTCTAATGTGGAGATCCATGAGTCCATGTCCTCCTCCTCCTCCGTTGAGTCCACTCGTATGCCAATGTCACCCCCCTCCTCCTGCTCAGATCTTGGTAGGTTGTTTCCCTGTGTATTAGCAATTAGAAATTGAATTCACCCAGTCATTTTAGAATTGTTCACTTTTATTAAATTTCTGTAAGTCATTATTGTCCCAAATTTTTGCATCCAGAATAAGAAATACTGTAAACCAATTATTATACGCGTCATTTTTTATTCGCGACTGACCGCTAGAGAACTAATCCGCGACGATTTATTTCCGCGAACAAGGGATCATATTTTTTTTTATTTCCACAAGTATTTTTTTGTATCAAATTAAAATTTTATATCCGCCCATAAACTACGTAAAATGCTACCGTGATTACTGCTTACGCATTATCATTCAAGACATTCTTGCATTGCGTCCATTAAAAATCTTATATCCGCACCTGAAGTAGGTAAAATGTTACTATGAGTATACTTAATTCTTACGCATTATTCACGACGCTCGAATGAAAATCGGGGTAAAAAATCGAAGAGATTAAAGTTGATTTCAAACTCTCAAGTGTAAAAGTTCGTCATGCTAATTGGATAATTGACGCTTAACAAGATCTACATAGCCATAGGGCAATCATTATAAATGGTTGGGACGGCGCAGGACTGGGCTATAATTAGTCGTAATTAACCAGGCTATCTCTAACTCGTCTGTGACAATAATGAACAATGATAACACAAGCTGAAATATTTATTGACATTTTAATCATTTTTAGACAAATAGTTTTAGATTTGCTATTCGTTTATATATTTTTTCTGAATGTTTGCAATTAAATTTCAACTGCTTTTAGAACACAAAAGTTCTTCGACCCGTGATTACTTATCGAACCGTCGGGATCGGTATTCAAAAAAGGGCAAATAACTCTAATCGTAACATGGGAAAATGAACAACTGGTTCGCAACGATAAATATCCGCGAGCAGAGGTTACTCGCGGAACTCGCGGATATTTATCGCACGCGTATAATACTTGGTTTACAGTAGCTTTGGAAAATATGCTGCCTGGTTTCATTAACTCTTTACCCCTTAAAATTTGAATTTTTATGTTGATAAATGCCTTTCAAATGATAACACGGAATTTATACAAATGCCTCAAAGATACTGAATATGGTCAGGTCAGTGTCCAGTATAGAAAAGGCATAAGTATCAATAACAACAGAAGACAGAATATGATAAAACAATCAATAAAACCATGAAAATCACAGATGTTTATAGGGTAATGAAACATTATACATCTGATTAATTAAGAAGGCTGAATTGTCTGTATACTGAGTGTATGATTATGTAATTTCAGATCCGGCCACTGACACTGTCTTGTTAATGCCTGGTAAGTGATTATTTTACTTTCACTTCATTCACTTAAAATCACACAGTTAATACCCAGACAATTCTCTCTTACAGCATAGTAAGTAAGTAAGTTATGAGCTAAACTTATATTTGAATTAATCTTATTATGTCTGGTAGATACATGTAGGTTCTGGTCCCCTAAATAATTCAGATGTATTCTGACTGTATTGAATTAACTCCATACTTGGGAATTATTCCATATTTTGGTCACAAAAATATGCAATATTTAAATATATCATCTGATATAATACAATGTACTAAAACATATATTATTGTTCTAAAGAAGGTCCTATGATAGCCTGTTGAAAGAACATAACTATTGCTCTAAACTTGTGTCTTCAGTTCTTTTCAATTGGAGTTTTGAAAATCCTGCTGATAAGCACATTTGATTTGCTTTTGATGTTTTTTAAGCTTCAATATTTGTTTTGTAATTGTCATAATGTGAGAACGTATGTCTTTATGTCAGAATCTGCAACAGGAATATTCATTCACAAATGTCTGTTGATGTTGATAAGAATTTGAGCCTGTTTTCTACATGTCCGGCTGGCAGTGTGATTGCTTTTTGTTTTAAGCCTCGAGTTTCAGGCTCGGTAAATGTGTTTGACTTCACGTTCTTCATTCTCTAGATCCAGCAGCCTCTGAAGCTCAAGTTATCAATAACCATGGTAACCGCTGTGATTTGTTTCGTGTAGATTGTCTGCCCACCATAGTGTTTCTGTTTTGTTGACCAGACTAAATGTTGTAGTGTTGAATTAATACTCAGATTTCAGCATACCGCATGATATTGCCTCAGAATTTGTATATTACATATTAAAGGATAACTTCTAGCATGTTTTTGTAATTTTATATAAAATGGTTTAGATTTAAAATTTAAAAGATTTTGCTCATAGGAAGTACAAGTATGCACATTATGTATGTATTTTTTATGTGCTGAAACAACTAGAATAGTGGTTAAGTTTAATTGGGTAGGGATGAAAAATCTGAATTTTTTAAGTGCATTTTTAGATACCTATTAAATAAATTATTTAATACAAAAAAAGGATTAATTAAATAGACTTTTGTTGTAGAAATTCAGTTGCTTTTTGTTTCAGATGGAATGGACTATTTTATAATTATAAATATGCTACTAGTATTTCTGTCATTATTACGACCTAGATAGGAAGTTTTGAGTGAGTACTGATCAGTGTGTATTAGTGCCTTATACTGGTAATACATTTCAGTTTTTCTTGACATCTTTCAAACTGAATTTCAGAAGTAGAATGGTCTTCTCTTCTTATTGTTTTTTTTCCTTACCTTCATGCAGACCTGCCTACCCTTCCGCTTTTGGTGTAATTCTTCCGCTTTTTACCACAAAATTATGCTATTACGCCACTTATAATAATTTTAAGCTTCTGATATTTTGGTTTCAAATCCATTATGAAAACCTAAATTTAGAGTCAAAGTACGACCTGCTGAAATGAAATGAGGTTTAATAGAGTAATTAATAGAGGACCAGTACGAAAATGTACGTAATATACCTAGTAGTTACACGTAAACTGGTATGGTGAAGATTCGGAAGAACACGAGAAGGCACTATACTTACGTTAACTATTAAATGATATTGCAATAAGTACAGCCATTTCTATGCTCAATTTAGTTTATTTTAACACTGCTTAGAACAAGATAGAGAAATGTGAGTGTTAAAAAGATAAAATACAGTGCTATCAGGTACGATTTGTGTAAACATTCAAACGCAAGCCTTCAATTAAGTGATTTGATACAAATTGACCAAATGCTTCATTAAGGGTGTACGGTTGATTTGAGTTTAATTTAGGATACTGGTATTTTGTAACATTTTTTTGCCAATTAATGATTCGAAAAAGAAAGTTTATGCCAGCTTTGTTTAGTAATGTACAATTTCAGTTGTTTTGAAAGAAAATAAAGTACCGTATAGAGGATTATTTTAGCAGGGTGCTTACTTTGGCTTTGATTGTAGCCCACTAAAATTTTAATCGCTAAAACAGTCAGTACTCTTCTTAGTGTTCATATGCAAAGAGCTGAAACACCGTGTGCGCTAAAATAAATTATGCCAAAATTAGTGGCATCCCTTTGAGCAGGCAAAACTCCAAATTTTACACCCGCCAAAAAAAACCACTATACTGTATTATAGTAAAACAAAATAGGAAAACATGATTGATTACGCTTTAACCTCTGAAATTCCACCAAACATTTACTGAAATTATACCTTTGAAATGAAAAAGGGTAGGCAGGTCTGCTTTATGTTTACAATATTTTTTCTGAGAATATACTCTTCTTAAGATATGAAATGTACTGTACATGTAAGTACTATTGTTAGTATTAACAATATACAGTACGTTTTATCCTCTGTATTGGTATTGTTTGTCCATCTGTTTGTCTATCTATAAATACAACATCTATTTTTTTAATGCAAAAGGCATAGATGATTAATAAAAACAAACTATTGTAAGCTACAAAAGGTTACATTTTGTGCATCAATTTTCATTAAAGCTACAGTCTTGCCAGAGACTTCTGGTATATACTCTTTTTAATTTATTATCCCCAACTTTTGCTAAAGACTGGGGATGTCATGTATTTATCCTGAATTAACTCCTTTATTTCATTAACTTTATAACTGTTCCGAGACTGGCTTGTTGATGTGTTACAATCTCTCTTTTTTGTTTTGTTTAGAATCTTCGACCAGTGAGAGTTTAGCTAGTATCCTAGGTATTGAGTGAACACATTTTATTTTTGAGTCTCTCACTATTATATTAATATTTCCATTTTCTATTGCTGTGGAGCATTGTTCATCACTAACTCTTCGTATCATTTGCCCCGAGAGAATATCTAACTGTTATTTATAAAGAAAAAAAGGTTAGGAAAATAGGAAAACGCTTGCAGTATGGAACTGGGTAAATTGCACGTCAGTTTTTAGATGGCTTTTGATCTATAAAACAATTTGAACATGATTATCATCACATCACTGTAATAGACTGTAAACTTACTCGGTAACAGTGCAGATTCTTCTCTTTTTTTTAATCAATTTTTGGGGTCTGATTTTTTTTAAAAACTTATTTGTTGCAGCACGTAGACAAATGTTTCATTGCTTGACCAGAATAAATATGTATATAACCAAAGATTCTAATTAAACATCACTTCCTGGAACATTTTGCTTTAATATTTAATTATTTATAGTAAACCTTGCAGATAAGAAGCTTTATCATGCATAATGTACTTATAGAAACATTATAAAACTCAATAGTTATCAATATCTGAAGCTATGGCCGCCTAGCGGGCTTGATTAATCTCTGTTAATTTCTCCTATTCTGCTTCAATCCAAACCTAGCAGGGACAGTGCTTTGAGCCAGCATGATATGGTTTGTGTGTGACTGGTTTTGACTGTGTTACTAATTAGAACTTGAATGATTTCAGATGAGAAGATGGACATAGATGAAGATCAGCCCAGACAGCACCAGACTCTGGAGTTCTTTGAGATGTGTGCGAGTCTGATCACAACGCTGGCCAGATAGAGGGGATGGCAGGCGGGGACAGAAACTGGCCAGATAGAGGGGCCAGCATGGACAGAAACTGTATACCACGGACGGAAACTGTACACCAAAGGATAGACAATTAGTCCATACTTATATAGAGAGACCATCAGTCAAGTGGTGTAGTCTGATATTAACTCATTCCTTCTTCTCTGTATTTCTGTCAGTGTTGCAAGTGTAACAGCAATGTTAATGTTAATAGTGTGCAATATGTGATAGATTTCAAATACCAAACTTTTGTTACACATTATGTCTTAAATTGCCAGTGAATGTTGATATCACTAGTGAAGAATTTTCAGTGTTTACAGATGTGTAGATGAGTTTTTAATTGTCTGGAAATTGTCTTGGAACATTATGTAGAAAGGAGTGTCTGTGATAAAGTCCTCTGTGTTGTTTGTCTTAAGTTTATTTTTGTCTTCTTTATTCAACAGATGTATGCATTTAAAATGTGGAGCATTTGTTGCTGTCATTTACATATATATGTACTCGTTTTCTGCTTAGAAATGAATTTCAAGTAACACAAATTATTGTAGGATGTCAGTAGTACATGTATTATGCTTTCTGTCAGAACACAATGTTGACAAATGCTTTGGATTTCCATGGAAATTACTTGACAATTTAATGTTTTAACATATATTTGACTATATTCAATATCTTTTGATCTGTGAGAGTAATAAGAACTGTTTATGTTGAAGCTTTATTTTGTTATATTGTGCTCAGATTTTTTTTAATGTGAAGCAACGGAAAATGATGAAATCTTGTTAATATGTTAAATTAAAACTGAAACAACTAACATTTGTTAAAGTGACTTTGAACTGGGTCCCATGATTTCTGCTGTATTCCTGTAATGAGAAGTAGACTCAAATAGAAGCGTGCATTATAATATTATATCTGTTTGAACCCATATCTGTGGATCATAAAATATTAAACACATGTACTTGAAGGAAGAATACCCCCCCCCCTTGCTCATCAGACAAATAACAATCGTCTTTCAAAAAATTGAGATCGAAAATGGAAATGAAACCAATTTTAGAGTAGCATTCTAACAGATTGATTTTTGTCAATTTTTTGCAGATTTATCTCCCTTTCTGGGGGGGGGGGGGGGGGGGTTGTTCTTAATCAGATTTTTTTGTCCTGAAAGCAGGAAGATTTGTATGAGTTATGCTTTTCCTGGCAGCTGAATTCCACCTCGGATTTCTGAGTTTGGGTCTGCCCTCAGGCAGCTAGGTTTTGTAAATATTTACAGCTTTGATGAAATGTATTGTAGAATTGAGAGAGGACATTAGTTGAAGACAGTTTAATAAGCACTGATTCTCTTTGGTGCTTCTATACAGTTTAAGTGGAAATTTTAGCGAGGCACAAATTTAGTAATTTGTCCTTAAAAATTGGTATTTTAATTTTAGAGATGAGTAATCTAGCAATTCCAAAATGCTCACTTAAGAAACTACATATCTAAAACATAAGTAATTTATAGCAATATTCAATTTTAGCAATTTCAGCAACCTCACTAATAATGCCAAAATTAAGTCCTTGCTAAAAATTCTGCTTATTCAGTATTAATTCCCTTTCAGAAAACTGAATTAAATATAACCATTTAATAATATTAAATGATTTTAGAGAGAAAGATTTCAAATATACAGTTGCTGCAAATGACTGTTGGATAAATAGCAAATCTTATAATATTTAGTGGTTCAAACTTTGTCATTTTAATATCAAATGCTTTATATCCTAGTCTGGAACTTTTTTATGCTTCCAATATTTATGTTCGGATTATTAGTTTATTACCAGTGAATGGAAAATTATCTCTGACTGTTCTGTAAGAAGATTGTTTTTCGTTTATTTGATTATGCTTGCTGTTTAAATCGTTCTATCTTGAATGACTTAGTTGTCATACAATATTGTTATCACTTGAAATGTCACAGAGGCCAAACCTGATGATGTCTGGAGCTTCCTACTGTCCGCACTGTCATGGAAACCAGACGTCAGCGAGTTTGGTTCCTGTTTATAATAGGGCTGAGGTTTTTGTTGTGAATGTTTATATTATAATGGTTCATATTACATAAAATAAAGGCATTCTCTTAAACTACTAACTGATCAACTGTGTTTTTGTTAACTAGTCAGAGTAGATTCAAAAAAGAGGAGCTATATATCAGGTAATATGAACATCTAAGATGAACTGCATGATGTTAGACTACTAAGATCTATATCAAATGGTTTTGAACCTTTTACAATAATTTTGATTAAAATGACCTTGCATCAGACATGTGGCCTTCATGGTACATCTAAGCTGGTAGAATGTTCTTCATATCTTCAAAAAAGGGGGATGGCTTTGAATCTTTAGATTTCATGGTATGCATACATCTTAGTTGATTAATAATTGCATGGGTTACTTGAAATATGATGGTTCAATATGTGTACAAAAAAAATGTTTGTGGGGATGTAAATTCATGGGTGACCCACAAAATCCATGAACATTGGTCCCCCACAAACAATGATGATTCTACAATATACATGTATGTGTGTAACGGGAGAGGAGAAAATGCAGTGGACCAGACCGAGATTTGAACCTGGGCCCCCTGAATCTCCTGTCAGGTGCTCTACCAACTGAACTATTTGGCCACTGGCGATCGAAACTCTGCTGACCACTACATTCCTGCCTCCTTAAAGGTCTTAGGTCTGTATCATAGAAAGGAGAGGTTTGCAGTCAGCTGTCTGTATTTATACATTTTCAGAAAATATCAGATATAAAAAAATCGGAGAGGGCTACATTATTGCAGCTACCCACTCTTCATGACAAGCAACATGAGTTACACCGAAATGGAGATTTTTAAAGTTATAAGAGAGAGAGAGAGTTCCCGCTTCTGTAAAACACGTATTGCAACGAATTTGTACTTAATTATGAATTTATCATGTTTATGGGAGTTATCATAACACATGTATCAGTGGAACACGTGCTTACTCGGTCTTTATGCAGACTGTCAATTTGATTGGCTATTATATTTATGGAATACCTGTTCTACAGGTATTTGAATGAACCATTTGACCGATTTTTCCTTTCATCGCTCTAAAGATAGCTCAAAATGTTCCAGTCAAACGGAAAATTTTACCACTTCAATGCGCTTCATTGTACATCCAAATTGGGCTATTTTCATCAAACTGGAGACATTTTTGCAGTCAAAACTATGAAACGTACCTTGCAGACCTCAGTATATGCAAGCTGGGAATCAATTTTTTTTTAATAGACAGCCTATATGCATTTGAAGTTTGATCTCAGTATTGGGCGTATCCTTTTATTTCCTCGGTGATGTGCTATTTTTTCAAAAAGTGTAATAATAAATTTAATCAATTTGCTCATATTATTCCGGATTATTGATGTCTAACCGTGTAGATTTTGTGACTAGAATCTCCAAATAGCAAACAAACATGGCCGCGTACAGTAAGTTGACGGCTAGAAATTCAGCCGTCGCTACAGCTGGTTTAGCGGCCGCTTACTTTGCATACAGAAACTATCTGGCCAAGAAAAGGAAAAGGTAAATGTCTTTGTTTTGTCAGATTATAGTTTGACCGAAAATGTCACACAACTCAGGGTAAAGGAATGCACGCATTCAGAGTCTAAAGGTTAACTTTTGAAGTTCAAATTCCGGGACAGGGTTTTTACAAGCTCATTTCACAGAGAAGTTAAATAATAATGACTCAGGATGTATTTTGTACTTTTATTTGACAATTAAGCTTATATGGTAAAGGATGCACGGTGACCTGGTTAAATTCAGTTCCACGCTTTCTTTCATAGCATATTAATTTCCGTTGAAACAATCAACTTGAAGTCAGAGACAGCTACAATTTTGGGAAGTTTCTAGTATGCCGGTCCCCAGAATCACGCGATTGCGCATGAGCAGTTATTTCCCTTGCCGTTGCTATGCAGAGCGTAAACAAACCGCAATTTCCCACTCGCTTAAACAAAACGCATCCGATCGAGTGATTAGGGTTAGGTTATATTTTAAAATTGGGGTTGTTTTATAAATCCACTCTGTAATCTTTCTGACTTTGGGATAATTTATGTAATTTACTAATTTACTACCGTACTATGAGTGCCTTTTGTGACCAAAAACTTGCATGAATCAGCCTGTCGAATCGTGCCGATATCTTACACTTTGGTTTAGTTCATGAAATTTTTGCTCTACAAAGAACAGGAAAGTTTTATAAATGAAAGTTCAGGTAATTGGTAAATCAACGCTAATGTCGAAACATGACGATTTTCAGCGCTGAGTTTAGGCAACTCATTATAAAAGCGACTTACCGTTAACTGCAGCTCGATATCCTGACCTCCTTATCACCATGAGTAATGTCCAAATATTCAGAATATTTTTCCTTTCAAATTAATGATGATGCACAATTCAATCCCTTTATGACTAGTAATTAGCTAACATTTGTTAAATCCCTGCATTTCTCACAAAAATCTCGCAATTTTAATAGCATTGCATTTTTGAGTCCTATCAGGCATTTCTTCATTACGTCAAAACACAAGTGACGCATCTCATGAATATTTATGAGATTACGTCAAAAATTGATCATGTGACCACATTCCTAAACAACGCAAGATGGAGTTTTACTTCCTAAACAAGTACGTTATTTTACGAAATCTTTTAATTCTCATTTAAAAAACTGTGTTTAAAAACCAGTTTTTTAAACCCAATTTTTCACAAGGAACACGATTTTGGGGTCAAATTTGCAATTTGTGGCTTCTTTTTCGATTTTGTCGATCGCTCACGCGATCGTCTATATATTGTACACCGCCTTCGGCGGCACCTATTTTAGCGCCATATTTATGAGGACCGGTATACTAGAAGTGTTCCACAATTTTTAATGTAACCCTTTTTTTATTTGAAACCTGTCCTCAAACCAAACTGGGGATACAATGACTTAACAGTCTGTTAAAGGAGAGGGTTTGTCCTGGGACATCATGGACATATAGATCGATTTAATCTCAGCAAGATTGATGGAGACAAAATATTCTCTTGAAGAGACTTCTGTTCAAAATTTTTAGTCTTGACATATCTTGCTAAAATTAAGTAAGATTATTCTAACTAAAATAGCATATAAAAGAGACTGAAAGTTAATACAATAATCTAAACAGATTTAACACTTGTGTAATGATGTAGCAATAGTCCAATCCACAGTTTGCAAAAGTTGTGTCCCTTTGCTGGTCAACCTAAGGTCAATGGGGGAAAGAAACGACATTTCTCTTCTTTATGCTACCAAACATTTGGACATGCTTTGATAGATCCATTGTGTTTTAATTTTTTCTTTCAATGTGTGGGTATAGCCCCATCTTCGGGCAGTCAGTACACAAACGGCAGAAATTTTTTTTAGTCAAATTACGAAGTTACAAACCTGAAAACTACAAAGGCTACTGTGAGGATTCTATGGGTTTATCCCCCAAGATGGCAGCCAAGGGACATAACTTTTGAAAAGTGTGGAATCAACTAGCCTATACCAGAAAGGTCAGCATCCCACAATGTCAAGGGTCCCGAGTCCACTCATGGCCATTGGACACTTGACAAACTTTTTAATACTCTACAGGCTTCCTTTTTCAATGAAAGGCACTGATCAGATTGAGCTTCCATAATTTGATATAAAACAGATACATTAATAACAAGATGTGTTTGTGAAACAATATGCAGCAGTAACAAATATCTAGAAAGCTATTTTTTAGCATATTGGTCACAGTCAAGATCACAGGTCTTTGACCTTGGTGTCACTTGAAAGAACTTAAGTAGGGAAGTATGGATACCAAATATGAAGTCTCTATCTCTCATGGCTCAAAAGTTATGGCAAAGGTTAAAGTTAACAACAGACAGACAGACAGCCAGGACAAAAACAATATGCGCCTCCAATCTATCGATCCGGGTGCATAAAAGGTAAGCAGTTTATACCTCAATGAACTTATTACAGTTGTTTGTCATGGAAAGGTTTAATGTGATTGGTTCAGAGATGAGGAAAAACAATCCCCCCCCCCCCCCCCCCCCCCCCCCAAAAAAAAATCACTGCAGTCAGCTCATTGATTGAAGTTGTATATTGTCAGGATCCAATGTCCTGAAGTGGATTCCAGACTCCTGACATCTGTAAACTCACCGAGACTGCAGAATTTACTGATTTTTTTCCCAGAAAAGGTCACAGGAAGCTATCATATCTCATTTGTGTATCTATTAAAATGTAAATGTGTATTTTCTTGTAGAACTCCAAAAGAAGAAATCAAAGTAGTGATACATGAGGTATGGTGTACATACAATCAACAGCTGTTATACTACCCCAGTAGTGTAGACTGTAGTATACAGGACTGTTATACATGTATTTGTAATTCTCGTCTATTAATAAAACAATTTAAAGTCAAAGCATCAACTATTAAATTGGTTACAAATCTATTCTAACTTATTTAGACTAACTTAAAGGGTTTTTTTTCTACATACAAAATTCATTTTAGTTTTATCCTTTTTAGTCTTCTTTTGATAGATCTGTATAAATCAGTGGTAGAATTAACAGCTTACAGTTGCATCCTCGGCCTTATTGTGATATTACCGTATAATCCTTATTAACCGCCCCGGGCGCTTAGAAAATTGCAAAAAGGGGGCAGTTATTTTGGTGTTCTCTTTATGATATTTAATGTCATATTTTAACCATGTTAACTTCAAAAAATCGTTTGAAAATAAATACAAGAAACAACTAAGATAATGTCTAACTTTACTTAAAGTGAAGATAATCCACCCAAATTATGCTAAATTGTTCATTTCCCACTGAGAAATTGGATGATAGACAAATTTCATTTTCATTTTCTTCATTTTTAGCTCTACTGGTCAGAGACCAGAAGAGCTTATGTGATAGTAATGCGTCCGGCGTCCGTCCGTCTGTCTGTCTGTCTGTCTGTAAACAATTTTTCAAAACGCTACTCCTCCTACATTTTTAGTCTGATTTCAATATTACTTGGCACACAAGTAGACTACATTAAGATACATAGAATAGTGCATCGGTTTTTGATTTCGATGAACGGTGTTGCCATGGTTACTAAAAATAGAATTTTCTGTGAATTTCCTTAAAAACACTACTCCTTCTACAGTTTTGGTCTGTTTTCAATATAACTTGGCACACAAGTAGACTACACTACGATACATAGAATAGTGCATCAGTTTTTGATTTCGATGAACGGTGTTGCCATGGTTACTAAAAATAGAATTTTCTGTGAAATTCCTTAAAAACGCTACTCCTTCTACAGTTTTGGTCTGATTTCAATATAACTTGGCACACAAGTAGACTACACTAAGATACATAGAATAGTGCATCAGTTTTTGATTTCGATGAATGGTGTTGCCATGGTTACTAAAAATAGAATTTTCTGTGAAATTCCTTAAAAACGCTACTCCTTCTACAGTTTTGGTCTGATTTCAATATAACTTGGCACACAAGTAGACTACACAAAGAAACATAGAATAGTGCATCGGTTTCTAATTTTGATGAACGGTGTTGGCATGGTTACTAAAAATAGAATTTTCTGTGAAATTCTTTAAAAACACTACTCCTTCTACAGTTTTGGTCTGATTTCAATATAACTTGGCACACAAGTAGACTACACTAAGATACATAGAATAGTGCATCGGTTTTTGATTTCGATGAACTTTGTTGCCATGGTTACTAAAAATAGAATTTTCTGTGAAATTCCTTTAAAACGCTACTCCTTCTACAGTTTTGGTCTGATTTCAATATAACTTGGCACACAAGTAGACTACACTAAGATACATAGAATAGTGCATCGGTTTTTGATTTTGTTGAACGATGTTGCCATGGTTACTAAAAATAGAATTTTCTGTGAAATTCCTTAAAAACACTACTCCTTCTACAGTTTTGGTCTGAATTCAATATAACTTGGCACACAAGTAGACTACACAAAGATACATAGAATAGTGCATCAGTTTTTAATTTTGATGAACGGTTTTGCCATGGTTACTAAAAATAGAATTTTCTGTGAAATTCTTTAAAAACGCTACTCCTTCTACAGTTCTGGTCTGATTTCAATATAACTTGGCACACAAGTAGACTACACTAAGATACATAGAATAGTGCATCTGTTTCTGATTTCGATTAACGGTATTACCATGGTTACTAAAAATAGAATTTTCTGTGAAATTCCTTAAAAACGCTACTCCTTCTACAGTTCTAGTTTGATTTCAAAATAGGTTGGCACACAAGTAGACTACACAAAGATACATAAAATAGTGCAATGGTTTTTGATAAGTACAAACCAGTAGAGCTACAGTCTCGACAGAGACTTCTGGTTTTGGATACAATTCTATTTGATTTTAATCACTTACAGGGGCCCTTATTTCCTGACAATTGAAAAAGACCTAAGGGGGCGCTTATAGGGGTAGGGGCGGTTAATAGGGATTATACGGTATTGTGAAATTATTGGGATTTCATTCACTTCCTTAACTAGGTTTGTTTACATCTTGTTCAATGATTTGTTCTCATTCCAGTCTGGGTCTGCTAGAAAAGAACGAGCCGCAGTTGATGCTGTCTTCTTCAAGTAAGTGCCGTAATGTTAAGATCTAGTCAGTTTACAGCTTACCTGTTTGATAAGCCTTATAACATTAATTCTTTGTTGTTGTAGGAGACTGCTGAACATCCTGAAAATTCTCATTCCTGGTTGGTTTGTCTCGGAGGTATGTGTCGAAAACATTTTATACTTGATTATTATAAAATGATTGTCCTGGACAGGCATTTTGAGAATGAGTCATTGGATCAAATGGTGTATAAATACCGTGTAAGTGGAAGTTCTAGTGAGACGCAAATTTAGCAATTTGTCCTAAAAAATTTATATTTTATTTTTAGCGAGGTGTAATTTAAGCTATTTCAAAATGCACACTAAAGAAGCTATTACAAATAAAATGGAAATTGATTTTTAGCGACATTCAAATTTAACAATCTCGGCACCCTTGCTAAAATTTCCAAATCCTTGCTAAAAATTCTGCTTATACAGTGTATTGGTGTTATTTGTAGACATGGTATTTGTTACTGGTAGCTGTGTCTCTGATCAGCAGGACCTATGCAGATGTCTGGATGATACAAAACGGCACAGCCATAGAAAGGTACAGGATTAATGTATCAGACAAGAAATGGAGAAAAAAAATGCAAAATATGAAAATTTAATAATTTTTAGCATGACTGTATTTGAAAAATATATTGCCCCACCTTTGACTGAATCAAAGTTTAAAGTACATATTGTGAATTTGATATCTGTTAATAAATTCAGTGTCTTTTACATCAGAATTTGAAATCTTTCAGTGAAGAAATTTAGTATCCTTCATCAGAGTGTGATACCAGTTAACTGATTTGGTGTCTTTTACATCAGACCTTGATATCAGAATAAATAGATTTAGTGTCCATTACATTAGAATTTTGAAAATGCAAGTAATAGCTTTAAATCTTCAGGAATGAATTCAGTTTTAAGCAACAATCTTTTCCTTCTTGTGCTTTTATTATGGCTTAGATCTTCTCCTGAAGATTGTTAATGGAAATATAGTGATCACGTTAAGGATACTAGTATTTATAATTAGATTGTTAGTTAGATTGATAGATTCTTGGATGTTGTAACTTCATAAATATTGATATTTATACATAAACATTAGGGATGTCAACGAGTACCCGGTTAACCGGGTACTCGATCGAACGTCCGAGTATCGAATACTAAAATCGGTACTCGGTTACTCGGATGTATATTTTTGAATAGTTCTAAACTTATTTATTAATGCATTAAACAATCTGTTTTAAAACGTAAAATGCTCATTGCATTTGTACATACAGTAATTAGGGTTTCCTACGACTCCAAATGACCGTTATCGCCTGTGGCAGTGTTTATACAGTAATTATCATGACCAAGCACGTTGGGTACCTGGCTTTTCTCACCTTCGGCTGTCTTCTTCCCTTATTTTTTGTTTGGCTTTAATCATTTGTTTTCACTGAACATCGTTTAAGATCCACTATGTTTAAATAAATTAGATAATTTTGTCATTTCTCCGAGAAGCCGTAAATTCTCGGGAAAAGAGCGGATGATATTACACGTGCGATATTACATGCCAATTCAACTGGTTGAAGGCAAAGGCTTAAAAAAACTGATGTCCATCGTTGCACCAAACTACAAAATACCATCCCGTAATATTATAAAGTCTAGGATCGAAAAAGTGTACGAAAATCGTAAATCTGCTCTGTTAGGAGAACTTGATCAAGTTCAAGTTGATACTGTACGTATCTCTGACGACTGATACCTGTTCGTCAAACGCGACAAAGAGTTACATTACAATTACGTAGCAGATTATTTTTTAAAAAAAACCCACTGTGAACAACTTGTAATTTTAATTCTTGTGTTTATTTGATAAATAAATTGAATATTAAGTATGTTATATTAAATTTCGTCGGGCACGAAGTGCTCATCATTATTATGACAGAAATACATTCACGGATAGGTCTCCTATCAGTGCATCTGGTTTTATTTCTACAAGAGTTTACAATGTTTTATTCAGTATTCAATTTGCTTGTTCATATTTATTTACACTTTTACCGAGTACCCGGGTACTCGATCGGAAAAACGTCCGAGTAACCGAGTATCAAAAATCGACCGATTTGACATCCCTAATAAACACTGATCATGCTGTTGATTTGTTTACAGTGCAATCATTGGTCGCGACATGTCATTATTTAAAGTCCATTTGTTCAAGTTCATCTATGCCATGCCAGCCGTAAGTACCCTATCCACAACAGAAGTCGGAATTAAAGTCTATTTTGTCAGGAAATTGAGTATGAGTAACCATGAAACCTCTACATAAGACTTCAACTACCCTTACATAAATAAATAAATTGATAAAGGCTCAGCCATTCTAATCAAGTTTGTAACTTTCAACATTTTAAACTTCTTAGCTCACCTGAGCCAAAAGCTCATGTGAAATCAGTTGATGAACAGCAGAGTCAAATTGACTCAGGTGAACATTGTAACCCATGGGCCTCTAGTTTCTAAGGCCCACTGGTCCAGTTTTAATCAAACTTGTTGCAAAATATATTTAATGAGGGGGCCCAAATGGAGGCTCACACTTTCTAGGGAGAGATAATAAAGAAAATATGGCACAGTCATTTCAGATTCCCTTTTTTCTTAAGACCCATTGGACCAGAAAAGTTAAAAAAGTAAAGTGAAAGTTTTTGTAGGAAGTGTAGTGTAATGTTTGCTCAAATCATGGCCCCTGGGACTTGACTGTGGGTGCAAAAGCTTACCAAAGTCTTAAGGAAGTAGAGGGAAAATATAATTTATATACATAAATTCATTTTGTTGGTGGTTGTACAGTAAAACTCGTTAAGGCTATCTAAATTTAATTCTCTGGTTCTCAGGCCAATTTTCTTCAAAACAGATGCGGGAGGGCGGCATTTTATTTATCATTTTATTGGCAATAAAGTAGATGAGGGAGGTTTTTTTTTATTTTAATTTTCAAATTTTCTTTAACATAAAGATAATTTTTTTAATCACAGATATACTTTCCATGTCTGATTAGAAGTTCTGCTTCATCCATTGTTTATCAGCTTGTGAACATTGTAGACATTGTCCTCGAATGTACATGTATTTTCAAACGAAGTAGCCAAAATCTCTTTGAAAATGGCTACCGGAAGCGATATTTGAATGCTAAACTATGAAAAATTAAGGACGGAATTTTTTTTCTGGATTGGTCTCTGCATTACCAACTTTTTATTTTATCAAAAATACAATAAAATTAGCAATGCAGCCACCTCAAAACGGATGCGCACGGGCCTGAGAACCAGAATTTCAATTTCATGTAGCCTTAGTAGGAACACGAATATTGCAAAATTAACGGATATAGCCAGGTTATCTTGGATCCCAAGCTACATGTATATGAATTTAACAAATTCCTTATATGGATATAAATTACAGATAAAGTGAAGTAATTTCATATGTCCCAGTGACTTTGTTATAACCGAATTTTATTGTACTTGTTTTGTTGCCTACAATATATATACATGTATATTTTGTTTTCTACTTTCAGATCTCTATCATAAACAATTGTTTAAAGGTTTGTGCTTTTCAAATACTTCATCTAAAATGCACTGTAACTGAAGAGAACTATTAAAAAAGAAGTTTAGATAATTGCTTAAACATTAACTAATTGCCATGATGTCAACATGTACATGGATGACGGATTTCAAAACTACGTTATTTATATTACAGTATGGATTAAATGAACTAAAACTGAAGTTCCGTATACGACTCACGAAGCACCTGTATGACAGATATCTCAGGTAACGCTGGGTTTGGTTTGTTAGAATGCGAGTGTATCTGAATTATCTAGCTCTTCTGGGCTGAGTTTGGTGTTGTCTTCCTTACAGGGGCTTTACGTACTACAAAATGAGTAACCTGGATAATCGTATTGCCAATGCTGACCAGCTGTTAACTCAGGATGTAGACAAGTTTTGTGACTCAGTGGCTGAGCTTTACTCAAATCTCAGCAAGGTGAGTCGGTCTCTAATTTGTTTGGTTTACAGAATGTTTGAAATTTTCTAGCCACTTTGACTTACATGAAGGTTTCAGTAGTATCTGATTATGTTTTTCAGCCCCTTTTAGATGTAGTTCTGTACACAGCCAAATTAACAGGCAGTATAGGAGCTCAGGTATGCCTTTATACAGTGGACCTTCAGATATCCGGACGCCAGATATCCGGATGCTTCAGTATCCGGACGATTTTTCAACGGAACGAAATTTTTAAATGTTATTTTATCTTGTTTAACTGTTGATTCAGATATCCGGATGCTTCACATTTCCGGACAAATTGAGTGGGAACCAAAGCGTCCGGATAAATGAGGGTCCACTGTAATGTATTGCAATAAAATTTCTGCTGGGTTTTACCTTTTAGTTTGCTTTTATCCATTGTATTCATATTTTCTGCTAAGCTTAAGGAATTTGTACCTAACTGGAGTGAGAAATGAAAATGATTATTAAAAAAGACTTGATTTCTGAAGCCTTGTTTGTTTGATGTCATTGGATCTTCAGACTATACTGATTTATTCCAGGGCCCTGCTGTCATGCTTGGATATTTAGTAATATCTGGTCTAATTCTTACAAGGTAAGGAAGTCATTTTATATGTTATGTACATTTAATTGTATTTGTAAGATTTATTTTGCCAAGTTTTATGTTTTCAAGCCTAAGAACAAATTTAACACATCTTTAATTTCTTACAGAGTTAGAAGACCAATAGGAAAGTTGACGGTTCAGGAACAGAAACTTGAAGGAGAGTACAGATATGTTAACTCAAGGCTCATCACTAACAGGTATCAGGTCACTGATTGGTAGTTAATTGAATAAATAGTAATAGGTAGTTTTCCATTCAATAACAAGTACTTGGTTAACTGATCATTAACAAGTACTGGTAATCATGGTATCTCAAACACTGATATTATATCCCCGATATGTTGAAATAAGTCTTCAGTCAGAGATGTAGTAACTTTATACTGTGAATAACTTTTTATTTTGGTAAAAGATTACTTAAAAATATACACATGTACAGCAAAACCTGTTTAGTGCGAACACGGATATTGCGAATTCACGGAAATAGCAAAGTTATCTTGGATCCCCAGCTATATAAATTTAACGAATTCATTATATGGATATAACATATTACGGATACAACAAAGTAATTTTAAAGGTCCCAGTGACTTCGTTATAACCGAGTTTTACTGTAATAAGTTGGAATCTTTCACCAACAATATTAACCTTGAAAGAATGAAATACTGATTTTAATTTTAAGGTTATGTCAATTTTTTTCTTTCAAGTGAGGAAATTGCATTTTACCAGGGAAATCGTCGAGAACAAACCATTATACTAGCAACATTTGATAAACTAGTAAGTTGATTTTCCTTTTTTATGGTTTTTTTTTTTGTCTTTTGTTTCTTTTTGTTTTTTGGGAAAAAAATCACGTGACCTGTAACGGTGATGGTCATGCAGGCTTTAGATCGAAGGGTAGCTAGTGGAATTTTGGGTAGGTAAAATCGTTTTTTGTGGCCTAAAATCGTTGCACTGGTGTATATAGTCATATTTGCTACCGAATTTGTGCATTTGTTGGCCTTTTTGGTGAAAAAAATGACTTTTCATAATGAGTGACTCAAAGTCTAAAGGTGAGAACTCCTCACAGGTACGAAATCCTGGTTTAACGCCTCTACCCTGGCGGTCAGTGGAGCATTAAGCCACATGTCCATTATCTACACCAGCCTTCGGGCTATAACGGAAAAGATGGACTCTGTTAATGCTCTGCAAGAGTCGTTGAATAACATGCAGAAGGATTTATGGAATGAGGATGGACTAGATGACAGGATTAGATACTTCGCTCAACAGCATGAAGACAACCAGTCTGAAACTGAAACTTTAAAACAGGAAAATATTACCCTCTGTAAGGAACTTCAGCTGTTGAAGTCGATCGTTGTGAATTTAGACAGGAAAGTGACACAAGAAAGTGAGATTGTAGATCTGAGAGGAAGATCTATAAGAGATAACATTCTAATCCATAGTCTGGCAGAATAGGAAAACGAGGATATTAATGCAAAAGTTCACCAGCTCATTAGTGATCATTTAAAACTGGACATCGGTTTCGTTAGAATTCATCGTAATGGACCTAGAATACCAGGCAATAAACCCAGAACCATTACGGGAAAACTATGCAACTCTTAAGATAAGGACCAGATTCTTTCAGCCCAAAGAGCTCTGCGGGAAAAGGAGAAAAAAGAGAACAAGGAAAAAAGTGCCTTACCTTGTTACATTACACCTCAAACACCAGTGCAAATTAATGAAAGTAGAAGGAGGCTTAAGGAGATCAATACACAGTACAGGATGAACAAAATAGAGACCAAGATAATTGGGAATAAAGTTGTGTTTCCTAATGGAAATGTGTATCGGGAAAAGGTTACCATGCCTACAGCTGAAGATCTGCGTTTTGTGGACGAGGCAGAAGAGGAAAAGTTAAACGAGATAGAAGCGATGACAAGTGATCCTATCCATGAGGGTGGCAATGTCTTCAAAGCGGTGGCAACAAAAGCGAGTACGTATGCAGAGATCAGATAATTTTACAAAAAAGTTATGAGTGACCCGAACTCCGCCAAAGCGCACCATTACGTCCTAGCATATCAGATACAAGATGCACAAGGGAACATCCGCGATGGATACTGCGATGATTGAGAATATGGTGCAGGTAGGAGAGTGGTCCAGCTTTTAGGAGATCAAAGTGCCACGAATGTCGCATTCATTATTTCAAGGAAATCGGGAAATCATAACGGACCAAGGCGCTTCGATATCATATGTGATGCTGTGCTCAATGCTGCCAATAAACTCTGAACAGTTAAAGGACTGAATTATTTCACACCCTCTTTTTCTGTTATCTTTGGATAATGTCTCTTTAAACTTACTAAATACTATACATGTACATATTTTGTTTCTGTAGGTGTATGAGAAATGGCTTACATACATTTATATGCATATGTAAGTTAACTCTTGTATCTAAAAACAATATGTATATCTAAGTTTTAATACTGCCTGTAACCATGCAATATATGTAGGTTCCCTTTTTCTTGTCTTTTTTTTGAAATTTAATTGTAATTCTGTATATACATATATTACTATATGATAGGCCTATAGAAAATATAATATTCATCTTTTTATTTAAAAAAAGAAAATTAAAATATTTTAAATCTATTTCCCCCAATTCCTACAGTCTCCAAAAAGCTACGTCTTTTTTCTTTTTAAAAATTGTTAATAATTTTTTCTTTTCTTTTCTTTTTACGGTTAAGATGTTCATGCTTGTCGTATGTTTTTTTCCGGTACTGTATAGTTTATTCGGACATACTTCTTTTTTATGTTGTAGTAATAATGTCCAGTTATGAGGGGCACAATAATATTATTTGTTGATTAACTTCAGATAAGCCCGATTCGGCTAATTTTTCTCTTTGTTATGATTACATCAGAGGCTATGAAACCTGCTATATGTAAATATGTTTCATTTTTAGCTCACCTGAGCCGAAGGCTCAAGTGAGCTTTTCTGATCAAAATTTGTCCGTTGTCTGTCGTCGTCGTCGTCGTCGTCGTTGTCGGCGTCGTCGGCGTAAACTTTTCACATTTTCATCTTCTTCTCAAGAACCACTGGGCCAATTTCAACCAAACTTGGCACAAAGTATCCTTGGGTGAAGGGGAATCAAGTTTGTTCAAATGAAGGGCCACGCCCCCTTCCAAGGGGAGATAATTATGAATTTGTGAAAAATTTATGGCATTTTTAAAAAATCTTCTTCTCCAGAACCGCTGGGCCAGGAAAGATGAAACTCATGTGGAATCATCCTCAGGTAGTGTAGATTCAAGTTTGTTCAAATCATGACCCCCGGGGCAAGGGTGGGGCCAAAATTGCCGACCCAAGTTTTAATTAGGAATATATTTGAAAAATCTTTAAAAATCTTCTTCTCCAGTACCTCTGGGCCTGGAAAGATTAAACTCATGTGGAAGCATCCTCAGGTAGTGTAGATTCAAGTTTGTTCAAATCATGACCCCCGGGGCTAGGGTGGGGCCAAAATGGCCGACCCAAGTTTTACATAGGAATATATAGGAAAAATCTTTAAAAATCTTTTTCTCCAGAACCACTGGGCCAGGAAAGATGAAACTCATGTGGAATCATCCTCAGGTAGAGCAGATTTAAGTTTGTTCAAATCGTGACCCCCGGGGCAAAGGTGGGGCCAAAATGGCCGACCCAAGTTTTACATAGGGATATATAGGGAAACCTTTTAAAATCTTCTTTTCAAGTACTTCAAAGCTATGATTTGTGATATTTATATGGAATCATCCTCAGGTAGTGTAGATTCTAGTTTGTTCAAATGATGAACGCCTGGAGGGGGGGTGGAGTAAATTCAAGCCTGATGTGCTCAGGTGAGCGCTGTGGCCCCTGGGCCTCTTGTTGTTTAATCTATGAGTTTCCTTCTTTTCTTTTTTACTGCTTTCATTTTTCGGGGTTGACAATACAATTTTACCATGCATGTTATGGGGGACCAAGTTGACAATAACCAGTTAAAAATAATCACAGTAAACTGCCAGGGGCTGGGTGATAAAAACAAAAGAAGGGATGTCTTAAATTACCTCAAAGGCAAAAAGTATAATGTATATTTTCTTCAAGATACACACTTTACAAGTAGTGAAGAAATTTTTTTACAGTCACAATGGGGATGCAAGGCCTTTTTCAGTTCATTTAAGTCTAATTCTTGGGGTTGCAATACTTTTCAATAACAATTGTGAGTTTGAAGTACATGTACCATAAAACTACTGAGGTAGTAAAGATGACACTGGAAATTTTTTGATTGTAGATGTGACTATTGAGGGTTTAAATTTTCTATTGGTAAATATTTATGGTGGAAATTTAGATACACCAATTTTTTATTCAAACCTTTTGAAAAAGATTGAAGATTTTTATTCCTATATAAGTATATAAGTATACAGTATATAATAATGGGTGGGGATTTTAATTTGATCTTTTAAGTTGGACTCTATGAATTATAAAAACATAAATAACCCAAATGCAAGAGAAGAATTGTTGAATTTAAAAGATACTTTGAATCTGATAGATGTTTTTCGAGAAAATAATCCCAAACTTAGACAATTCACATGGAGAAGGAAAAATCCAATTAAACAGGCAAGACTTGACTTCTTCCTCACGTCTGAATCTTTATTGCCCTTGATACCAAAAATAAAACATGAAAACAGTTACATGTATCGCTCTGACCATTCTCCAGTTGTCGCATATTGCAAACTAAATTAGTTCACAAAAGGAAAAGGTTTCTGGAAATTAAACAATTCTCTGTTAACAGATAAAGACTATGTGGAATTAATTATGCAAAAGATAACTGAGGTCAAAAGCCAGTATGCATGTCCAGTTTATAACATGGAAAACTTAGGTACTGTGAATGATGAAAATTTACAATTTACAATATGTGATAAATTATTTTTGGATACTCTGCTAATGAAAATTAGGGGAAAAACAATATCATATTCTTCTTTTAAGAAAAAGAAAATAAAAGAGCGTGAAGCTCAGTTATAAAAAGAGATATTAGACCTGGAACAGAACATGACAGAAAATACTATAGTGATCTATCAAACAAACAAAAAGAAATTGAAAAAATTAGAATAAATAAAATGAAAGGCCAGTGCATTAGATCTCGTGTTGAGGGGGAGAAGGACCTTTAGCTGTAAAAATACCTGTTGTTCAATTTTTTTCATATTTTGTATATCTCTAATTTAGTATGTCCCACATACCTTAAAGCAGATATATCAATAGATTTCTAGACTTATTTTTGAGATATTAAGTGACAAATACTATACCCCACAGTGTCTAAGTGGAGTTTTGTTTCTCAATGTTTCTTGGCCCATTAATCAGTCAATCATGGAATTTTTTTCAGCATAGATAAAAATTATGTCAGCGGACATGTGTCTTTAAAAATATATCAGAGTAGGAATAGGGTTAAAAATTCGAAAAAGCAATATTCTTTTGTCACACCGCATCTTGAGACGGAAAACTATGTACTTTTAAAGACAACTTAAACAATAAAAAAATTAATTCGCAAAAAATCCTACCATTCAATATTTGAAAATTTACATCGAAATGCAAGATCATCATGTCATTGATCAGCTGTAAAAATATCGATTGGTAAAGCTGAGTTCAATATTGCACAGGGCATAGTTAAATAAGACACGAACTTGAGAAAAACGTGTCATGTTTACATTTCTCGAGTACGGGAAAACCCAACTATGACGTCACACATTTACGAAATAAATGAAACAAGACATACATAAAAAATATTTCCGTCAAGTACCATGTAAAAATATTTGTTGTGTTCCCTAATTCACAAAATATGCCATCATGTACTGATCATGACCCGTTTTTATGATATTAGGTATACTACCCCTGTTTTACTGTGTATAATCTTACTGTACTAAGAGATCCACTATAACGTCACCGACTCATTGGACATTTGATAATATTTGCTAGGAAGTTTGAATCTTTTTAGATATTTTTATACAAGATGGTGAACTGAAACAAACAGTCAAAAATTATACAAGTACTATGGTTTCAATCTTGTTTTGTACATATTTTTTCAGGGATTATGACGTAATTAAACTAAGTCATGTGACCATACATCCTTCGTCCCCTTAAATGGATTGAGGAAGGCGAAAAACCGACAAAGTATTTTGCAAGTTTAGAGTCAAGAAATTATATCAGTAAACAAATTCCTAAAATTATTAAAGAAGATGGGTGTATGATATCCAATCAAGAGGACATTTTAAATGAGACAAAAATATTTTATGAAAATTTATGCAAAAAAAGAGAAAATGTAAAATCAGATGATAGTATTTACAATAGACTAAATGATTATGATATACCAAGACTAAGTGAGAGGGAATCAGCAAGTTTAGAGGGATCAATAACTAAAGATGAAGTTTTATATTTTTTGAAAAATGATAAAAGTCCAGGACAAATGGATTTACGTGTGAGTTTTTAAAGTTCTTTTGGAAAAATATTGGTATATTTGTGACAATGGCAATAAATAATGCTAATGAATCAATGCAATTTTCAGATGTAAATAGATTAGGAATCATTATTTGTATACCAAAAGCAGGAAAATCAAAAGAATTTTTAAAAAATTGGTGTCCCATTAGCCTTTTAAATGTTATTTATAAATTAGCGTCTTGGTGTATAGCCAAATGAATAAAAAAAGTTTTAAATAAATTAATACATACAGATCAAACTGGATTTTTAAAAGGAAGATATATTGGAGAAAAAGAAATAGATGTTAATTTTTACACCCCCCTTAATGTAAAGAAAAAACAACACTATGCCCCTATATTTTTGTTTTTCTCTCTTCAATGTTCTTAATTAAATGTGAACATGTGTATGTGAATGTCTTTATGTAAATTTGATACCTGTATATGCTATCTATAATAGGCACTTGAATGAAGATATATATATGTGAATATACTTTTGTATATACCTGTTTGATATATATGTGAAAGTTAAAATAAAATAGAAAATAAAAAAATCCTACGTATTAATTAGTTTCCAGCTCTTCAGGTGTGAAACTGATGATGTTATTGTGTATTGTAGGTAACACATTTAAAAGATTTCATCTTTTTCCGATTACAAATGGGATTTGTAGACAACATTATTGCCAAATGTAAGTATGCCACAGTATTTTACCTCTTTAGAATATACATACTGTACCTGTATTTAGTGATTTATATTTTGCAGAAGACTAAAACTGTCTTTACCCATTGTAAACCTTGTTTCAGACATCGCTACTGTTTTTGGTTACCTGGTGGTCAGTCGACCTTTCCTTGACCTTGCCCACCCACGCCATCTAAACAGCTCACACAGTGAGAGACTTGAGGTTTGTAGTTATCTCCCTTTAACATCTTCACTCTGAGTTTTATCTTATACAATCAAATTCATATTTTAAATTACTTACCTGATTTTTTGTAATCGTCCATTTGGAATGAAATATGAAATGTTTTTATATATTCTTTAACTTGGTATTGACCATTATAGTCATTAATAGGTAAAATCAGGAATCAAATCTTATTGTGGTATTCTATAGGATTACTACAAGAGTGGCAGAATGTTGGTACGGATGGCAGAAGCTATTGGTCGAATCGTACTAGCAGGAAGAGAAATGACCAGATTGGCGGGGTAAGTTTGACCTTTACAGTTTTCAGTAAGCATTGACATTATAGCCACATGAATATCAAAGGATATTATTTTTATATGATTTTTAGTCATGGCTAGATTCCTTTGAGCACTTTTGATGTAGAAAATAAAACTTTTTTCATTTGTTTGGTTTATCTTTAAATTTTAAATTCTACTGAGACTTCTCTATTGACTGTTGATGTTACCTGCGTGTTTTGTTACAGGTTTACTGCTCGTATCACAGAACTAATCAAGGTACTGGATGACATCAGCAGGGGGCATTATGAGAGGACCATGGTGTCTGATCAGAGCGGAGGTAAGCAGTTAGACTAATATATCAAGGTACTGGATGACATCAGTTAGACTAATATATCAAGGTACTGGATGACATCAGTTAGACTAATATATCAAGGTACTGGATGACATCAGTTAGACTAATATATCAAGGTACTGGATGAAATCAGTTAGACTAATACATCAAGATACTGGATGACATCAGTTAGACTAATATATCAAGGTACTGGATGACATCAGTTACACTAATATATCAAGGTACTGGATGACATCAGTTAGTCTAATATATCAAGGTACTGGATGACATCAGTTAGACTAATATATCAAGGTACTGGATGACATCAGTTAGTCTAATATATCAAGGTACTGGATGACATCAGTTAGTCTAATGTATCAAGGTACTGGATGACATCAGTTAGGCAAATATATCAAGGTACTGGATGACATCAGTTAGGCTAATATATCAAGGTACTGGATGACATCAGTTAGTCTAATATATCAAGGTACTGGATGACATCAGTTAGGCTAATATATCAAGGTACTGGATGACATCAGTTAGTCTAATATATCAAGGTACTGGATGACATCAGTTAGGCTAATATATCAAGGTACTTGATGACATCAGTTAGGCTAATACATGTATATCAAGGTACTGGATGACATCAGTTAATCTAATATATCAAGGTACTGGATGACATCAGTTAGTCTAATATATCAAGGTACTGGATGACATCAGTTAATCTAATATATCAAGGTACTGGATGACATCAGTTAGTCTAATATATCAAGGTACTGGATGACATCAGTTAGACTAATATATCAAGGTACTGGACGACATCAGCAGGGGGCATTATGAGAGGACCATGGTGTCTGATCAGAGTAAGCAGTTTGACCAATACATCAAGGGTCTGGATTCTTAACTCAGTAAATAGTCAAAATTTATTCAATTTTTTTAAAAAAAGTCAGTTTTGCCTCTTAGCTGAAGTTAAAATCTTCAAAAAATTTCCATGAATTTATTTAGTTTAAGTGAGACAGTTTATGCTTATACATTCTATACATTCATTACATGCATGTAGAAAATTTTCAATCCTTTTATGATAGGATCAGTTCAAACTGGTAAGAATCACTTAATGGCCAACCATATTTACTCAAACATCCCTAGTTTGTTCACTAGTTCATGTATAGTAATGTGTTTAATGCTTTTACATGTGTATGTTTATTACAGGAAAAGAGAAAGTTTCCAGCAATTTCAAACCAGGGGATGGGAAAATTGTCATCAAAGATTATATCATTAAGTAAGTTTTATAAAATTCTTGTGAAAGTAATTGCACCATCACCCTTGGCTTTGATGTTAGTTCTATGTTTTGGATTTTTTTTATCAGATTTGACAAAGTTCCACTAGTGACTCCCAATGGAGATGTTCTTCTACAGGAAATGAGTTTTGAGGTGAGCAAGATTAACTTTTTATTAATTAATGTTTTTTTGGGGGGGGTTAATGTATAAAACATTATCTTGCAAATTCATGACTTGCTAAAAATTACAGATGCATGCATGTATAAATGGGTTTTTTTATTTGAATTGCGTAACAGGTGAAATCTGGAGAGAATGTGTTAGTTTGTGGACCAAATGGCTGTGGTAAAAGCTCTCTGTTCCGAGTTCTAGGAGAGGTAAGATAAATAACCGTTATTTATGTCAATATTTATTAACTTATCAAAAAAGTCTAATTCAATAGGATGAAGAAATACATGTAACTGTAACAAATATGAAACCCTTTCAGCTTTGGCCGCTATTTGGAGGAACTATGACCAAACCAGAAAAGGGGAAGCTGTTTTATGTCCCACAGGTAACAGACTTATCAAAATATTAACATGTACATTTTGATGGAACATTACCTTTGGAAAGGTTTGATCAAATTGATTTATTTCAGTGGAGGATAGTAAAAAATCATGTACAATTATATATTGCTAATTTATGATGCCAAGAATCAAAAACCATTAAATTTTACTAATTCTTTTCTCATGTGTGAATATCTTTTGACCTGTCATCATTCTGTTTATTGAAACTATAATGCTGAATTTCAAAAATAACCTTGCTCCATTAGGCATTATAAAAAGTCTCTCTAATAGTATATATATTAGTTACCTGTGTAATATATTTCTAGAGGCCGTATATGACAGTGGGCACATTGAGGGATCAGGTCATTTATCCAAACTCTATTTATAAATAAGTTACTGGTGTATTATTTTTTACTTCACTCTGTTCATCCGCAAATAAAACATTTCTTTTCTAATCCATAATAAAACTAAAGAACATTTTATATACTTTACAGTGTTTATTAGATATCAGTCGTGTACTTAGCTCTATTAACATAATAATTCTCATAATCTTCCCTGTGATATACCTGGTACAATATTCAAGTTTTTAAATAAAGTCTTCTTGGTCTCTCTCTGCATTATAAGATACATGTACTGGTAATTCTCTTTAATCGATATACATGATAAGTACTGCCATACCTGTCAACATGACCAAAATTTTTCGGGGGAGAAAACGCGCGATGACCTTTTGCAAATACAAAAAAAGTCGCGCATTTCACTGTTTTATTGAACAAAAATAAACAACTTACAAGATAAAACTTTCGTATTAATATTAACATTATCATTAATTCATAAAATTTATTGTTTATTCATACATTGTTTAGAAACTTGTACAATGTGATTTAATTTTGAAATTATAAAAATTTATGTTCACTATCTATTCTGTCTGTCCATAAGAGCATCATTTATATAATATTCATGGCAAATGGTGTAGTTTAACTTGGCAATTAGAAAATTTAATAAGGTTCTGCAGACAGTCTGAGTTTCCAGCTTGTAATATGTGTTTGAATGGATTGTTCTCACTAAGTCTAAGGAACATGACTTGTGTCCTGGATTTAAAGACCTGAAAATGAAATAATTGTCAAAACTTCATGCTTACATTCTTAAAATAATGTGTAATCTAGTATGAATGAAATAGATGGACCTTGTATTTTTTTCTTTTAATTTCATAACATGTATCAGAATTTTTAAATATAATACTTTATTTTAGTAATGTTCTATTGTGCTAATTATATATTTTAATTTAGAAATGTATTAACCTGTTTAGCTTTGTAAATTTAAAAGAAGTCTTCTAAAGACACTGTCTTCTTGCTCTGTAGTTTCAGGGGCTGTTATATGCTGATGTTGTTGCAGGATTTACTAAGACATTGAATCTCAAAATCTGGGGGTGGGGGGGTGGGGGAATCTTCAGACTCTTCATTTATATTAGCTTCAATGAAATTGTTTCCCTCTCCTTGTTAAATTAACAATAGAGTACTTTAGCTACACCTTTCCTGATCACTGTATTGTTTATGGAGAAATAGTTTTGTCTTAGGTACTTGTTAACTTATTTGCAGCAAAGTATCAAATACTTCCATATCGTTATTTACCGTCATGTTCTGTAAAAATTTTCACATCTGGAATCTCTGTCTGATAATATACACTTTTAATGAGAATAAGGAGCAATTACAACTGCAATTACATCTGCTAGCACAGTTGACACCTTGTTGATTACCTGTTATCAGTGGCAATAAACAGATTAGCTACCGATAAACACTGCATGACCTCCATTTTTGTGTTGACTAGTCGGTATTTTACGAACCCAAGTAGGTAAAAAATCCGGATTTTTTCAAAATCGGTAGAAACGGCAGTTAAAAAAAATTCAGTAGACAGTCGGTAGGGATGGTTAAAAATCGGTAGACTCCCGATAAATTCGGGAGAGTTGACAGGTATGTACTGCTACAATTTTATTTACCTATGATATAGTATACAATACAATCTTATTATGCCCTTAGAATTTCCTCAATAAAAATTGTACTGCAAATTCAGGACATTCAAAAACTGCAATAGAAAATATATTATAAACAAGGTATAAAGGTTCATACTTCATGTAAGAAGTCACGAATGAGATGAAATGGGTTGGTGGGTGGGGCAATTGTCCAAGACAGTGCTTCTGGTAGAGTCACGGCATTTGGCATTTGTCCAGCACAGACCTTCTGGTAGAGTCAGCGGCATTTAGCGGCATTTGTCCAACACAGACCCTCTGGTAGAGTCAGCGGCATTTAGCGGCATTTCTCCAAGACAGACCTTCTGGTAGAGTCAGCGGCATTTAGCGGCATTTGTCCAACACAGACCCTCTGGTAGAGTCAGCGGCATTTAGCGGCATTTGTCCAAGACAGACCCTCTGGTAGAGTCAGCGGCATTTAGCGGCATTTGTCCAAGACAGATCCTCTGGTAGAGTCAGCGGCATTTAGCGGCATTTGTCCAAGACAGACCTTCTGGTAGTCAGCGGCATTTCTCAAAGACAGTGCTTCTGATAACATTTAGAGAATTTGTTTAACAAGATCGAGTGCTCTAATTCCTTTCTCCTTTATTTTCAGTAAATTCCTTTATCTTGAAAAAGATATAGGACTCAGGAATGAACAAGTCCATAAATACTGTTTTGTATAGATCATAGATCTTAATTACAATTTAATCTGTTGTTTTTCCATGGATTTAATGATATACAGTAATTTAAAGAGAAATGGTTTACAATTTTATGTATGAAAGACACTTAAATAGTATAATATTTGTTTTTCCCTAATGGCAGGGACTTGCTCAATTAGTAATATTTATATTTTTTTCATTTAGTTTGATGGTATTTCCATTATCATAAAAAAAAATATTACCCCGGTAATTAAATATCAGTTTAAATTGTACAAATAATGTTTTGTACTTTGGTAGTATCTTTGAAAATAATTCAATTAACAGCTTTATCCTGGTCAGCACTAGCCATATTAAAGTATCATGCTGATTAGCAATTTGCAGTTATTGATATCTTGCAGTCAGATACAGACAAAATTACCACCAATATAACAAAACAGAAGATGATTAGGGAAAAGGTGTTAAACATCTGGCTTCATGCATTTGATATTGCTCGGTTATGTGATTATGACTATTAAATTTCAAGTACCCCATGTATAACATATTAATTATTAAGTTATATTTATGAAAATATGTCAAATAAAATACTAAATAAAGAAAATAATGTAATTACTCCATAAATTATAGTAACAGAAGAAGCTTTACTTTGAGAATGTTTCAAAATTATCTCATTATAAGTAGCTGTGTCTTAATTTATTCAACAAATAAACCCTATGAGCATTGTATGCAACTGTTTTAAACTATTTTTATCAATGAAGTTAGAAAAAAAAGACTTTCAGAGGCACACCATGCAAAGTTGAATTTATTTTTTTCAAGACCGATTTGTAAAAGTCCAGTAAAGGATTCTCTACAAAAATTTTCAATCAGGCCATAATTTTTTCTCATTAGCTTTTTAAACCAAATTTTACATGTTTTATAAGCATTATTTAATTTGGTTTTTAAAACAAATATCCATGTTACATGAAATACCAAGACAAGTTTCATTAAACCAACATTAAAGCAAGTAGCAACAAGCACATGACAGAAATTTAGTTTCATTTCCAGAATTATCTCAAATTAACATGCTCTGATTTTAAAGGAATACATTGTTTATTGATCTAGTCATGCAGCTTATTCCGTAAAAGATATAAAACTGGGATAGGTTAACATTTTACAATCATGCAGCTCAAGCCATAATAAATAAATTGCTAGATTCTCATCCAATTTAAAAAAAAAAATCAACTGATCAAGGTGGGCGGGCGGCTTTTATTTTATACTTTTTATTTTTTCAATTTCACAGATTTTATCTACAATACCCGAATAAAAGTCATAGTAAAGGTTCAATTATCTCTTACTTCACATCATCACCAATCTTTTTCAACCAATGACCCTTGTTTAAAATATATACGTATTACAGCAATTTTTCAGCCGTCAAAAATCATGTTTAAAACGAAAGTAGAATGGTAGATGAATACCGATCCCGATGAGAATTAAGACGAAGAAAAACAGAAATAAGAAGGTATAAATTCAGAGTGGGCAGGGATGAGAATCTAGAAATATTTTTATTATGGCCAATATTCAGTAAAAGATATAAAATTCGGATAGGTAAAAATTCTGTAATCATGCAGCTTATTCCGTAAAAGATATAAAATGCAGCTATTAAATTCCGTAAAAGATATAAAACTAGGAAAGGTTAACATTTTATATTCATGCAGCTTATTCCGTAAAAGATTTAAAACTAGGATAGGTTAACATTTTGTAATCATGCAGTTTATTCCATAAAGATATAAAACTGGGATAGTTTACCGTTAACATTTTATAATCAATGCATGCAGCTTACTCCGTAAAAGATATAAAAATTGGGATAGGTTAGCAATTTGTAATGATGCGGCTTATTCCGTTAAAGATTTAAAATGCAGCTTATTCCGTAAAAGGTATAAAACTGAGATACATTTTATAATCATGCAGCTTGTTCCGTAAAAGATTTAAATTTAATGCTGCTTTTTCCGTGAAAGATATAAAACTGGAATAGGTGAACATTTTAAAATCTGCAGCTTATTCCGTGAAAGATATGAAACTGGGATAGGTTAACATTTTATAATCATGCAGTTTATTTCGTAAAAAATTTAATTAAAATGCAGCTTTTTCCATAAAAGATATAAAAATGAGATAGATGAACATTTTATAAAGATTTGAAACCGGGATATTCTAACATTTTATAATCATGCCCTTTCTTTTCGTAAAAAAAAATAATAACATAAAATACAGTTACAGTGGCGCCTCATTTATCCGGACGCTTTGGTTCCCAGGCAAATTGTCCGGATAAGTGAAGCGTCCGGATATCTGAATTCTATTGATTTCTCTTCCAGATATACTGTATTTGTATTGTAACTCTTATATACAAAGAAAGATATTAAAATGCTATCATTTAGAAATAATTAATTTTTTTTTAAACACTTATCTTTAGTATATATCAGCACTACTTTTACACTTTTTTCAAATATAATAAATTTTTTTATAGCTAAAAACTAGATGCCGACTCGCGCTCTCTTTGTCGGTGGTGTAGACATGACTGTAGCTGGAGAGCAGAATGACAAACATTGGATATAACGCTGCTTATATGGGCAGATTTTTTCATTACCCAGCTTAGTTTTTACTCTGTATTTCCTATAAATTGATGAACATAGCCAAGCCAATTCTCTCATGTGCAGCTTTGATAACACCCAAGCGAGCTGTCAGTATCGGGTCTAATTTTAATATGAACATGCACTCATCCACGCTAAATCTGACATAATAAAAATTCACGCAGTAGTCATCCCAAGTGAAATCATTGATTGTCTAAAATTATTTAAATTTGATTAAATGTTTTAGTTTTTTTTTTTCATCTTCCGATGAAAATTACACAATACCGATGTGTGTGTGCCATGTGTAGACTACGAGATTATGAAACTATGTCGTCCCGTCTATAAATAGAAAAATATTTAAAACCAGATCTGTGCTAAAATTATAAATATCTCAAGATAACAAATAACTGAATAGAAAATTGTTTTCTGTTACCAACACAGTTAATTGTTTATTTTCATTTGTGTATCGATCTCTCGTATATTATGACCATACCCACTTAGCATGCTTAATCTGTGGACTAATCATCGTAAGTCATTCATAACACTGGCACAGGTGATCGTCTTGTAAAAACAACCAATCCGGCCAGTGTTTTGATAACAATTATCACTCAGTTCAGGCGTGAATGTTGACTAGAATGGAAGTACAAATTAAAATTTACCGTCCGGATAAATGAAGCAATTTATAACGTAAAAATACATTTTGTAGTAAAAAATAGCCGTCCGGATACGGAACGCGGAATTCCAGATAAATGAGTCAAAATTACGTTGAAAAAATCCGTTCCCGAGAAAAATCGTCCGGAAGGTGAAGCGTCCGCATATCTGGCGTCCGGATATCTGAAGGTCCACTGTATTCCATTAAAGATCTATAATTGGGATAGGATAACATTTTATAATTATGCAGCTTAATCCGCAAAAGGTATAAAATGCAACTTGTTCCGTATAAGATTTGAATCTGGAATAAGTGAACATTTTAAAAATCATGCTGTTTATTCCGTAAAAGATTTTAAATGCAGCTTATTTATGAGTCAGTGGATTGAGATTTATTAGGTAAATTTTAACATTTAATCATCCATTCCAGCCCTCAAATCACGTTCATATGAACTTCGGGGAATCGAAACAGTATGATATTGGGGTTTTTTTTTCATTTATACAGCAAGCAAACATATCTATCCGGTAGTGATAATAAACAATTTTTTCAAATGAAAGGCTTATTTGTATTTGTCAAACATAAAAAAAAACTACATATTTGCTTGAGAAACATTATAAACATGCCTCTAGGAACTGAGTAATATTCAACTATTTTCCATTTGCTTTGATTGTATTTCCAGTATTCAAAAAAATATAACCCCGGTAATTAAATATCAGTTTAAATTCAAAGCCTACAAATAATGTTTTGTGCTTTGGTAGTATCTTTGAAAATAATTCAATTAACAGCTTTATCTTGGTCAGCACTAGCCATAAGCATCATGTTGATTAGCAATTTACAGTTATTGATATCTTGCAGTTTGATACAGACGAAATTACCACCATTATAACAAAACAGAAGATGATTAGGGAAAAGGTGTTAAACATCTGGCTTCGTGCATTTATTACTGCTCCATTACCTTATTTTTACTAATACATTAGAAGTACCCCTGTATTACATATTAATTATTAAGTTATACTTATGAACATATGCAAAATAAAATACCAAATAAAGAAAATAATGTATTTACTCCATCAATTACAGCAAGTTGCATAAGAAGCTTTACTTGGGAATGTTTCAAAATTATCTCATTATAAGCAGCATTGTCTTAATTTATTCAACAAATATGAAGAACTGCTTGGACAAATGCTGCTGACTCTATCAGATGGTCTGTGTTGAACAAATGCCGCTAAATGCAGCTGACTCTACCAGAGGGTCTGTCTTGGACAAATGCCGCTAAATGCCGCTGACTCTACCAGAGGGTCTGTCTTGGACAAATGCCGCTAAATGCCGCTGACTCTACCAGAGGGTCTGTCCTGGACAAATGCCGCTAAATGCCGCTGACTCTACCTGAGGGTCTGTCCTGGACAAATGCCGCTAAATGCCGCTGACTCTACCAGAGGGTCTGTCTTGGACAAATGCCGCTAAATGCCGCTGACTCTACCAGAGGGTCTGTGTTGGACAAATGCCGCTAAATGCCGCTGACTCTACCAGAGGGTCTGTCTTGGACAAATGCCGCTAAATGCCGCTGACTTTACCAGAGGGTCTGTCTTGGACAAATGCCGCTAAATGCCGCTGACTCTACCAGAGGTCTCTCTTGGATAAATGCCGCTAATTGCCGCTGACTCTACCAGAGGGTCTGTCTTGGACAAATGCCGCTAAATGCCGCTGACTCTACCAGAGGGTCTGTGTTGGACAAATGCCGCTAAATGCCGCCGACTCTACCAGAGGGTCTGTTCTGGACAAATGCTGCTAAATGCCGCTGACTCTACCAGAGGGTCTGTTCTGGACAAATGCCGCTAAATGCCGCTGACTCTACCAGAGGGTCTGTGTTGGACAAATGCCGCTAAATGCCGCTGACTCTACCAGAGGTCTCTCTTGGACAAATGCCGCTAAATGCCGCTGACTCTACCAGAGTGTCTTTCTTGGACAAATGCCGCTAAATGCCGCTGACACAACCAGAGGGTCTGTGTTGGACAAATGCCGCTAAATGCCGCTGACTCTTCCAGAGAGTCTGTGTTGGACAAATGCCGCTAAATGCCGCAGACTCTACCAGAGGGTGTGTGCTGGAGAAATGCCGCTTAATGCCGCTGACTCTACCAGAGGGTCTGTCTTGGACAAATGCCGCTAAATGCCGCTGACCCTACTTGAAGGTCTGTATTGGACAAATGCCGCTAAATGCCGCTGACTCTACCAGAGGGTCTGTCTTGGACAAATGCCGCTAAATGCCGCTGACTCTACCAGAGGGTCTGTGCAGGATAAATGCTGCTAAATGCAGCTGGTCTGTGCTGGACAAATGTATTGGTATGATGTTGTTGGCCATGATTTTCGTGACTTCTTACATGAAGGAATAGCCAGGTATAAATAAACTCCCTTAAAAAAAAAAAATTGTGTTTGATATCAATTTTCATTGTATTCTTTGCTATTTATAGCTGAATACAAACTCGTATGACCAAAACGGCCTCAGACGGGATTTAAATACCTTGACCCAAGCACACAGAAATAAATGCGCAAAACTTTACGCTTAAGATAAGCAATGTTATGAAACTGAAAAGAAATTTAAATATATTTCTAGAGGCCGTATATGACAGTGGGCATACTGAGGGATCAGGTCATTTATATTTGTATAAATAAGTTACCTTATACATGTAATATATTTCTAGAGGCCATATATGACAGTGGGCATACTGAGGGATCAGGTCATTTATATGTGTATAAATAAGTTACCTTATACATGTAATATATTTCTAGAGGCCATATATGACAGTGGGCATACTGAGGGATCAGGTCATTTATATGTGTATAAATAAGTTACCTTATAATATATTTCTAGAGGCCGTATATGACCGTGGGCACTTTGAGGGATCAGGTCATTTACCCAGACTCCCACGAGGAACAGATCAAGAAGGGAACCAAAGACTCTGATCTCCTGGAAATACTCAACAAGGTCAGACTATCGTGGTTTATCTGAGAAGTTTTTTGACGGTTTAATATTGTGCCTAATTTATTGCGATAATTATGTTTCTGTTGACAGGTCCAGTTGGGAGTTTTTTTTTACTGTTTATTATTGTGCCTAGTTTACAGTGATATTTATGTGTTTTTTTGACTGTTTAATATTGTGCCTATTTTATAGCGATATTCACGTTTCTGTTGACAGGTCCAGTTGGGATACATTTTAGAGAGAGAAGGGGGATGGAACTCTGTACAGGTAGGGGACGCAACTTAAATCAGAAACTTGTGATCTCATAACTAAATACTGTTGTAATATCAAATTTATGTGTTGACATTTTATTTCTAAGGATTGGATGGATGTCCTCAGTGGAGGAGAAAAACAACGAATAGCTGTAAGTACAAATGGGGGTCTCGTGAATGTTTAACAACGGGGCTCTTGTGAATGTTTTACAATGGAGCTCTCGTGAATGTTTTACAATGGTGGTCTAGTGAATGTTTAACAATGGTGGTCTGGTGAATGTTTTACAATGGTGGTCTGGTTAACTTTACAATGGGGGTTTGGTGAATGTTTTACAATGGTGGTCTTGTGAATATTTTACAATGGGGGTTTGGTGAATGTTTTACATTGGGGGTCTTGTGAATGTTTTACAACGGGGGTCTAGTTTGTTTTACAATGGGGGTTTGGTGAATGTTTTACAAGGACAGAAATATTTTTTCCACCAGTGGTAGGAACATTTAATGTTAAATAACATCATGCCATGATTGTTTTATACTTTCAGATGGCCCGCCTGTTTTATCATCGCCCTCAGTTTGCCATTTTAGACGAGTGTACGAGCGCTGTCAGCGTCGATGTAGAGGGATATATGTACCAGTACTGTAAAGAGGTAACAGATACACACATCGACTGTAGTCAATTGTGCATATAAATTCTACATATTTTTAAGCATGTAGCAGATTACTAACTTATCAAAATCTCAAGGTTTATGAGAGCTTTTGTTATTTGTCTTTGTTCCTTTAAAAAATTATAATGTATTAGAAAAGTACAGATTTAATGAAATCTGAATAGACTGAGGATGTCTATTAATTTTGCTATCCAGTGACTTTCTATACTGTTAATCACTTTTAATTCGCTAGAACTTTATTTGCATGCAATTACGCAAGTCTGTCCAATCACGAAAATTTCATATATTTTTTTGTATTATTATGGTTTATATACAACAGAACCACAGCGCATGAAAATTTTATCTCGCTAATGAATACCAAAATAGCTTAGTCGCAAAAACAAGGTTTCGGAAAATAGAGTGATCTACAGTAGTATTGAATTCTGATCGTATGTGATTTTTTAATTACAGGTGGGAATTACTTTGTTCACAGTTTCACACAGGAAGTCATTATGGAAACATCATGAGGTTAGAATCAATAATCAATGAATGACAAAAAGTAGCTCTTAAGGTGGCAAGACCTGCTTCTAAGGGGGATAACTTTAAAATTGATACCATTAATACCATTAAAAAGATTTCCTCTTCAATATTGTTTTTTTCGTAGTAAAAGTAACAAGAACAGTAAACCAATATCACCTATTGACAATATTTTTGGGAGAGTAATAGTCATTAATCCCAGTAAGAATTATCTTCCTTATAAGATCAATAAACCTTAAAAACATTTGTCAACTACTAAGAAATGAAGAATTGAAGTTTAACTCCGTAATTTATGACGTTATGCACTTCAAAATCAATGTGATCATTTCATGAAAATGACTACCAGAGCAAATAGTATACATGTACTGTATTATTGAATTTGAATTATTTTCTTTTTCAGTATTATTTGAAAATGGATGGCCGTGGAACGTATGAATTTGGAGATATTACTTCAGAGACAACTGAATTTGGGTCTTAACTGTGATATAAACTTAGGAAATCATTTCATGATCAGGAACTAATTTTTATTGATCATATACTGTTTTTTTTTAAATTTGTGATTAACTTATAAAAATGAAGGTATGTTTTTATGTGTTGAAATAGAATTTTAACATATGAAGTTTATGGGTTGTCAATACAGATTTTATAATGGCTATACTTGACAATGACAACATCAGATTTACATGTATTTAGCCTTTTTCCATTTGTGGGAATGTCTGTACTTTTCCCATTCTACAGATTTTCTATATGTTTCTTGTGGTATTTTTATAATGAAAATTAAAGATACAATAATTTGAACTGAATAGTTTCCAAATATTAGAAGGAAAAGTAGAATTTTCAGAAATAACTTGTACATTGTATGTACAATTATATATCAAACTGCTTCATAATTCTAAAGCACTGTACCTCTCAAATGTCTTCAAAAAATTAATCTCATTTGACTTGACTGATCCTTTTATGGAAAGAATGTGCAGTAATTTGCATAATACATATGTACATACATGTATATTTGTACAATTTAAAAACAGAAAGCATGTGTTTGAAAACCGGTAAATTATTAATAAATCATCATAAACCAGAAGAATTAGCAGTCTTTTGTATGAAAATTCATAATGTAAACACAAACTATGATATAAATGCCATATGTACAAAGTAAATATACATCCCAATCTTGTGCCCACTTTTTAGACCATATTTTGATAAAATAATATACAGTATAAAACATAAATTTAGGATTAGAATTTTAGTTCATTACATGTGATTGGATGTGGCCTTCCATGTCCCTTTTCTTTTCATTACTCATGCAGTTAGATTGAACTGCCCTTAGATTGAAGATTAAAGAAATTGTTATTTACAGTTACTTACTTGATTTGTAATAGATTAAAATATTTTTAGCATTATATAAGACAAAAGTAAGAAATTTAATCAATTGTTTTCATGAATTTTCCCAATGCAAGTAAACAACAGTGATTTCTGCTCACAAATAGTCCATTGTCTTTGGACATTTTTTCTGCGCACATAAGGCACATACCCTATGTTCTAAATGAATGAAAAAGTCTCAATATGCATATCTTTATATATTTTTTTTCTGAATCCAAAAAACAGTTTCTGTTAGTGTTTAGCTTCCTTAAATGGAATGCTTACTTGGAAATCCTTACACGGTCAAAATCTCTATAAAAAAAATGTCAAATATTTGTCACTGCCCTAGGAATTCATAAATTCCATTCATTGGCTATTCTGCATCTCATCAGCAAGTATGATGCTGGAAGCACTTTCAGTTTTATATTAACAACTTAGTTCACACTCATCTGGCATCGAAGCTTTAATCTTAAAATCAATCTGTCTTTCCATCTGACACCAACAGGTCTGTGTAGCTTGTATGTAATGGATAAATTGTATGTAATGGATAATAACTAGTATGTGATGGATAACTAGTATGTTTTGGATAACTAGTATGTGATGGATAACTAATATGTAATGGTTAACTAGTATGTGATGGATTACTAGTACTGTATAAGTGGAAATTCTAGCAAGGATTTAATTTTGGCATTATTAGCGAGGGTGCTGAGATCGCTAAAATGGAATATCGCTAAAATTTAATTGGGTTAAATTTATAATAGTTTCTTAAGTGAGCATATCATTACCACTATAATTACATATCGCTAAAAATAAAATACCTATTTTTAAGGACAAATCGCTAAATTTCCACTTATACGGTATGTTATGGATAACTAATATGTAATTGATCTTAAACTAATATGTAATGGATAACTAACATGTAATGGATAAATAGTATGTAATGGATAGGGAAATTTGAATTCCTTACATTTATCCACAGCATTCAGACAAACATACAGTAGGTCATTTATTTACTATACTTCCTTTGTTGTGCGAGCTTAATCAAAGGCAAGATTTATTTCTCTTTTTAACCAAAAGAAAACTAAATATTTAATGAATTATTTTACTATAAAACTTTCAATGACATAATACAGTTATAGACATTTGTATATTACAATTTCCTGTACAGATATACATGTATATATATATTTTATATATTAAACACACTGAAAATGCACCAAAGTTAAGGTAGAATAAACAATGAAAACATTAACAATATGAAGCAAAATTCTCCATTTTTACATTTTTACATCTGTCCTCTCACAGTTTGTTACTACAGCATAGTAAGGCGCCAAAGTCTTTTAGCAGACATTAGTCACCAAGAATAATTTTCAAAATGTGTTAGCGATAAAAAAAGCCATTGGTGCATCCCTTTGATTTATATATAGCATTCCTCTTTGACCCACCACATAAATATTGTCACCACTTCAAACTGCATTGTAAATTTAAAAACAACTCAAAATTTGCTGAGTACCATTTCTTAATACATGTATAAACCTACATGTATAATTGTACAGCTATAAACTCAAATTTGCATGTAATTCTAAATATTTAACTTAAACATTAATTGTCATGATTATAACACAAAATTTGAATGAAGTCCATTTCTCGCATAAAAGTCGAAAGAACACTTGCCAAGATCCTATTTAGGACAAATCCAAGATACAAAGTTAGTAATCTTCAGCAAGACTTATTTTCTTTGGTTTAATGCAAGAAACCTCTGTGAATAGACTGCTAGTTTGAAATCTGGAAACATGACAGTAAGACTTATTTTCTTTGGTTTGATGCAAGAAACATCTGCGAATAGACTGCTAGTTTGAAATCTGGAAACATGACAGTAAGAGTTGGCTTAAGAGAGAGATAAGGGCCCATAAGCAATACAGTGACCTATTGGTGATTGTGTAGCTTTTATTAAAGCTGATATACAATAGCTAACCGGAACAGGTGAACAATATTAAAATTTCTTGGAAGGCACTTTCCCCCAGTTTCTGCCTATATCCTTGATCATGTGACTTAAGGACTGGACAGTTCCTGAAAGTGAGCTGATTTTGGAGGAGGATTGAGCAAACTTCTGTACAACATTTAGTGTCATCATTTCTATAAATAGAGGAAGCAACATCTCTTGTTAAACAAAGCTTTAAAACAACTATGAGACAACACAAAACTAACACCTTAAAGCCATCAATAGAGCAATGAATTCCAAGGTGACGTCTTTATTTGAAAAATATGTTTAAGGAATCTATCTGCATTATGGACCCTTGTCCTCCGATAAAAGAAATTTATTTCGCACAAATAAACACGGCATTCAAATGAAACTGTGAGTTTCAGTTGTAAGTTATACATTCAATCTCTTGATAGATCAACAATCTTTTTACAAAAAGGAAACGAAAAAGGAATTTCAAAACTGAAAAAAAAAATAAGCACAAAGGTGGAAAAATTAAAAATAAAATGCACCAAGACTGCCTATCAATACAACTAACTGTTTAACAATGAGGCAAGCACTTTTAGTGTGGCTAATAAAAGGAGAAAAAAATAAAGCACTACAGGCAACATAATATAGAAATAATAGTAAAGCAATGCTTATCAAAAAAGTACAAAATTATTCTTCACATTCATTTTCTTGACTTTTACTGAGAGCCAGTTTCCAAAAAAATTGTATCAAGTCTTGGCTATTGTTCATACAGTACATCACTTTTAAAAAACCACACATTTATATACTTTTCTGAGTGTTCAGAAAGCAAAAAATTCTACAAAACATTCAGACTTTCAGACTTTCCAAAAGTTCTCCACTTATTACTCTCCTCACTGTATCCACAATCCAAATTTTATCTACTATTTCTACCTCTGATAAAAATAGATATACATAAGTATTAAAATGATAAAGAACCCAAAAACATTATATAAATGATTCAGTTCGCTAAGTTAGTGCTGCAAAAATGTTTGATATAAAAATGTGGTGATCAAGTTCTATCCTAGATTAATAGTGAAGTGAATTCCTGGATTATAATACATACTTAATCATGTCAAAGACATGTTATATGACCATTCAGAAGAAAAATATATTCCGAATTCGTCATGGTCAAGACACATGTATACATGTAGTAATCACTCTAAATATAATTGTGCGTTGTCACTCAAACTCTTTTTCTCCGCTCAAAAACTCTGCAATATTTCTTTACTAAACTTTGTAATTTAATTTCATTAGAAATCTCATGAGCCTCACAGGAGAGCAGGTTTACAGATTAAGGGAGACCAGAGCACCATGATTCAATAACTGATTATAACTTTCAGAGAGAGGATAAAAATTGAAATTTAACTTACAGAGGTGTTGTTATGCTCAGATTTTCGGTTTGGAACTAATCATTGTATCATGCTGATCTGGTCCATGCCACAGTATGTAGCAATAATGACTTCAATGTGAAGTACTCAATAAAACAGAAAGATTAGGAGGGGGATGACCATTTGATTCTGAAAGGGAGAGGGAATGGTGGATTTTTGGAAGTCAATAATATTTGAACATGTTGAATATAAATTTGACCTCAAATGGGAGGAAAATAATCTCTCCTTGACTGGTGGACACCCATCCCTCCCTAACCCCCAAAATAAAGTCTTTTTGACTGTCTTTTTCCAATCCACTTTTTTCCAGGGAAAAAAATAGATAATGTCTCTTATCATCTAGGAAACAAATATGAAATCCTCCAATGGCAAAAAAAAGAATCTGACTTGACAAAACTTGCCCCCCCCCCTTTTCAGAATTAAATGGTCATCCCCTAAACATTTGTTGAATATTTAGCCCAAAAAATTTAACAGAGACGTTGGAAGTTTTAAGTCATTACAATAGTAGTCCTAGCCTTCCTTAATGATCCCCTCAATTATCAGTACATGAATAATTGAATAGGAAGAGATTTGGTTCCTTGAACCAAAATACAAGACATAGAAAGTCGATAGAAATGAAGAGATTGGTGATAATAAATGGAAGAAATAAGACATATCACAGTAACAAGTTAAGTGTGTAAACAGTGGATGACCTGTTAGATTTGTTCAACTGCTTTCCACTCGTCCCCACTCCCACGATGCAGTCTCTCATACTCTCATGACCCGTGTTGATTAATGCAGTTGCCTTGTGACTCATAACATCACGCAGTTTTCTCATCTCCACTGTCATTCTTATAAAGTTTGTGATGCTCGGTTACTGACTCTCACCATCTCTCTCCCACTCGCACACAAACTGACCCCATACAATGAGTCCCTAAATCACACAAACTGAATCCATGCGAGTCTCTCAATTACACAAACCCACCCCATACAGTACGCCCCTCAATCACACGTAGGCAACTGGACCACCATAACCGGGATCTTTGCTTTTATCGTAGGAGTCCACTGCCCAGTCTGTGTTCTGCGTTACGAATTTCAGGAACAGTTTGTACAGCGTGTGTCTAGCCTTGATCTCCACCGTCATGGCGATGAAGAACGCCACGAAAAACGTGACCCCACAGGCCAACGTAATGATCTCCTCGATTGTCAGTTCTACTTTGTTTTTTGGGAGTTTGTTTATCTGTCCCTTGTCCGAGAGAAAACACATAATAGTAGCCACGGCGCAGCCAATCATAATCAAGAGGTTGACAAGGAACACCAGATGGAGGCACTTGTCCCGAGCATTCACGCGCGGCCATCGCCAGTTCTTAAACTGAAAAAAACAGATGGAATTAAATCTGAAGTGTTAGCTAAAATTTAAGTACAACATCTAACTTTCTATCTAAGATAAGTATTATTCCAAAGGTATAGGCATTACTGAAAGATATTAAACTATGATCATAGGCAGATAATAAATATTATAAATTGTTATGATTTACATGTATCCTTGGTATATGTGTAATGGGAGAAGAGAAAAATGCAGCGGACCAGACCGGGATTCGAACCCTGGCCCCCTCACTCAAGTCAGATGCTCTATTTACTGAGCTACCTGGCCACCGGTGATCAAACCCAATTGACTGCCACACTCCTCCTTCCTTAAAGGTCATCCAAAGACCACAACCTAGGCTCACTCCTGGCAGGCCTCTCAAATGTCAGTTCCAGGGCATGGCATCAAATGTAACAGGAGAGGAGAACAAGAGACCCAGGGGCTACATCGCTCACCTGAGCTCTGGCTATGTAAAACTAAAAGCAAAAATCAGTTCAGTATTGAAAAATTTAAATATTAAAGTGGGTTCAAGTGGGACCATGATTTGAACAAACTTGAATCTACACCACATGAAGATGCTTCATATCACTATGACCAATCATGGCTTTCCTGTTCTTGAGATTTACAGAGAAGAAGAATTTTAAAGATTTTCCCCATGTATTCCTATGCTAAACATTGACAAACTTAAATCTACACTACAAAGGATGCTTCCCATGAGTTTCATTGTGGCCCTTATATATTCCTATGCTAAAATTTGACCCCCCATTGTGGCCCCACCCTACCCCTGGAGGTCAAGATTTGAACAAACTTAAATCTACACAAAGATTTACCTTATATATTCCTATGCTAAAATTTGACCCCCCCATTGTGGCCCCACCTGAGGATGCTTCCACGCGAGTTTCATCTTTCCTGGCCCAGTGGTTCTTGAGAAGAAGATTTTTAAAACATGCCATTAATTTTTCACTAATTCATAATTATCTCCCCTTGGAAGAGGGCATGGCCCTTTATTTCAACAAATTTGAATCCCCTCCACCCAAGGATACTTTGTGGCAAGTTTGGTTGAAATTGGCCCAGTGGTTATTGAGAAGAAGATGAAAATGTGAAAAGTTTACAACGACGCCGACGACGACGACAACAATAACGACGACCGACAACGGAAAAATTTTGATCAGAATAACTCACTTGAGCCTTCAGCTCAGGTGACCTAAAAATGCAGAGCACCTGATTGGAGATTCAGGGGGCCAGGTTCAAATCCTGGTCTGGTCTGCTGCATTTTTCTCCTCTCCCATTACATATGTACCCATATATTATTCTTTTTTACATTACTTGGATTGATTTCAGCATTTCGCTTCAACAATTAACACCTCACTAGAGTTAAACTGCTATCTTAAGGTCTACAACACGTTCATCAATATCTGCTTTGCTTCCCTTCATTATATAAAATTAATAATTTTTTTTAAAGCAATATGAGCCGAAACTTTGAAGTTGGAATTTTTTGCTGCAAAATTGTAAATAACTATTTCAATGTGAGACAAAATAATGTAAATAAACTTCTCTTGTTCATATTTGCGATAGAAGAACTATTTATAAGCTTCGAATGAATCAAATTACATTATTGCCGTCCTGTTAAATAATGATTTCTTATATAAAACTGTATATTGGATTGTTTATAGAAGTCTTTCCTCTGCTTTATTTTTATCTAATTGATCAAAAAGGTTTAAGTTACATACAAATTCATCATAATAACACATTTTAACAGCAAAATAAAATTTTCAAAAATGCAGCTCATATTGCTTTAAATTTTATTCTAGATATTGAGATTGAAATACAGTAAAACTTGGTTTATAACGAAGTCACTGGGACCTGTGAAATTACTTCGCTATATCCGTATATGGAATTTCTTAAATTTATATAGCTGGGGATCCAAGATGACTTCACTATATCCCTAATTCGTTATATCCATATATGGAATTCGTTAAATTCATATAGCTGGGGATCCAAGATGACTTCGCTATATCCATAAATTTGCAATATCCGTGTTCGTGCTAAACGAGTTTTACTGTACACAAAGACAATATGTTGTTGGGACTTCAAACTGACTTTGAGATATCCATGGATGGTATTTGACTATTTTGAAATATCAGATCTATTTAATAAGACACTGAAGTTCAACTGTACACCAACAATTGTGACATTGTCAATGCTAATGATTTATAATAGAAATATATCTTTTTTTTAAAGTAGCAATACTTCACTGACAAATTCTTGGGGAAATATTATGTATATTATGCATGAAGATGAAGTTGATATTTGACCTCAACACTGTAATGTACAAATATTACAAAGATTTTACCCTGAATTTCTTGTGTCTGTTAAATTGGTATTGGCACAGCTCACACTTGGGTGGTTTCTTTGTTTTTCTTGTGGAAATGCTTATCCATTTCTGAAACAAAGGTTCAAAAAAGATCAATGAATGTCTAAAACTGGTCATCCTGCCACAAGACGACCGTATTGTCTGACTTGTTTGTCTGACCATAGCCTGACCTGACAGGGACATGTGACCTTCCTGTCCGTCAAAAAAAATTAGCTGACATAGCAATTCAGAGGAATTTCTCTACATCATAACAAACTCAATTCTATACTAAATTTATCATATATATTCCTAAATAACCCCCATTTCATGGAGATTGTGACATGTAAATTCAATAAAGTACATAGTTTAATTATTGGGGATATGGTTACTAATAGGTTATAACCAGGCTACATGGGCAGATACTAAATAGCGATCTAGACAACTGCTACAACCACTGAGCTAGTGTACTATGCCCTTGACTATGTATAATTTTTACATGTACAATAATTGTTGCCCAACATTTCTTTCCCTGGCATGCCTCACATTCTCTGATAATTATATATCTACATGTCAATAGCCTTACGGCTAATTATATCCATGGGAGACCAGAGTACATTATCTAAATGACGTACTGTACACTTCCAAACTATCAGTGTACTCCCTAAATAATACTAGTTAGAATTTGTTAGAGTACATAATATACAGATGATGGAAAATACAATAAACTAAGGATAAAATCATCAAAACAACTTAATTGTTTTTATTAAAATTTCCATTCTCTAATTTCCATGTGTTGTATCTATTTATAGGTACAGCTTACGACAGATCCCAGTTCAGAATTAGCATGAAAAACACCACATTTACTGACAACAACAATGTCAAGGACAAACTTAAATTCCTACAAAGCTTCAATTCAAACTTATAACACTGAGTCGATCCTAATGGCAGTCTCTGGCAGAAAATTATTCTCAGGTCCGGAAACCGACTATTCTACATGGCATGTCTATATATCTATAATTAACCACAAAACACTCCACTGAGTGACCTGGTCTTACGACCGTGTTAGCCGCGAGTTTCATCACCTACATATTATATGTATATGTAGATAATTACATGTGTATGTACTTATCAATGACTGTTACATAAGCTCTGCATCTTAATGTCCTAAATGAAAATAACTTACCAGTATATAATTTCTATTCTCATATTGCCTTAGGCCAGATAAAATTAATTTTTAGATTTTCATCCTAATTTGCTAAAAAATTAGGGTGGGCAGGCGGATTTTATTTTTTATTTTTTATAATTGAAAGTATCAAGATAAGAGGGACTTTTCGTACACATTCTTTCCTCATGTAAGTGCCATATATGAATAGATTTGACTTCTCATCGGCCTTCCCCAAATACCTTTTAGTTTTACCAACAAATCCTGTTAAAAATTTTATGTAAAATATCACAGATTTCCACCTTCCTCAAAAACTTGATCGTTCTTGGGACTTGACATGTTTGACATTGAAATTGGTCATATTAATTTTGCAAAATTTATAAAATATTCTACTGAAAAGCCTAGGCCTGAACAGTTATAATATTTAACATTTTCTTAACACTGTTATTCTCTGCCAATGATGTTTTATTTTTTATGCAAAATCACATACAGCTGGAGATTGTAAAAACTTGATCAGGTGCATTTTCCTCGTCTATTTTTACCTATATTTAAAGTCTTTTAAAAACTTGCTCATGCCAGTGGTGATGGTATTTAGATGTGTTAAGCAGGTTATGCTATTTTTTCTTCTCTTCCTTCTCTATAATCATGACAAATTTTCTTTTCCTTTCATATTTAAACTGCTTTTATTGCCGATTTTTCTCCATTCTTCACATGGCTCTTTTGCTTTAAATAGCGACACACGACTTTCAATACAGGCGGGAGATAACTCTTAAACTTTGATCCAAATTCTTGCTGAATAAAAATACATAAAAATACATTTAACACCAAAAAATCAACAAAAAAAACAAGGGGGGGGGGGGACACTTTGAGAGGGGCGGGCAGGGATGAGAATCTAAAGATTAATTTTATCTGGCCTTCTTAAAATTCCATGAATATTTAAATGTTCTACATTTTTATTACTTATAATTAAGGTACCTACACTTTCATAATTATGATAAAAGTAAAATCAAGTATCTTCAGACTGTGAATATTTTTGACTCTGATATGGGTAGAGGGATGAATTTATAACATCTGCTGTACGTGACTTGTGCAGAATCCATTATTGATATTACAACAAGCTTCAATATTTAATTATACTATCAAGTAAGTGCATTTATTTCTAGCTCTACATTTAAGCCTTAACATTAGACGTGCTGATCAATACAATGCTACCACTTTAAGATTACACAGTTTATTTTTCTCAGCAGCCTAAACAAACCATATCAAGCATTCATGTACTTTATTTAAACAGTGTTATGAAATGCTGTAATTTTCAATAAATAATGCAATACATAATGGTAATTTATCGGTTATCTTGCATAAAGAATATAAAGTTTCCAGTTGTTTAAGCAATATCACCTGGTAGTCCATTAAAAGTGTGCAGTTATGTTAACATTGAGCTGTATGCTGAAACTAAATCGATAAACGATAAACCACCAACACAGCTCCCCCTATATGGCCGCTTGGTCTTTATTTCCTGGTGCTCAGCATCATTGATTTTACATTTGATATCCTTTGAAGGACTGATTTAGGTTGAATGAACCAATAGTCTGATAAATTATCCCAGAGAGAATACCAGTAATAGATACATAGTAAACTAAAATGTCAGTGAAAATATGCTGAATAAATTGACTAACATATAGAAGAAAACAAAATATTTGATTTTGGGAGACAGAGGGCATAATAAAGCATGGTTATGTATGTATTCTAATTCCTTAGGACTTCTGAGATTTCAGCCACAAAATCTAGCAAATCCAGGTCTATGTACACTGCAAAAATATTATATATAATAACCCCTCTCTAGAGTGACTATAAATGATCTTGCTTACCTTCAAACAGCTATAGTGTATAAATCGAAGTGACCCTGAGCAGCGGCAGGGTGAGAACAGGGGGTCAGGTAGATCCCCGGGGAGCTGGCAGATCCGACAGATCGGCAGGAGGTCCGTCCCCGCGACAGAGCCCTCGCGGGACAGGAACTTCTTCTTCTGTGGTAGGGGGGTGAGGTTGGCACTCCCTATGGTGTGTATGCTGGCTATAGTCAGGTTAGAACTACCGAGCTGCACTAGCACTGGGTCTGGGGGTTCAGCTTCCATCTCCCGCTCAGTACATCCAACAACCTGACAGGGAAAAATTACTCCATTATAAACGTGTTGCTCATGAACTTTTATAGAAATGTAACATAACAAGGTGATTAACTCTGGGATCATTGACGTATTTCACACATTAATTATTAAGTTCTATCTTTGATGTGTGAAGTGATTTGCAGGAAGACAATGGACTCTCCTACAGCTGTTGGGAATTACAGTGGTATACTAATTTAAATCCTGTAATATCTTATTATGATTTTAAGGAATCTAAAATCTTGTATGTCCTTTCCTGGAGGTCAATAATGTTTACTCATAATTATCCAACTGACCGCAAAACCCCTAAAACCTCTGAACTGCACATCATAAAACATAACAAGGGCATTCCCAAAGAACATACCTATAAATCAAGACAAGTCAAAGTACTCATTATCGATTGCCAAATTACACCACTTCTGCTTTGCAAGAAGGACACAAATTACATAACTTCCGTTTTGCACAAAAGACAATTAAACTAACACAAACACACACACACAAGCATGCTGCTATCAGTTCCAACTCTTTTGTTATGGAGGCATGCTTGTATACATCAATTTGTCTTATATTTTATAAACATGATAAAAGGCAACTAAAAGTTTTAAAATATAAATTTATCGATAGCTCGATCTTCATAGAGGAGAAACTCAATTTGAAGTCAGAATTTAATTTCTTTTAATAAATAAAGTTTGAGCTCAAATCATCTACCTGTGAGGTAGGCATAAAATGCAAAACATTCTTTATGAATTAATTATTAAGAATAAAACACATAATTATTTTAAAGAAATTTACAATTATGTACAGACCTGTTTCTGAAGCAATTTAATTTTCACATGCACAGTTCACTATTCACTCTATACACGTGGAACATGTACCCCGGTAATCACTACTTTTGCTTTACTCCCGGTTTTTATCTTGTATAATAAATACGAATGCTGCTGCTAGGTTTCTTACAGTGTCGACACCCGTTAACTCAGTCGGCAATATATAGAACTGGTTCACTGGCCTGTAAGATTACCTCTGGTGACCCAGTAGACAGTACATACCTAAATCAGTACAATATTCCACCCCTCCGTCTGCCTGCACATTAATTACGTTTTATCTCGCAGTATTTAACCAACACATTCATTTTTGTCACCTAGCCGTTCTTTTTACGCTGTGATCTACTTTTCTTTTTGTCGGTCCATAGCCCTAAGTCATGAATTTCAAATTTATCATCAAACCTTGTGTGTCATGTCAGGTTTTGATTGCACTGTTAAGATTTTAATTAGTTTTAGCTCACTATACCTTTAACCATCGTAAAAAGGACATTGACATAGATTCATACAACTAAATTTAAAAAGATTTGTATCAAGGTGTCAATTTCTACAGCACTTAAAACTTTCTTATATAGTTATCTATATTTCATTGACCACAATAAACTTCAAATTTTCAGTAAAATTCTCATCAATTATTTCAAGTTCCTCAGTGTTCCTGTGTGATCTAATTAATTCATTAAATCTTTCTTATATTACAATTTGGCTCCAACATTCCAAAGTTATTGGCAAGGTTAATTAATCTTTTAAACAAATGAAGATAATCCTCAAAGATTGAGACCAAACTGTCAAAATGTTGGTATTCAAATAAAGGTCTTGTCACAGTGAAAATACAGGATGTCATGAATGCCCAAACAGCTACCATTCAAATATGGCCAAGGTCAAAACTTTCTGCTAAAAGGTCAGACTCCAAAGTCAAAAAGAATTTTCAGAATGTAACTACCTAAGGTATATATAGGCCAGTTCTCATGTAATGCACAGGTGAAATATATAAGCCATATCACTTAAAACAGTTCTCACTAGGTTAAAGCTAAGGGTAAATTGGGTAAAAGGATCTATAGGTCAATCTTAAAGGTCAGTGTCAATAATATGGGATCTCAAAGGTCTTGTCCCAAGGATCTATACTTTTATGAAATATGAAAGCTTTAAATTTAGCATAGGCAATACCCCAAAAGTTGCAGTACTTTATTTTCAGCTGCATGCGTGCATGTATGAAGTTTTTTTTTTTTTAAGAGTACAGTTTGTTTGTACAAATCAGAGTGTGTTTGTACGATATTCTAATTTATCTCCGATTCATCTGCCATGATATGGGCTAGATCTAGTTCATTTTTTTCTGCATACTGAACCGGTTGGTGCAGAAAATTGATACTGCGCAATAAAATGCACTTTCAGTTCTCAGTAATTTACACACATCTCCAATCATTGAAAAATACTTCCTCCTAACTTAGTTAAAATTAATTTTTAATGACATTTTATATTTTTGAGTAAAAACTAAACCTCTCTCGTTATGTTATCTGGATTAGTAGGTCAGGCACGCACAGAACAGCTGTCCCTCATTGTTCGCTAGAGCTGTTTTGTGTGTAAACAATATGCTGACCCTGGAGACATGCAAGATATTTGTCTCGTTAAAAAAAATGTGATAAAAGTGTTTTCCCAACATCTTCACTGAAGTTTCTATTTTCATTATATTTTAACACCCAAGAGAACAAGGATAACTAGCCTACAAACGTTTCTTTCGTACAGTAATCGCAATCAGCTGATCATGTTTAATTTCAAACCCCTCCGAGTCTGAATGCGCCAAGAGGCACGCGCTATTGAGGCCCCAAACCATCTACAATTTCCTCCGGCCTCTGACTGGGCCACGAGTCTAAGTGACGTTATCTTTTTAACTTTACCTTGAAAATGCAAAGTCTCCTTCCAACCAATCTCTTCTCCAACGCACCAGTTTTGGCCGGTTTGTTTTGATCACGTGATCAGAGAGAGAGGGCGCTTGTGTATTTGCTTTGTTTGCAAAGTGAGAAAATGTAAAGCAAATGGATTCATTGTTACCGCAAACATATGTCTAAAGAATTGAACAAAAACACTATATTACATTTAAAGTTGTGCACAACCATAATGACATGATCCGGAATTATATTTTTAGCTCACCTGAGCCGGGGACTCGGGCAGGTGAGCTTTATGCAATGTCGTTTTTCGTCGTTAATTTTTCATAAATTTCAAAGAAAATAAAACTTGTTAGTGGCAACTTTTAAAAATCTCACATAAACCACCAAGCCAGATAATTTGAAAAATATGTGAAAGCTTTAAAAATCATGTCCCACCTCCAAGCTAGGGGATATAACAGGAAATCAAAGTTTTACCAAAATCAAAACATCCATATAATAATATCAATAAAGAAGCATCATTGAATCATGTATATAGAGAATAATACATACCCTTTTCCATATCACATCCTGTATCAGCCCGAGACACCAATATCAGCCAGAGGGCCGAAGGCCCGAGGGCTGATACAGGATGTGATGTGGAAAAGGGTATGTTTTATTATATTTATTACATACTTAGTAATAAAATACAGTTGAGAAGAAAATAAGTAAATAATCATGCATGGACTTCTTACATACATGTACATAGTCTAATGTCTCATAAGATTTGGGTTTGTTTCTATTTCTATTTCAATGCACTTGATCCGTAATTTGAAAATATTCTATAGTATTACATGTATTTGTAAATTAAGATTAACCTTATTTTCAAAAAGTTAAAATTAAGAGAATATGAACCCACCAAAAATTGTGTATGAGTACAAGTACTGTTATTGTGGTTTAATTTACTAAGGGTGTGATATTGACGTCACAATAGCCGTATCAGCCCTGCAGGGATGATATGGATTTTCAGGGCTGATACGGATATCAGCCCCGCAAATCCATATCAGCCCTGCAGGGTTGATACGGCTATTGTGACGTCAGCCATATCGCATATGCAAAAAACCTGTATTTATTACTAAGTGTGTAATAAATATAAATTAAGATTCGAGTTTGTACAAATCTTTATATGACCCCTGGGGATAGGGTACGTACGTGGGGATCAGGTGAGCGAGGTGGTCCAAAGCCTCTTATTTTAACTATATACGCGAGAGTCTTAAAATAATTGTCCTTGTTTGTATTTTTAAATGAGCATTATAACATTATCAAAATATGGTGAGAAAAAAATATCACACGTACCTTATCAAGTTCTTTTTTATCATAGATTAATTATGCGATTATTGACCTTTTAGAGACATAAATAAAATCGATCACCACATGAATTAACATACATAATATTATAGATAAAACTGCCAACTGAAAATGAATGAAAATCCTTATTTTGTTTTAAAAAACACTCAAGCGAATTTGTTTGAACGCAAAAAAAAAAAAAACAGAGCCTCCCTGGGGGAAAGGGGGCATGCAAACATACGTACATTTCACAATTTCTTTGTGAATGACAGTTGGAACCTAAACACCCCCTCCTCCTGCTGCAGACACGTAGCAACAAGGGGGGGGGGGCTGCCCCCACTTTTTTCCCCAACATAACTTATACTATAGGAAAGGTTCATTTACCCCCCCCCGAAATATACAGGATTTTTGACTTTGGACAACTTTTGTTCCCCCCTTTTTTTTAGGTAAGTATTTTTTCTCTGGCTGCCCCCCCCCCCTCCCCGCCCACTTTCAAAAACGATGAGCACTACGTGGCTGTGCTGTGGAGAAAGTGCAGTTATTTTTAAAGTTGCTACCGAGAGCTACATGTATGCACCATACATCCGTCTATCTACGCAGGTGACAACGACTTTAAGCAAGCGGCTTATATAGAAGCCTAGCTGCAGAACTGTAGCTGACTCCAAAAAAATATAAATTGACAGACCGGAGAGCTATATACAGTGCCACCCATAGAAAAAACTGTATATTCATTGCGCACAAAAGGTGCGCTGTTTCTCGATTTATTTCTCAATGTTTTTAAAACTGTGACATCTCAAAATATTACTAACCGTGTGTTTCTAACATTACATATATTCTTTCACCGTTGCCACATTCCTTATAATTTTTTTAACAGCCCTCCTGGCCCTGAAATTGAAATCATCGAAAATTTCGCCTATTTATACTGCCATTTTGGTCTTCACGATAATCGGTCCAACGCACTTAGTACAACTGTAAACTATGAAAGTATATAATAATAGATCTATAGAGGAGTAAGGACTTTAGCTCTTTTTTTTTTTTTTTTTTTTTTTTTGCAATTGAGGTAAGATCTAGAATTTCAAAGAATTAATTCAGAACCGAGCGCACTTTTTTTTGCGCAATAAATATACAGTTTTTTCAATGGTTGGCACTGTAGCTCTCTGGTCTGTCAACATATATTTTTTTTGCGAAAGCGAGGGGACATTTAGTCTCATTCGTCTGTCCAGCTAGCTGTCAGTCTGTCCGTCCGTCACAAAATCTTTAACCTTGCCCATAACTATTGATTTAGTGGAGCTATGACTTTCATCTTTCACATGTGTATTCCTCGCGACAAGACCATTCTTTGGGTACCACCAAATTTGACCTTTTGACCTTGACCTTGGAGTTTGACCCTCTTTTACACAAAAATTCCAAACTTTTACTTTGGCCATAACTTTTGAATGGTAGGTACTAAGACTTTCATATTTCACATAAGTATCTTTTGTAGCAAGACCTTCATTGAATACAAACAACTTTGACCTTTTGATCTTGACCTTGGAGATTGACCTTCTTTTCAAAAACTTTGACCTTGGCCACAACTTTTGAACGGTTGATGCTAGGACTTTCATATTTCACATATGTATTTTTTGTAGCAAGACCTTTCTTAAAAAACCAACAACTTTGAACTTGACCTTGGAGATTTACGTACTTATGAAAAAACTTTAACCTTGACCATAACTTTTGAATGGTAAGGGCTAGGGCTTTTATACTTCACATATTTAATCCTTGTGAGAAGACCCTTCATTGGACATCAAGAACTTTAATTTGACCATGACTTTGGAGTTGACCTACTTTTAAAAAACTTTAACCTTGGTCATAACTTTTGAACGGTTAGGGTTAGGATTTTCATCCTTCACATATGTATTACTTGTGACAAGACCTTTCTTAAGAAATCAAGAACTCAGACCCTTTCACCTTGGAGTTTGACCTACCCTTCAAAAATTTATCCTCGACTATAACTTTTGAACAGGTAGTGCTAGGGATTTTGTTTTTCACAATCGTATTTTTGTGAGAAAAACCCTATACTTTGGGTAATAATATATTTAATTTGCATTTAAGAAAAGTTTAATCTTCGTTATGTTGCCATACGGGGTCATCAGTGTTTCACAAACACATCTTGTTCCTAATATATTGAGAAGAGATAGGGTTTTCATATTTGACATGTGCATTACCTGTGACAAGATAATTCCGAGCATGCTTTGCTTTGATTTCTTACCCCTTGACCTTGACCTTCATGATTGACATTATCTAAAAAAAAAAATCAACTTCAATGATAATTTCTAAATAAATGACATATAATAGGGTGTTCATATTAGACACAATATGTCATAAAAAATAACATTTCTCCCACAAAGACACCCAAAGCGGGGGACCACAATTCTTTGAATTTGCTTGTTGTACATGATTTCAATGTCGTTTATTTTAACAACTAAATGTTTGTCAGAAGAATTTTGGTTACTGAATTGATTGATTCTGGTTTGCTGAAGGGTAAGCTTTTTGCTATAATTAATATTACTTTATGTACGGGTCATTATGGAGGTATTTTAGTTCTTCAATCATAAATTGGTTATTTATTGTTAGAAAGAAGAAATTTAAGTTATTTTTCTGCGTTCATTGATTTTGAAGAGTAACGTAGGATTCCCACCTATTTACCGTCTTATCAGCGATCAGCTGACTGGCCAAGGTAAACAACACAGACAAATGGAGGTCTACAGTATACCTGTACGTAAACGGACCATTACGTAAATTAGTGTAAGTTAAATTAACAAGTTTTTCTTATTTTCAAAATATGTATCACAATATATACTTTCAAAAATTACAATTTTAATGTTTATTTCACCTGGTCAAATTCTGGAACAGAGTTCGTGTCACCTATGGAATGTGTATATTCACTCTGTATACCAAGCAACCAGTAAATTATCTTCGAATTTAATGTTAAACTTTGTCCACTTCCGTGTTCGCACCTCTGTCCCGGAATTCTCAATTGTGTGGAATGTCCTAAAGATGTACACGGTAATCGTATTAAGGGTGGTGCCTCAAAACTTTTGAATTATTTAGGTTTAGGTGACCAGCGATGTGTAATACTGTATACAGGGAAATTTTCGCCCTGTTTTATTTTCGCCCCTTTCCATTGGCGGATCCAGAGGGGGGGTTCTGGGGGTTGGAACCCCTCCTTTATTTTTTGCCAAGTGGGGAAAGAGAGAGAAAGAAGGGGGATAAAACGTTTCCCGAGAATATGTATTGAATAGATAGATTCTCAGACATTTAGTTTTTCCATTCACCTTCACTATTACTTTTTATGAGTGAATGGTAGAAAATATTCTACTTATTCTTATATATCTTATATATGATATGTACCATGCGAGGTTAAATTTGATATTAGATTCCCGCGATCTTAATTTGGCTGTTGGCAAGAAGGTGCCATTTTTTAAAACTAAATCTTATGAAGGAACTAAAATTTAATTCATTGTTTTATACCCAACCCAAAAAGGATTTTCAAATTCTTTAAGAAAATTCATTCTACTCTTCGGAAATGCTGCAAATCCATTCAATTATAAGGCTTCAGTAGTTTTTTTTAAATGTGTTGATTTTTTTAATACGGACTGGGGGTACCTTTTCAAAGAAAAAAGGACGTAGAACAAAGATATTATTTTCCACAATCTTATTTTTTTTTCATACATGTGTGTGTGAATCTCTGCCTGCGCGTGGGTCCCGGGGGGGGGGTCAGAGGGACACAACCCTGGAACCCCCCCCCCCTTTCATAAATTGCTGGATCCGCCCCTGCTTTCGCCCTATACTTACAGGTGGGCGAATTTAAAACGGAGCGAAACGTCCCATTTACTGACGGTTCTCTGTTACTTTATTTTATAGATATGCATCGGATTTTTATAGCGATTTACTCGCTATTTCTAATGCCAACCAGGGTACAGAAACATTTTCAGAGGGACATGTGATAAAAATTCATGGATTTTATTCTCGCCGTTGCGATATCAGCAGGACTCGGACATTTGGTGATATTAATGCTGTATTGTGCATTACTCTGCAAGAGAAATGGGGGATGCAGGGTAAAAAATACTGACTCCAGACGCAATACAACAGAGTCGCCAACAGAAAATGCAAGCTTTCCAGAGGCTGAAAGAGGTCACATGAACACAACAGTCCAATCAAATGATCCGGAAACTGATGATCACCAGTCACCACGGGAAACAGACGACCAATCACAAACATTCCTGACGAACACGTGGGTTTCAAATGTGATGTCGCGAATTCGAAACATAACAAGAAGAGCAGAGACTAGAAATGACATTGAACAAGGGAGAGGTGAATTAAACATGACTCATATATATCCAGAGGGTCTTCCTTCGTACGAAGACGCAATCAAAAACTTAGACATGATCCCCGACCCCCCACCCTCCTACGAAGAGACAATGTTAGATCCACCGAGTGTTGTGCACGATATTTCATGATACTAGCATTTATAGCCAAGTTATGAATTTTATGGGAGATATTTTATTTCAAAAAAGATCGTTTCTAACATTAAAGTATACTTTATGCAGAATTTCTACAATTTGCAAAAATCTCACAAAGATTGAAATTATTTGCCTGTGAAATAGCATACTTACACCAAAGGGGTAAAAAAGGATCCTTTTCTCCACTTTAACAATTTTGGTCGATATAAGTGTGTCTTTGCTCCATTTTTATTCCCCGTAATAGAAGATTTGGGGGTATAAGTTTTTGTCATGTCTGTCCGTCTGCCTAGCTGTTTATCTATTTGTCTGTTTGTCCGCAAAAACTTTAACCTTACCAATAGCTTTTGAGTGGGTGAGTCTATGGCTCTCGTACTTCGCATATGTGTGATAAGACCTTTCTTTGGGTACCACCAATTTGACCTCTTGGCCTTGACCTTCAAGTTTGACCAACTTTGACAAAAAACAAAAAACAAAACTTTAACCTTGGCCATAACTTTTGAATAGTTAATGGTAGGGATTTACACTTCACATTTGTATTCCTTGAGACACGATCTTTCTTTATGTACCACCAAATTTGACCTTTTGACCTGAGATTTTGACCCACTTTCAAAAAAATTTTAACCTTGGCCATAACAGTAACTGTAAGCACTTGGGTTTTCATATTTCACAAGTTTATTACTTATGAAAGGACCTATCTTTGGATACCAATAATTTTGATTTTTTAGCCTTGACCTTGGAGTCTGACTTTGATTTGAGAAACCCTCTCGTCATAAGCTGCCATATGGGGGCATCAGTTTTTCACAAACACTTCTTGTTTTGAAAGTTAATTAAACCTGAAAGTTTGCTTAAATATATACCGGTACATTTTGGTTAATAAAAACAGCGAAGACCCACTACATCTTTAAATAATACACTTACAATACATATGTTATTGCCAGAGTTCAAGTCCATCGAATACTGCAATATTTTTTTTTAATAAAATTAGATTATAAATTAATTTTGGCCGAGAATTGTGTTCTCGGAGAAAATTTATTTATGATAATTTCATAAGTCTGAATTCGTAAATTGAATATGATTTTTGAATATCTGAATCTATAGGCATCCTGCGCGCTTTTTGTTCACTCATCTTCTTTTAAATGATATTGGAGAGAGAGTGATTCTGAGAGAGAGAGAGAGAGAGAGAGAGAGAGAGAGCAATTTGTACGCCAAACGAGGTCATTTTTGGAAAAGTGATACATGGTATGCGATGGCACTACATGAGACTGACTTATAGTAACGTGATGGTAACTAGTGCTAATTGTAACGGGGACCGTTACAGTTGTTCCCCAAACGCTCCCCAACTCCCTTTTGGTGCCATATTCCCTATAAGCTTCATTAAATAAGACAACCCCTATGCATTTGAGACTTTAAGAACGTTTACCCAGAAGTGTACCAATTTCATTCAAATTTTAGCATTGCACGCTGCGCATGTGAATGCACGTGCGTAATGACCACATATTCTTGTCTTCACAATCTATAGATTTTAATATACTAAATATCAAAGTATTTAATCCAAAAGTATTAAAAAATACGCTAATTCAAGTGTATTTTTGATTTTACTCATTTCACGTGCACGCACGTGCTCACATGAGCATGGCGACCATACTTTCTTGTAGAAGTCCATTACATCTATCTATGTTCTAAATCCCACCCCGTTTGGTTGAAAACCAAGGGAGTTATAGCTGTTCAAAGTTTCAGCCAATCATATTGCAGCGCACATACACGCACGTGTATGTATGTGTAGGGTGACCACACCTTCTTGTAGAAGTCCATTATATATATCTATGTTCCAAATCCCAACCTGTTTGGTTGAAAACGAAGGGAGTTATGGCTGATTAAAGTTTCAGCCAATCAGATTGCAGCATTCGTACACGCACTTGCATGGTGACCAAACCCTCTTGTAGAAGTCCATTATATATATCTATGTTCCAAATCCCATCCTGTTTGGTTGAAAACCAAGGGAGTTATAGCTATTTAAAATGTCAGCCAATCAGATTGCAGCGCACGTGCATGCACGTGTTTTCATGATAATTGCTATATATCATTTTGTAGGATATCCTAATGCATGGCTATGTTCAAAATTTCAAAGGATTTCGTCAAAAAACAAGAAAGATATTGGAGACTTTAGTTTTAGCCAATCAGAGCGTAGCGCACGTGCATGCGCCTGAGTTCTTGCCATATTGACCACATCATCTTGTTTACACTACTAATATATCCTTACATTATGAGTTTCATAACATTTCATCAAAAAATAGAAAAGTTACGGCAATATACATTATATTGGTCATTTCACATGTTGCACGTGCGCGCTCTTGCAAGCACGTGCGCGCAAAATGACCTTCGTTCCGCAAATCTACATAACATGTCTACTGACCCTAAAAACATTTCACCTTAGTTGGATGTGTAGTTTACGAGATCATTCGTGGACAAAAAAGTGCCCGGGAAGAAGAAAAATAATAATAACTAGGGCTAATTGTAACGGGAACCGTTACAGATGTTCCCCAAACGCTCCCCATCTCCCTTTTGGTGCCTTATTCCCTGTAAGCTTCATTAAATAAGACGAACTCTATGCCTTTTAGACTATAACAATGTTTTCCCAGAAGTATACTAAGTATATTCAAATTATGCATTGCACGCATGCGCATTTGAATGCATGTGCGTAATGACCATATCATCTTGTCTACATTATTTATATACTAGTACTAGAAATTACAGCGTTTTATCCAAAAGTATCAAAAAATACGTTTTAATCTAGTGTATTTGTAATTTTACTCATTTCACGTGCACTCACGTGCATGCATGTGCATGTCGACCATATTTTCTTGTAGGAGACTGTTTTGTTTGTGTATGTTCTAAATCCCATCCTGTTTGGTTGAAAAACAAGGAAGTTATAGCCATTTCAAGTTTAAGCCAATCAGATTGCAGCGCACGTGTATACGCATGTTTTCACGACAACTGTTATATATCATGTTGTAGGACATCCTAATGCATGACTGTTTAAAATTTTAAAGCATTTCGTCAAAAATTAAAAAAAGATATTGCGATTTTTGTTTCAGCCAATCACAGCAAGCCACACGTGCACGCACGTGCATGCATGTGCATGATGACCATACTTCCTTGTGGAAGTCCATTATGTCTGTCTATGTTCTAAATCCCATACTGATTGGTTGAAAAACAAGGGAGTTATTGCCATTTAAAGTTTAAGCCAATCATATTGCAGCGCACGTGCATGCGCGTGTTTACATGACAATTGTTATATATCATAATGTAGTACATCGTAAAGTATGCCAATATTTTAAATTTCATAGCATTTCGTCAAAAAACAGGAAAGATATAGACATTTTTGTTTCAGCCAATCAGAGCGAAGCGCACGTGCATGCGTGTGAGTTCGTGCTAATTTGACAGTGCCACATTATCTACACTATTAATATATCCGTATTAAATGAGTTTTAAAGTATTTCATCAAAAAATATCAAAGTAATGGCTATATAAAGTATATCCGTCATTTCACGCGCCCGCACGTGCATGCGTATGCGCGCAAAATGACCTTCGTTCTGCACACCTACACTACACACCTATTAACCCTAAAAAGGTTTTAGCTCAGTTGGGTGAACAGTTTCTGAGAACACTCGCGGACAAAAAGAGACCGGAGAACAAAGAAGAAAAAAAAGAATAATAATAATAAGAAACCGAGTAAAAACAATATGTTCCCAAACTCCGTTTGGGGAACATAATAAGAAACAGAGTAAAAACAATATGTTCCCCAACTTCGTTTGGGGAACATAATAAGACAGCAAAATTTAAATTCTCATTTCTCTACTAGGATTTTTACATCGGGCTCGGAGTTGGTTTTATTCAGAAAGACAGGACTGGGTTCAGGCAACTACATGTAAGGGTACCACACCGGTAATTGACCAATCAAAATGAACTTAGTCAATTGTAGTGCCATACATATAAGGCCGATTTTCCTTTCTTTTGAGAGTTGTTTTTTTTTTTATTTCCTTCCAGGCCATTTTGACAACTCTGGTACATGTGCCTAAGAAATTTTATCTACTCTGTAAATAAATAAAGTGTTTAGACAGGAACTATTTTCTCAGGGTATAGGAGGCTACTTCCTGGGGTGCTTTTGAGATGTTTATAAAGACATTGAAAACACGTGGATTTGAGGGTAGCCTTATTTGCAGATGCAAAAAAATCAGAAAATGTCGTGTACGTACCCTGGTTTTTTGGTGCCAGCTAATGTGACAGGTATTGTTTAACACCCCTTCATTTATATTTTTTTCATGAATTCAAATACCTGATGTTTTACGGGAAAGAAACGTGTATTGCTTTTTAATATACCAAAACTCGCTATTTCGGGGGATTGCGTAATTCTAAAAAAAATTCAGATAAATTTCAAAGGTAAAATAAAAGAAGAATGCTTGGTATTAAAATATAAATTCATATCAGTAGAATTGAATGCTATTAATGTCATCTGGAGAAATAGGCTTTATAAGGTTTGTATCATATCTTTGTTCGTCTGCACTTAAATTTCAAACACGACAGAATTTGTAATTTATGCCGTAAAAATTCATAAATTCTATATACTTTAGAGACTTACCGTAAAACTTTCAGGAAACTTTCTATGAAGTCTTTTCTGCACCTTAAGTGAAATTTTATGTCGATTCGAGGTGTCGATTGATTTTCAGAGAAATTTTCTATCTTGCTATTGATTTTTTTTTTTTAAGGAGAAGGGGGGGGGGTTGACTTATTTATTCTAAGCATTTGTTAAAGTCAGATTTGTAAATACATCTACGAACTTGAGCTGGATTGTGACCTTTGGGTCAGGGTCAAAGGTCAAGGTCATCAAAACATTTCATAAAGAAATATAAAACTAACGGCCATATCAAGTATACTAGTCACTTGAGCATTGCACGCGCGCGCAGGTGCAATGCATGAAAGCCATATCATCGTGACTACACTTTTAATATGTTTCTATTCTTTGAATTTCAAAACGTTTCATAAAAAAATTTACGACTATATCAAGTAAATCGGTCATTTAACGCATTGCGCGCGCACACGTGCATGCATCTCCTTGCATTCAAGTTTGATAGTAGCATAATGTAGGAATCCGTCA